CACCCACTCCGGGCTCACATACACGTCTTCCCCACGCACGCGACCCACCGGCCTGCTTTTGCACGACAGCATCTCTCCGCACGTTATGTGCCTGCATCTTGCCACCCGCGCTGCCGCAAGCAGCACACATAGAAAACCAAAGAGCAATCTCATCTTTGGAAAACTTTTTTTTCGTTTAAATGCTGTCCAGAAATCAGCTGATCATGGGAAAAAATAGAAAAAGCTGCCAAATTCTCAAGCCCGCGGGTTTAATACTGGAAGTAGCCATGTAAAACATTGTCCTTTATCCTTTCTCGACCTGCTTATATAGACATTGTTTAATATATCCCTTAATGGCTAAGTCGTGTAGCCCCTCGATTATGCCCATCTAAGCAATAACACTCACGAACAACTATGCTTTCAGCATACAACAATTTATACTAACATGCAATGTGCACGCACACTCTGCACATGATTAAAGCCCGGACTCACAAGCCAGCCCGTCTCTGCGCTTCTCTAATCCGCCCTTTGCTTTCTCTGTTTCCAGCCTCTCTTCTAATGCCTCTACCGCCCACTCCTTGCGCTCTTTCCCAAGAAGACTTGCTGTGTGATCTGCCGCGCCCGAAAATGCTGTCTGGTCCACCCACACACGCCTGCTCTATTTAAAACGCCGTCTTGTGCCTTCTGTTTTCCCTTCTCCTGCGCATGTGTGCTCCTTCTCCCTTTTCCCGCCCTCAAAAATAAAAATTATGACTCACTCTCTGTCTCTCTGCACACAGAAAGAGAAACAATGCCCGCATACGCGCACCAGCAGCCCTCCCGCACTCTACAGAGCCTCCAAACATGAGAACACACCTCCCTGCACAAAACTGTTCTTTCCTGCCTTCTCTTACACCTTCTCTCTACCGTATGCCTTTCTGTCTTTTCTACTATACTATACTACCAACATACGCCAAAAAATAAATTCTCCATTCTAGTTTTTTTCTCTCCAACCTCTCCAGAACACTACATTTTGTTTGCTTTATTTTTCTTTCTTTTCCCCTTCCTGACTTCGTGCACAAACTGCACTAAACACGCAGTATCCCGCAACAAGGTGCAGGTTGATAAGACACTCGCCCTTTCCTGACCCACTGCACCCACAAAGAACAACAGACATATAGCCACTTGATTTATTGATTGTTTCCCTGTGCACACCCGCCCCAGCGCCCAGGCTGGCTCAGGGTCTTTCGGGACTTGCAGACATAGCGCACAAAAGGAAATGAAACACACCTCCACGCATTTCCCTCCAAATCAAAAGGTTCCTTCCAAAAGCCTGAAGAAGAACAACAAAACTTTCTCAGCCAGTCGCCAAACAGCAGGAGCTGTCGCGCAGCTCGGACACGAAAGCGTGTGCCAAGGCACGTTGCTGGGCGCACAGAAGAAATCCACAAAAGAGCCCAGTAAATACAGAGCTTTGTCTGCACTTGGCGCGAGGCAGAAAAAACACAAAAAGAATTTGCCGAAAATGGGCGAGACGCACAGAAAACACGCAAAGCAGCCAAAGCTTTGAAAAGCCCCGGCTCTTCCCCGCGCAGCACGCTGAAAGGTGTGTCTAATGAACTATGTTTATTGGCTGCACACCGACATATTTTAGACAGTGAGCGCAGAAAAGAGCGCTCTTTGCGTTAGAGACTTTCCCGGCCTACTCATTTCTGGCTCAAACACTGCCGACAAAATCCTCACACTGCATTTGCGGCAGCCTCTTCTTACACGGGAAGCGTTCCTCCCAGGCCTGCTGCAGCTGCGCAATCAGAGCCTCGGCCCTCTGCAAATCCTCCCCCGTGTGCTCTTCCCGCAAAAGAACGCAGATCTCTTTCAGCACTTCCCGCGGATTGGCCGCAAATACCCACGCGCAACTAATTGACCACCTCTTAGCAGCATCTTGCAGCATCTCGCACATGTACAGAGGCTTGCCTGTCTTCATGGCGTATTTCCGGAAATACTGCATTATGCTTTTGTGTGTAAGCATTTCCGCCTTTTTGGCGGAATACAGCCCGTCATATTTGGCAAATTTCTGCGAACACCAAATCTCCCGATGCAGCTTGCTAGACAGCTGTACCCTTGGGCACAATTTATGCAGAGTCCAGGTGACCACAGGCACCCCCAAGATCCTATACTGCGCTGCCATGGCGCTAAGGTCGATGCTCCCTATCACGTTTGCAACCAGCCGGCTTATTGCGTGTTCTGGAGTCAGCGCAATCTTATTCTGCTCAGCATACAGCACAAGCGCAGAGACAAGCTCTTTTCTGATGTCCTTGCCCGCAGCCGGCAGCGCTAAAAGCACCCTATTCGGCTTGTCTGCACTGTGCTCGACAGCCTTTCTCGCGGCCTCCCGCAGCGCATTGGTTATTGAGTATGGAAGGCTCTGCGCGGCTATCCCTATCGCCATCTGGTGCATGCACTCCGCAAGCACAAAGCTCGAAAACCGCTCATGCTGCCTGTATTTTGCGGGCGCCACGTCCAGCTTTTCCTGCAATTTGTCAGAAGCGCTCAAGTCTGGCAGCGACAGTATTATGCCCGAGAAATCTTTTTTACAAAATGACAGCATTAGAGTTTGCGAGTGGGCTTGGCCTATTTCCGCATACTTTACTGTAAGAAGATAGCCTTCGGGCTCAGAGCCCTTTGATTGCTTCTGAATGATCACCTTCACGCGCTTGTCCACTGCTATCGAGCGCAGCAGCGCCTGAACGCTCTCGATCGCCTTGGGGGTCAGCTCTGTGCTTCTTTTCGCATCCATGGCCGCCTGGTGCGCTGCCAGCTCGTCCACCACGGTCTGCGGCCGCCCAGCCATCTGCGCAAGCACGCGCATCTTGTTTAGGAATGTCGGCGCGGCATTCCCCAGCGCCTCCTTAAACTGCGTGTTCATCTTGAGCCACAGGTTCCTGTACCTCTGCTGTTGTGTGTCATTGGGACACCCGAAAGAGCAGCACTTTTTTTCAATGCACGCCTGCAGCTCACCAAAAAATGCCCTGGTTTTTTCCACCTCCTCCGTTTTCTTATCCCCGCTCAGAAGGCCCTCCAGGCTGTACGCGTGGTTTTCGGAGTCAAGCGCAAGAAACGGCAAGAGCAAGCACTCTCCAATAAACCTGCAGTTTGTGCCGCGGTCGTCAAAGTACTCCTTCTCTTCATCTGGGGCATCTTTTTTTTGGACTGCCATCCTTACTTCGTTTTGAAAGCTCTTAAACTCTTCAAAACGCTCCAAGGCCGTTAAAGTAGGAAACGTCTCTAGAAATGGCGCGAGATACGCCTGGGCCTCGGGCAGCCGGCTCGCAGGCACAAACAGCCGGCTGACCACGCTGTCCGGGTCCTCTATTCTCTCAGCCAAGCCCATGCCCTCCACAAGCTTGAACGCACACTCCATCACAGACATAAGCTCTTCGGCGTTTTTCACGTACTCGCCTATGTACGTGAGAATAAGGAGCTGCGGGCTCTCCAGAAAGTCGCCCTTTTGGAAGCCCTCATACGTGCTTGGCATCTTGTATGTGTCCGTGTACTGCATGAAGAAGTCTACCACGTGCCAAGCCTCGGAAAACTGCGTATTCCTGATGCCTAAAGCGGGCCCTCCTATGCAAGCATCAACCAAAATGCCTTTTCTTTTTCTTATAATCACACGGTCTTTGTCTCTATCCAGCTGAATCGGCACGTCGACGCCCTCGCTCAGGAGCAGCAGCGCTGCCAGCACATAGTGCGCCTCTGTTTGCGTTTTGCAGCTCTTCCGGAGGAACTGAGTAAAAGAGTCTTGTCGCGCGCACTCAACTGTCAGGCAGTCGTACTCCGGCCCGCTGGATCTCCGCAGCCCAAACATCAGCAGCAGCATGTAGTGGAACATCATATCGTATCTACCCTTGCGAGAATTCGCTCTCATATTCAGCCCGTCCTTCTCCGGCTCTCTCGTATATATATGCTTGTCTAAGTGCCTGTCCGGCACCAGACTGAAGCTTGTTTTCACCTTGCACGAGTACGCCCGCATTTTGTACGCATGTCCCAGCCGGCAAATCTGCGCTATGCACACCGGGTGCCCGCCCCAGCACGTGTTCACATACACGGGCTTTCCGCCCACGTGGCCCACCTCCTTGTTCTGGCACTCCAGCATCTCTTTGTGCGTCATGTATATGCATTTTGCTATCTGCACGGCTGCAAGCAGTCCGCATAATAATCCTCCAAAACGCAATCTCATCTCCGAATAAAAATTCCTTTCTATTTATGTATTTTGCTGCGATCAATTGATTGTACCTTTTGGTCATCACAAAACACATTAACATGTATATTGCGCACAGCCTCTGCTCTCTGGGCTTGCAGAGGCCCACCTCCATAAAACAAAAGCAAAAGCAAAAACCTGCTGCACAGGAACAGCCTACACAGAGCAGAAAAGGCTTCCACTTTTCCAATCCGGAGGCAATCCGGCAGCGCTTCAACCCTTTCTTCTTCTCCACACATTTCTGTTTTTGCTGGCTCCTGCGGCCCAGCTCCTCTTGAATTTCTTCTCTGTGCGTTTCCTCTTCCGCGCTTTTCTTTTCTCTGAATCTACTGCCCCACCTTCACCCGAAGACCTCGGCCTAGCCCGAGTAATAGCCCATGCTTTCTTGTTTGTGCGCCTTTCACCAGCAAAAAAAGTATTTAGAGGCCTAAGAAAAACTGCGGTCTTTCTGGCCGAGGATGCCCTTTTCTCCACGCATTAAAATAAAGTTGCCGCTTTCTTGGGCGTGCCCTCTAAACTAACCTCGCTTTATTTTACATGTGCACCGAAATGTGCCCACCAAAGCGCGCAATTATGCCCACGCCAGGTCGCGTCAGGACAGCAGGCTTCTCTCTGCAGACCGCGCCAAGCGCTTCCAGCAGCAGCAAGTACTTCTCGTTTCCGCCGTTTTCCAGAAGCAAAGCCTTCATCTCCTCGCTGCATTCTGCGTACGCCAGTGCCCTGTTCGGAATGGACATGCTTGGGAGCGAAATCTCTTTCACATAGTTGCAATGCGGGGGGTGATCATGTGAAACATCGTCCTTTATTGTTTCCCGGCCTGCTTAAATGCCTATGTATTTAATATATCCCTTAATCGCTAAGTTATGCGGCCCCTTAATTGGGCCCATCTATGCAGCATACAACAGCGCACATTTCCTCTTCTGATAGGCCATCCTGCCCGGGTGGGGCACCCATCTGCAATATATATACATAGGTTTTCTCCCTTGACCATGAACGCAAAATGTTATGCACTTATGCTTGCAGCGCTGGCGCACTGCGCGCACGCGCGAGTGTCGTTTGACGAGGTCATAGAGATGCAAAGCACTGAAATAAGAAACAGCAACAGCTTCATAAACCCAAGGGGGCCGCTCTGCCTGCTGCGCGGGTTCGTGTACTCCGAGCAAGGCCACATGCACAACAAGCGCTTCTTTTCGCCTGAAATAGAAACTGACTACAAAGTGGAGCCGGTTGGGGATGTTGAAACCACAAACAAGCACACATACACAAGAAAAGCGCAGAAGGACAAGCTCTATCCGCCTGCAGAGGGACCCGCTCTGGGCTCCAAGCCTGCGAGCACAGACTACTCTGCGGAGTACCACCGCACGCTTATCGAGATGTTTCCGTCTGTCGACGGGCACACTCTGTCCGTGGCTGTAGGTCGGAAGGACTCGTTCTTCCAGTTTCTGCAGAGAATGCCCAGCAATCACGCGCACTACGTGCTGGCTGCGCTCCTCCTGCTGAGTGAGGGAATAGACGTGCCCATCGAGACCACACAGAATGAAATAGCACTGGAGATAGGCAGCATAAAAGTTGGAGCAGACTTGTGCAAAAAGGCCACACAGGTCATAAAGTTCTTCAAAGACAACAAAGGCAAAGGAAAGCTGCCTTGCACGCCAGAGGCCTTCAGCACCGGCGACTTTCTAAACACGCCGCAGTTCCTCATCCAGGCGTACGTCTTTGAGTACATCACGAGCAAGAGCGACGCCCTGGACTTCGCAGCGTGCGTGCACGCCATCCTCACAAGCCTGCCGGAAAATGACTGCAAAGACGTATACAACACGTGCTTTGTGGGGAGCAAGGACAAGGCTGAAGAAGACGAGCTTCTGCGCCAGCTTGTGCAGATTCAGACAAAAATGAAGATTCTACAGTCGTTCCCGTTCGTCAGCCCGAGCATGCTGCCGGCGTACACAAGCGTGCATGCCTGCAAGAGAGGCCAAACAGAGTTTTTGGACGAAACATTCAGCAACTGCGTGGAGACCGGCCTGTTTGCGCTCTTCTGCTGCCTTGCACACGACCCAGTCCAGAAAGAATACGACGCGGACGCCATGCTCGGCGAGGCAAAGGAGGGTGATAAAACAGAGGCCCTGCGTAATTTCTTCGGGTTATTGAAGAGTGCCATCTCAAAATTATTCGGCAGCAGAAACACGCTGCAGGAGTGGAATAATGGCGCGCAAGCCCTGCGTGCCTTCTTTCAGAAGGAAAGTGTCACCCCAAAACAGTGCGCCACCAAAGAGACAATGCAGGAGTGGAACCGCGTTGTGTCTGGCCTGCAGAGCGAGCACATCGCGTATGTAAGGCCCAGCCGAAACGAGGTGCGCTCCGGAATCTTCAACGTGCTCTATGTTATCGCAGAGGTGACAGGCAGACTGGAAGAGGAGAAGCTGAGAATACGCGAGCTTGCGCAGATGCTAGAAGACTCCGAGATTGATGAAGACTTTGAGGATGTGTTTGAAAAAACACAAGAGTACGTGGCAGAGCTTTTCGCGTCCCTCTCTGTGGATAAGAGCTTAAAAGTCGAATTCTCCGGCTTGAAGGTCGACGTCCGAAGTGATAAGAAGAAAGACCTCTACGGAAAGATCACCCTGAAGTGCACAGACAAAGACCGCGTGGTCGAGCAGGGCATATGCCTTGCCTTTAGGCCCAGGCACCTTACAGTTACTTTGTGCCCGTGCGTCTTCCTTTCTCTTACGGACGAAGAAAAAGAGGCCTTCTTTGCGGTGGACGGCTACTCAGAGCCTGCAGACTTTGTAGAGTGCCTGCTTGCCAAGTACGCAGACGCGTGGAGGGCCAGGGGCACGGAGTACTCTAAATCTAAACTTATTGAAGACACACGGGAGGCCTCAGAACGCTTAGCTGTCGATGGAGCCTCTGCGCACCCAAACCAGCTTTTCTTGCTCGGAAGCGCTCTGAGATACGAACAGATACAAGAATTCTCCGAGAACTTCACCCTGCATGCAGCAGCAAAAGGCACCAAGCTCGCCCAGAAGCATCCGGCCGTGCGCCTCCTCTCGAACCTGCTCGGCAGCCTTCCGCTGGACGACAATGCAACGCAATCCACTGTGCTGGAGTGCCCAGTATGCCTAGACATGCTGGGCAAGCTATTTCCAAGAATCGCCCTGTCAAAGGAAATATTTGCTGATATATACAGGAGCGCATACGCGATCCGCACCATGAAACTCTACATCCGCCCTGAAGTCGACAGCGCGCCCGCAGCAAACGCCATCATGAAGTACTTTAGAGAATACAAAGAGCAGACACGCGAGCCTTTTTTCCGGTGCCATGCTGTGGCAAGCTTTGCCGCCATCTCTGACTTGTTTCCTGTTTTGCTTGCAGACAAGTTAATGCGCCACGTAGACGAAATTGGCGCGCTTATTACGGATAAGGAGGAGAAAGACCGGGCAAAGGTGCTGGATGCCAAGGCAACCTTTGACCTCCTCCTGTTTTTCGCCAGCCTGAAACATAATGGCACCCCGCTCGAGCTGATGCTTGCTCTGGGCAGCAGGGTTGGGCCAAGGTTGATCCAGGCATGCAGTGTCACCAATTGCAGGTTTTATATCAATAGCCAAACAGCCTCTAAGATTCTGGAGGCTCTGAACGCACACTGGAGCGCTCTGCTGCAGACGCCCAACGGAGAGGAGGTGTTCAGCGGCGTGCAGTGCATACTCAAGTCCAGAATACACTAGGAAAGTTGCCTGGTGCGCATGCACGCCATGCGGCCTTCTCGCGCCCTCTGGCCTCAGACAAATAAAAACTTTGGCAAGTTGCTTTATCTTTCCTGAGAACAGCTCGTGCCAAGATAAAGCTTTATTTGTACGCCAGAAATAGTCCTCTGGCAACAAAAAAGAATAAACCCAGAAATGAAAAAGATTTACTTAGACTTGGAGAGCCCGAGCCTTCTTCTCTTGGAGCCTTCTGCTCTCAAACAAGCCTTGCCAGGCTTATACATGCTTCCTGCAACTCGCCCAGCTTCACGCCTTTATTTCGGATTTTGGCAAAACATTTCTTTCTTGCACAGACCCTCGCTCTCCGCATCAACGGAGGCCTCCCTTGCCTTCGCTTCCAGACACAGACTGAATCTTTTCTAGTTCCAACCGCGCATCTGGCTCACACAGCTCTGCCAAAGGCTTTTCCTGATCTCCCATCGCAGCACGCAAGCCCTCACTATGCCCTTGTAGGTCGCTCGAAAGCCATGCGTGCTCTCTCGATATAATTTAGCTGTTCTGCGCTCTGCATGCTCTTTTAAGGCTACATTTAAATGCGCGTTCTCATTAATGGCTGCCTCCAAACGCTTGCACTTCCTGCCGAATGCCTCTTTTGAAGCACCTTCTCAGCGCCCGCCCTCGTCTGCCTCCTTGCACATAAAAGTGCTTCCACTTGCAGCACATATCATTGCTAATAGCACCCTGGCGCCCGCCAGCACCCGCCCCTTCCAACTTGTTCGAAGCGCACATACAACCATCCAAGAAAAATCTCGTGCGCCTATATATTACTAGAATGCATCTAAATGATGGCAAGTATCAAAACGATAACATTTTAGTGAATTCGCAGAGAAGAAAAAGGAAAAAACGCGCACGCTCTCCCCGCGCAGCATGAAAAGCATGCAAGCAAAGGACTTCGTTCTTCGTGCACTCAGAAGAGAAGCAGCGCCCAGGCCCATTCTGGCCCATTGCAAGCTCTGCAGACATAGCGCACAAAAGGAAATAAAACACACCTCCACGCATTCCCTTCCAAATCGAAAGTTTCCTTCCGAAGGCTTGCAAGAAGAACAATAAAAATTCCCACAACAGCAGGGGAGGTTTTGCAACTCCGGCACGAAAGGCTACGCCGTGGCGCGCTGCCGGGCGCACAGAAGAGATCCACAAAAGAGCCCAGTAAATACAGAGTTTTGTCTGCACTTGGTGCGAGGCAGAAAAAGCACAAAAAGAATTTGCCGAAAACAGGCGAAACACAGAGAAAACACGCAAAGCAGCCAAGGCTTTGAAAAGCCCCGGCTCTTCCCCGCGCAGCACGCTGAAAGATGTGTCTAACGAACTATGTTTATTGGCTGCGCACCGTCATGTTTTAGACAGTGAGCGCTTCTGCAGAGTGGGCGCAGAAAAAAGCACTCTTTTTATTGGAGCGTTTCCTGCGCCACTCATTTCTGGCTCAAATCACTTCTGGCGGAAGCCTTACACTGCATTTGCGATAGCCGCCACTTCTACTGGAAGTACTCCTTCCAGGACTGCTGCAGCTGCGCAATCAGAGCCTCAGCCCTCTGCAAATCCTCCCCCGTGTGCTCTGCCCGCAAAAGAATGCAGATCTCTTTCAGCACTCCCCGCGAACTGGCCGCAGATAACCATGTACAACAAAATGGCCTTTCAGCAGCCTCTTTCAGCATCTCGCACATGTACAGCGGCTTGCCTGCCCTCATGGCATATTCCCGGAAATACCGCATCATGCTTTTGCATGTAAGAACATTCGACTCTTCGATGGAATGCAGGTTGTTATAGTCGGCAAATTTCTGCGAACACCAAATCTCCTGATGCAGCTTGTCAGACAGCTGCACCCTTAGACACAAGTTATGCAGAGTCCCGGTGACCACAGGCACTCCAAAGGCCCTATTATACTGCGCTGCCACGCGGCCAAGGCTGATACTCCCCATCACGTTTGCAGCCAGCCGGCTTATTGGGTGTTCTGGAGTCAGCGCAATCTTTTTGTGCTCGGCATACAGCACAAGCGCAGAGACAAGCTCCTCCCTGATGTCCTTGCCCGCAACCGGAAGCGCCAAAAGCACCCCATTCGGCCTGTCCGCGCTGTACTCAACAGCCTTTCTCGCGGCTTCCCGCAGCTCATTGGCTGTTGCATGTGAAAAGCTCTGCGCGGTTGCCCCTATCGCCATCTGGTGCATGCACTCCGCAAGCACAAAGCTCGAAAACCGCTCATGCTGCCTGTATTTTGCGGGCGCCACGTCCAGCTTTTCCTGCAATTCGTGGTAATAACCTAAGTGTGGCATAACCAGTGATATCTTCGAGAAGCCATTCTGACTGAACGACAGATTCAGATCTTGCTCGCTGAATTTGCCTATTTTCCTATACTCTACTGTAAGAAGATATCTTTCGGGCTCAGAGCCCTTTGATTGCTTCTGAATGATCACCTTCACGCGCTTGTCCACTGCTATCGAGCGCAGCAGCGCCTGAACGCTCTCGATCGCCTCGGGGGTCAGCTCTGTGCTTCTTTTGGCGTCCATGGCCGCTTGGTATGCTGCCAGCTCGTCCACCACGGCCTGCGGCCGCCCCGTCATCTGCGCAAGCACGCGCATCTGGTTTAAAAGCGTTGGCGCGGCATTCCCCAGCGCCTCCTTAAATTGCGTGTTCATCTTGAGCCACAGGTCCCTGTACCTCTGCGTTTGTGTGTTATTGGGAAACCCCAAAGACAAACGCTTTTTTTCAATGCATGCCTGCAGCTCATCAAAAAATGCCCTGGTTTTTTCCACCTCCTCCGTTTTCTTACCCCCGCTCAGAAGGCCCTCCAGGCTGTACGCTTTTTTGTCGGAGTCAACCGAAAGAAACAGCAAGAGCAGACACGCCTCAAGAAACCTGCAGTTTGTGCCGCGGTTGTCAAAGTACTCCTTTTCTGCATCTGGGGCATCTTTTTTTTGGACTGCCATCCTTACTTCGTTTTGAAAGCTCTTAAACTCTTCAAAACGCTCCAAGGCCGTTAAAGTAGGAAACGTCTCTAGAAATGGCGCAAGATACGCCTGGGCCTCGGGTAGCCGACTCGCAGGCACAAACAGTCGGCTGACCGCGCTGCCCGGGTCCTCCATGCTCTCAGCCAGCCCCATGTCGTCTAAAATTTCGAGTGCGCACATCATCACAGACATAAGCTCCTCGGTGTTTTTCACGTACTCGCCTATGTACGTGAGAATAAGGAGCTGCGGGCTCTCCAGAAAGTCTCCCGACTGGAATTCCTCATACGTGCTTGGCATCTTGTGTGTATCCGCGTACTGCTTGAAGAAGCTTATCACCTGCCAAGCCTCGGAAAGCTGCTCTTCCCCGCTATCTAAAGCTGCCCTTCCCATGCGGGCATCAACCAGCATGCCTTTGCTGCATTTTCTTTGTCTTATAATCATCCCCTCTTTGGCCAGCTCAATCGGCACGTCCACGCCCTCACACAAGAGCAGCAGCGCTGCCAGCACATAGTGCGAATCTGTTTGCGTCTTGCAGCCCTCCCGAAGGAACTGAATAAAAGAGCCTGGTCGCGCGCACTCAACCGACAGGCAGTCGTACTCCGGCCCGCTAGATTTCCGCAGTCCAAACATCTGCAGCAGCGTCCTGTGGAACTTCACACTGTATCCACCATCGCTAGTAATCATTCCCGAATGCAGCTCGTCCTTCTCCGACTCTCTCCTATATACATACTTGCCTAAGCGCCTGCTCGGCACCAGACTGAAGCTTGTGTTCACCTTGCACGAGTACGCCCGCATTTTGTACGCATGTCCCAGCCGGCAAATCTGCGCTATGCACACCGGGTGCCCGCCCCAGCGCGTGTTCACATACACGGGCTTTCCGCACACGTGGCCCACCTCCTTGTTCTGGCACGCTAGCATCTCTTCATGCGTCATGTATATGCATTTTGCTATCTGCGCGGCTGCAAGCAGTCCGCATAATAATACTCCAAAACGCAATCTCATTTCTGAATAAAAATTGCTTTTTCATTTATGCAGTATACATCGATCAATTGATTGTGCCTTTTGGTCATCACAAAACATTTTAATATATATATTGCGCGCAGCCTCTGCTCTCTGGGCTTGCAGAGGCCCACCTCCATAAAGCAAAAGCAAAAGCAAAAACCTGCTGCACAGGAACAGCCCACGCAAAGAATAAAAGGCTTCCACTTTTCCAATCCGGCAGCGCTTCAACCCTTTCTCCCTTCTTTGCACATTTCTGTTTTTGCTGGCTCCTGCGGCCCAGCTCCTCTTGAATTTCTTCTCTGCGCGTTTCCTCTTCCGCGCTTTGCTTTTCTCTGAATCTACTGCCCGGACCTGCCCCACCACCCCCACTTCTGGCACACCTTCATCCGCCAAGACCTCGGCCTAGCCCGAGTAATAGCCCATGCTTTCTTGTTTGTTCGCCTTTCACCAGCAAAAAAAGTATTTAGAGGCCTAAGAAAAAACTGCGGTCTTTCTGGGCCGAGGATGCCCTTTTCTCCACGCATTAAAATAAAGTTGCCGCTTTCTTGGGCGCGCCCTCTAAACTAACCTCGCTTTATTTTACATGTGCACCGAAATGTGCCCACCAAAGCGCGCGACCTCCCAGGTTACCAGGCCGAAACAGCCGGCCAGGCAGGAAAAGCCGGCAGGAAAGAAAGAAGAAGCACGCCCTGCGCGCGAGTGCTTGCTCTGTTTGTAGAAACACACGCCCCATCCCCGCTGCATGCTCTGCACTGTGCCGAAATGATGCCTTTAAGTGCCTTCGGGACATTCTTTGGTTTGCATCTTTGCCCACACCTTTTTAAGAATGTGCTCCCAATGCCACAGCCCACTCCAACGTGCTCTTTTGCGCTGCCCTCTATGCCTTCTCCTGCGCGTGCATGCTCCTTCTTCCTTCTCCCGCCCACAAAAATGAAAACAAGTCTGTCTCTCCACAGTAAAGAGAAAGCGCGCACACTGGAATACCTCCTATACTCCACAGAGCATTCAACAGAAAGGCTACGCCCCCCTGCGTCAAACTCTCCTTTCCTGTCTTCTCTCGCACCCTCTCTCCACTTTCTGCCGTTCTGTCTTTTCTACTATACTATACTACCAACATACTCCAAAAATAAATTCTTCATTCTGCTTTTTTCCTTCCAACCTCTCTAGAGCATACTACATTTTGTTTACTTTATTTTTCTTTCTTTTCTCCTTCCCGAATTCATGCATGCAGTGCAGTACACTGCAATAAAACACACAGCATCCCGCAGCAAGGCGGGGCCGATAAAACACTCGCCCTTCTTCTGCTTCCAAGTTTCCGCTTCTCCAAAGAACAACTAAGGCAAATATATTTACTTGATTTATTGTTTGTCTTCCTGCACTTGCGGCTAGGCCGCGGAAAGTCCATGCGACGTGCAAGGCATGCGGGGAAAAGTAGAAGGACCTGTGGCTAGGAAGAGCCATAGGAGCGGCCCCAGATCGGAAAAAGCTTTTTGTTTTTGTTTTTGCAGAATTTTGGAAAGAAACTCTTAAAGTGTCTTTCCATTCCTTTTACTCTCAATTTTGCAAGCCCCGCAAAAGACCTTGAAATCACCCTGAGTTGCATCCCGGAAACAGCTGGACATAGGAAGTTAACCAGCAAACCAAACCAATTGCCGCAGACAGGGCGCACCGCAGGCGCTGCAGTTTAAAGTCTGGCGCTTGCTCGGTTTGGGTTTTTGATCGTCTGTTTGCGCCAGACACATGGGCCAGCCACTTGCATGCACCCTGCTGTGCGCCCGCTCACCTTGCAGCGCGCAGCGTTTTCCACAGCATTGAAAGCTTTTTAATCCCGCCTGCCCCCATGAGAGCAGCCTTTATGCTGTGCAAGCGCTCTACCACGCTGTTTATGTCCTCCCCCGACAAAAAACAGCGAATCTCTTTAAGCTCTGCTTCGGAGCAGCACAGGTCAACAATCTGGTACACCTGGAGAATGTCCTCGCGGTGCTTTTCCAGGCCCATGTCGAGCAAAATGATGAGCCACGCAAGCTGCAGCCTTCTCACCAGCGCCTGCGCCCTTTCCAGATCTTTTCCTGTGTGCTCTGCCAGGACAAGCCTGCTGATCTCCTGCAGGGACTCTAGCGGGCTGTCTCCGAACAGGAATTCGCTCCAGGGCCTTATTTTCAGGCACTTGTGCAGCCGCTCACACTCGAACAGCGGCTTTCCCTTGTTTTCTGCATACATCTGGAAGTACTGCATGTAAGCCTCCCCTATCGCGGCCTTCCTCTTTTCGGGCGGGTGCATGCGCACATAATCGGAAAGGCTATAGAGCTCTAAAGAATGCTCGGCGCGCCCTGCAAACATCTGCGCAATCGGGTGCATGGTCTTTAGCATGTCGCCAAACGAAGGCACAGGCTCCATGCCATTCGGCGCGCCCTTGCTGCGCCCTACCAGGTTCGCAGTCAGGCGCGCTATTGGATGGTGCGGGCTAAGCGCAACATGGCTTGCGTGCGCATACAGCAGAAGCGCAGAGAACAGCTCTTTTTTAAAGGCCTGGTGTGTAGCAGGCAGCGCCAGAAGCACACAGTTGGGCCTGTCCGGGCTGAACTCTACTGCTCTGCGGACTTCCTTTCGTAGGCCCCGGATGGTTTCGCCAAAAAAGTCCTCCTCCTGGCACTCCAGAGCGGCCCGGGCCATGCACTCCGCAAACACAAAGCCCGAAAAGGCCGTGCTTTTTTTGTACTGGGCAGCCGCGTTCTTCATGTTTTTCTTTGTGCACGCCAAATGGAACACGGTCGGCAGCTCGAGCTTCTCCAGAGAAACCTTTCTTCGGAAAGAGAGCATCAGGGTCTGTCTCCGCCTTTTTTCTTCGTGTGGATGGCTTATCACAAGCAAGTAGCCTTTTCGGCTCGAATTCTCCTGGATGCCCACCTGCACCTGCTTATTCACAGCCAGAGAGCGCAGCAGCGCGCAAATGTTTTTTATTTTCTTTCTGTCCAGGCTGGTCTTTTTAAGGCCGCACATGGCCATCTTGCACGGTCGCAGGCTTTTCACCACCGCCTGCGGCTGGCCGGTCATCTGCGCAAGCGCCCACATAAACTTCAGAAAGCCCGGCTTTATATACACAAGAATGTCTTTAAGCTGTGTGACGGCTATGCGCCACAAGCCCGTGTAATTGCACTTATATGGGTCGAACGGGCCAAAGGAAGAGCACTCTTCTAAGTGATTCCCCAGATTCTGGAGAAAAGCCCTTGTTTTTGCCGCCTCCTTAGTGTCCTCCGCGCCTCTCAGAAGGCCGTCTAGGCTGTACCCCCTTTTTTCTGGGTCGTATGCAAGACACAGCAAAAGCGCACACACTCCAAGAAAGCTGCTGCACTTGCCATTGCACTCGAAGTGGGCTTTTTCACACATGCTCAGATTGCTGCACAAATAGCAGCACTCGCTGAAGCTCTTAGAGGCGGAAGCATGCCCCTTCGCTTTTATTTCCCTTTGAAAGCGCATAAACTCGCTCAGGCGCCGCAGATTCGCTATCTCCGCCTGCGCGCCCAAAAACGCGTCCAGATACGCCTGGGCCTCAGGCAGCCGCCACGCAGGCACAAACAGCCGGCTCGCCACGCTGTCCGGGCCTTCCAAGCTCTCCGCTAGGCCCATGCCCTCCAGAAGGTTAAATATGCACCGCATGACTGCCGTAAGCTCCTCAAAGCTGGTAGCATACTCGCCTATGTACGTGAGGATCAGAAGCTGCGGGCTCTCCAGAAAGTCTCCCGTTTTAAACTCTTCGTATGTGCTTGGTAGCATGTGTGTGCCTCTGTACCGCTTGAAGAAGCTCACCACCTGCCACGTCTCGGATGGCTGTCCTTCGCTGCCATAAAAAGCCTCCATGCTTGCATCCACCAGCACGTCTGCGCTTTCCTGGCTTTTTTTTACTATGACTCGGTTCCCAGCCACTTTAATCGGCACGTCCACGCCCTCGCTCAGCAAAACCAGCGCAGCCAGCACGTAGTGCGCCTCTTTTTGCGTTCTGCATCCCTCCCGAAGAAACAGCGTGAAAGAGCATGGTCGTCCTGTCTCAACCGTCAGACAGTCGTACGCCAGCCCGCCGTCTCTCCGCAGCCCGAACATCTGCAGCAGCGTCCTGTGGAACAGCAAACTGTATCCCCCGTTCTTTCCAAATGCGGCAGCGCCCTCAATGTCGCCTGGAAGGTGCAGCCCCTCTCTGTGCGCATAGGTTGCATACCCGTGGCTGGAGCCCGTATCTGTGCTGAAATGCGTGGCCATCCCAGAAGAGTATCCCCGCATATTGCGCACATAGCCCAGCCAGCACAGCCAAGGTATGCACGCGGGATGCCCAGCCCATTTGGGGTTCACACACACGTCTTCTCCACCCGAACGGCCGACCACAGCCTCCACACACGCAACCGCACCCCCATGCGATGGCTTTATGCACTTTGCCACATGCACCGCCGAAAAAAGCACACATGCCAGACCAAAGTACAGATTCATGCTCAAATAAAATGTTTTTATTATAAATTACACCCAATCAATTTTATGAAAGACGCAGATAGAAAATGGACCAGAGAGGCGGGGGCCAGAAGCGAGCTTCGCCATTGGAAGAAGCCTCTGGCGCCTCCTTTGGCCGCCCTTTAGTCTGGTGGCTTTTGAAGGGCCCCCAAAGAGCCTTTGCACGCATAAAAATCCGGCTTCCAGCTGTGAATAGAGTGTTTTATCTGCACGCGTGGCAAGCGCCCTGCATAAAGAGGCGCTGGCCAGAGAAAAGCTGCCCGCATGTGCACGGCAGAAAACACATGCAGGCTCGCTGCAAACTTATGCGATAAAATAGTGCAAAGCAATGGGCTTCTGCAGAAGCTTTGCGGCTTATTAAAAGAGGAAGAAAAAGAACAGAGCAAAAATAAAGCGCGAGGCGCCCGCCGGCTGCCGTGCATGCGCAAAGTCTTCTGGCTAGTGCTTGGCTTGGCGCAAGAAGTAGTGCTTCATCTATATGATCTAAAAGCCTTTGATGCCATAATGCTTGTGTGATGTTGTATAAATATAGCAAAGCGCACCCGGAGGGTGCATGAACAGAGGATTTGGAAGATTCAAATCAAGACGTGAATACTGGAGTACTTTCATATGCCTAGCATTGATTGCTCTGGCCGCTGCTGCATTCATGCTCTTTCCGATGGTCCTTGGGGGGCATGCCCTGCACAGTGAGCCCAGCACAGACGGCTTCCACGCAATAAATTCCATTGAAGGCGCAGGCAGCACAGACGGCGTTCAAGCACGGGCAGACAGCCCTTCCTATTTGCAAAGCCCAACAGCACCCGAGAAAAGACTGCCTGCCGGCGAGCGCATTAAAAGGGCCTTCCAGCAGTCAGAGGGAAAGGGCTTTATGAAGTTCCTCTCTAGTCTGGGCCCAGGCATTCTTGCCAAGAAGGCTGCACTGTGCGAAATATCGCAGGCTCCAGAAAAGTACGCGCACTTAGAACAGTTTGGCGGCGCAATATATCCTCTGGCTTTGCAGACCCTGCGCTTTATTGAGGAGTTCTCCCTGCAAAGCTTCACCCCCGCATGCTTTGACCGTGTCGCACAGGAGCCCGTATCCTCCGCTGCGCTCAGCAAAAACGCCTCCTTCTATTTAGAAAGTGACTTGGCGAAAGAAAAAAGAGACAGAGGCCTGGCGGCCTGGGAGGGCATGCAGCTGGGCGAGGAGCTGCAGAGTCTTTCTTCTGCTGTGCGCTTTTTCTTCCGGATGCCCGGAGTGTTCGGCGACCTCCTGGAGATGGGAGAAAGCAGCCCACTGGCTGCCCCAAGCGGCAGCTCTTTGAGGCACTTGCCATCCCTGCAGCGCTTGAGTTGCGTGGCCCGCGGCGTGCTAGCGCTGCAGGAGCGCGCAGGCAGCGCAGAAGAGGCAGAAAAATGCTTCAAAAAGGAGCTGGAGGCGCTGAAGGAGCACATAAGCAGCCTTCCATGTAATTTTCAGAAAATCTCCCCCAAGCTTTCGAATGAGGTGTTTCTTCCAATACTTCAGGCTATTTGGGCGTTCTACAGAAAGCGCCCAGACCCCGGGGCAGAAAAAGCGCTTGTCGGAAGGCCCGTGTTTTTCCCAAAAGAAACACAAATAAGCATATTCAAGTGGGAAAAAAAAACCAACACTATCCTTTACGACCAAACCCACCCGTCGGAAAACAACAGCGCCCCGGAGTTTTCGCTCCTTTTTGCGCCCAGTGGAGTCTCTCTGCAGAGCGTGTGCTACGTGGACAACGAAGAGCAGGTGCGGAAGCCCGTCGTAATTGTGCAGAGCAGAGCGCAAATTCTCTGCAAAGAGGTTGTGAAATACATTGCAGCCATGTACAAGAAGCCGCAGAAGCAAATACATGTGTTTTCAATCAGCCTGCAAACGCATGCCCTAACCCGAAAAGACCCAGAAAAAACTGCATACTTCAGCGCAGACAAAGACAGCGCAGAGCTTCTGGCCTTCTACTACATAGCGAAAAAGGTGTGCAAAGGCGCAAGCTTCACGCTTGCAGAGTTTAGGCCGCGCAAAGCAGAGGGCGCAGAGCAACGGAGGAGGGTTGTATACCTTCCGCTGTTCCTTAGCGACATGATGGCCAGTGCCATACCAATGTCCCAGCATGCGGGCAGCAAGGACATTTCCGCACCGGGGGGCTTGGAGCGTGTCAAAAGAATACAAAATGTGCACAACGCGCTGCCGCTGGTGCTTTTGCACAGCGATAAAAGCGCCGAAAGCCACTACCAATCAAACACCGCCGAGCTGGGTGATGTGCACGCTCTGGAGCTAGACATGTGCTACGCTATGTCCTCCATTCGGGTTATCTGCGATCCAAGCGTGGAAGATTGCGAGTTTATTTCGTACAGAACCCGGAAAGTCGAGAAAGAGCAAAGCCATCTTGTCTGCATAGGAGAAAGCGCCAGAGAGCTGCTGAAGCAGGGCGGCCTGCGCGGCGTCGTTCTGCGCGCTTTGATGGAGTAGCAAAAGCACGCGGCAGCGCGTTATGGCAGTTCCAAGCCCGGGCTCTTCCCTGCACAGCGCCAAGCACACAAGAATAAAGGACTTGTCGTTTTTCCTTAGGCTGCAGTTATCTTTTATTTCTAAGGCGCAAGCGACTCATCTGGCTTTCTGAAAAGAAACCATAGCAGGTAGTTGTGTATACTCAGCTCCGGCTTGAACCGCCCTATGCGCCGAATGGCCATGTAGCACTCTCCAGGGAGATACAGCTTGTCCTTGTTAGACTCTAAGCGGTATTCGGCGGCCTTCTCCTTTGCTATGTGGCCCATCTTCTGCTGCGCGCCGCGGCAGAACACAGACCCAACCACGCCCTCGCTCCTACAGGCATAGTGCGCCTGTATTTCCTTAATGCGCTCTACAATTCTGTTGTGGTTTTCCACCGCGTCGAGGGTGCTATCCGTGCCTTTGAGGGCATAGTGTGAGTACCCCTCCATAGACTCCTGGCTTTTGCTGCTCCAGAGCAGTCTGCCGCGGCCCGCGCCCAATATATCTAATTCAGTGCACATCACCCGGCACTTGAGATTGCATTTCGGCATGCCTACGCGCAAGCCGCTGTACATGCTCTTTGCCCACTTTTGCCCGTCCGTGCTTTGCGCAAACCCCTCCCGGACACAGGCTTCACTGTACGTGTACACACACGGCTCCACGCCGCCTGCGCGCAGGCTGTCTACGGAGACTACACGATGGGGCACGCGGTCCTTCTCGGTGTACGGAGACAAAAGCAGCGCGCTCCGAAGGAAGGGCGACAGAAACAGCGGCAGGCTTAAGTCGTCGGCATGCTCCTCCTGGCCTTCAAACGTTGCAAGGGTAAAGTAGTTGTCCTTCAGCTTTTCCGGAATATTGTAAAACACCACAACGTGCCCCGTTTCAAAAAGTTGCTGCGCTGTTTTCTGCATATCACTGGCCTTTGCCATGCGCCACACGCGCTTTCCTTTTTCGAATATCAGCGGATATATTGTGTCTTTCTTGCCCAGGCCCAGGGACTCAAGGTGCAAAATAGAATCGCCGATAGAATGCATGCACGCGTCGACGCCGCCAGCCATGTACACAGGAGTGCACACAGTGGTGTACGCCTGGAGGTGATTGTTCACAAAGTGGAGGTGCTGGTGCGTTTTTGGGTCTTCTATGGCCACATAGTGGCGATCAATGGGGGCACACGCAGTCAATAGTGGCGTAATCTGGCCGGCAGAGGCACAGAAAGAGACGCGCATCGAAACATACTTCTGGGGCCTCACCGCACTCTTGCCCAGAAACCTCCGATTGGCCACTCTGCCCACACCTCTTCTGCTGTCCTTGTATTGCCATGGGCAGTATTTGTAGAAAAGCAAAAGCGCGCTGTAGGCCTCCTCGTACATGCTCTCTGCAAACGCAAGGTCATTTTTCTGCGCCGTTTCTATTTCAGACGCGTGCCAAATGCCGATGCAGGCCCTTTTGCAGCTTTGCATGGCCAGACACTCGTTCGCTTGCGCACGTATGTACTTCAGTATCTTTACGGCGGTTTTTATAAGCACTTTCTTATTTTTTGCTTTCTGGTGCACGCGGATGCACTTCAGCGTTTCCATGAAAGTCTTTTCGTCAACGTGGGAAAAGTCGTCCAGCACCTCAGGTATCCCAAGAACCGAGCAGTATCCCTGAAAAGAACGGCCTGCAGAGGCTTGCACAGCCAGCTTGAGGTCTTCTATGTCTTCTGTGTGCACGGCGCTTTGGGCAAAGATGTCGCCCAGGCTGATTCCAAACCCGTAGAAATCGCCACAGACGCCGCCATGCATCGCTGAAAGCTCTTTGTTTTTGGTTTTCTTCATGTATTGCTTCGCGTCTTCATAAAACCCCGGGTAGTATCCTCGGATGTTTTCCAGAGCAGGCGAGAGCTCATGAAAAGCCCTGAAAAGAAAAAGCGCGCGCAGGCTCTGCCCTGAATACTCTAAGCATGCATCCACCACACTCCATACGCTTTCGGGCGCTGAGCTTTTAATCTTTTGCTCTAAATTCCGCAGAAAAACGATTTCATTTGGTTTTATGCCGGGCTCCCTCTTGGGCGACTTAAGAAACAAGAGGTTGCTTGGATGCGTGTAAAAACTCAAGGGGCGGTTGGCCCTGCAGGCGCTCGAGCTGCTGTTCTGGAATTCTCTGCCTCCGCCCAGCGCATCTGCCTGGAGCTCCATCGGGGTCTCTATGTAGAACGCAGCGTGGCTGAACCAGTCGTCCACAGCGGAGGCGGCTTTAGCGCTTGAACACGCACTCGAGCTCGATGGGCCCGCTTCCTGCGCACAGGAATTTGCTGCGGTGCTCCAGGCTTGCGCATCTTGCTCGGCCTGGACAATACATCCTTCTTCTATCTTATTGCATAAGAAAGCCATAGTCTGCGCTTCGCCGATCTGCTCATTTGTCTGTGCGTTGTTCTGCCATTTTGCACGCTTCTCAGAATATTCCTCTGGCAGCGCCTCCTTAGCAGGGCGCCTGCATGGGCCTTTTCTTTTTTCTACTAAAACATCAAGGTATTTCTCAAGATCGGGGCCAATCGGCGCGTCAACAGCCTCAAGCGTGCAGTCTAACACTTTCATTGGAGCAAAGAACTCGTCTAAAAACTCGCAGGACAACACAGGAAGCGCCTTCTTCTGCCAGTCTGCACTCGGTGCTTTGGCAGCTTCTCCTGGGCGCGCGCTTTCATAAACGCCAGGCTGTGTGCTTTCACAGAATTCTGCTGCGTAGGGCGTTGCACTGCCTGCAGAACAGCTCTCACCAGAGCCTTTTGCGCCAAGAGCATACACCATGCATATTGAAGCCGCCCAAGCCCCCATCCATACAGCGCTGCTTGTGCGAGCTTTACATGGAGGCGCTCTTTTCAGAGACACTGTTTCCTTTTTGTATGCGCGTGCTTTCTTTGTTATGCCAGATTTTAGCATCATTTGTTCAATGGACAAAATAAAAATGTGCTAGAGTATGCAGAAGAAAAATTCAAGCAAAAGAAGCCAACAGATAAGCCCAGCACATTTCCAAAAACACCAGTACAACTCAAATCGCATAGGCCCGGGCTAGCTAGACGCTTTCTTTCGCTGCGCATACATGCTAGAATCCCAGCAGAGAAGCCTTCCCAACGAACCAATGCTCTGCCAGGCGGGCCGCAGTGCGGGCAAGGGCGTAGATTGCCCGGCCTCCAAGCCAGGGCTGCTGGTATCGCTGCAGAGGCGCGTTGTCTATTCCAAACACGGGCCTGCAGATAAAGACCTAGCAGACACACAGAAGTTTCTGCTCAAAAATAGTTTTTTTCTGCGCCCATCGATGAAGCTGCATTTTGTACTGGCCGGGCTGCTTGCGTGCCATGCAGGCGCGAGGATTTCGTTTGCAGAGATTATGCAGATGCACAGCAAAGAAATAGGGAAGGAGGGGGTCTGTATAAACCCCAGCGGGCCTGTCAGTCTAATGCGAGGGTACATATACGCCCATAACGCATACATGTACAATAAAAGGTTTTTTTCTCCTGAAATAGAAACGGACTACAGCCTGCGCTTTAGCAGGGTGGGCAAGGGATACAAAGAGGTGTACCAGCAGAAAAGGAGCCCGACGCGTGACAGAGCATACAAGACCGCGCAGAAGGACAGCCCCGGCAGAAGCGAGCCCGCCTACACCGAGAAGTACCACAGCGCGCTTCTAAAGCTGTTTCCTTCCACAAACGGAACCAGCCTCTCGATTTCTGTGTCCCGGAAGGACTGCATGTTCCGCTTTCTCCAAAAAGCGTGCGCCCGCGAGCAGGCAAGCTACGTGCTGGCCGCGCTTCTTCTTCTCGGCGAGGGCGTCGACGTGCCCATTGAAATAGAACGCGGAGCGATCGTGCTGTGGAAAAGCCGCGCTCTTGCTGAGCAGCACCGGCTGCAGAAGGCGCAGAAGAAAAGCCTGCCAATCCCGAGCGAGCACATTCTGTGCTCGGTAAACTTCCAAAACAAAAAGATGATGAGCCCGCAGAAGGAAGCAGTCGAGATTGTGCACTTTTTCAAGGCGCACGCCCGCGAAAAAAAGCTTCCTGTAATGCAAGAAGACTTTGAAACCGGCGACTTTCTAGACAGCCTGCAATTTTTGGTTCAAGCATACATATTTGAGTACATAGAAAGCATGGACAGCGCGCTGGAGTTTGCCTGGTGCGTGCACAGCCTGCTTAAAAGCATGGGGGCTGGGGAGCCCGGCCAAACAGACCGCATTTTTGGCAGCTGCTTCATGCCCAAAGAAGAAAAGGCGCAAGCGGCTGTGTACTTAGAGCCGCTGGCCCGCATGCAGGAGTGCCTGAGCGCGCAGAACTGGTTTCCATTCTCAGACTCCGCTCTGCTTCCCAAGTACATGAACGTGCCCCTGCACAGCAAAAGCACTGGTGTGGGCCCAAAGGAGGAGTTCAGCAACTGCGCAGAAGCCGGGCTCTACGCACTGTTTTGCTGCCTTGCATACGACCCGGAAGAAAAAAAATACAACGTGGGCGGCATGCTGGGAGAGGTTGCAGGGTCTGAGGACGCCCAGAAGATAACTGCGTTTTTCAACTCGAAAAGCGCCGACCCAAAGAAGTGCGCAACCCGCAAAGTCTTTGAAGCCTGGAACCAGGTTGTTTCGGGCCTCCCCGGCGACAGCATAGCATACTGCAGAGACAGCAAAAACGAGGTGCGCGTGGGAATTCTGAACTTTCTGCGCGTTGTTTCCAAAGTGACAGGCAGGCTGCCCGAAAACAAAAAGGAGCTGGACGAGCTTGCCGAAAGCGTGCGCAGCAAAAAAGAGCCTGCGCAGAGCGCCTTCAAAGAAGTGCAGGAGCACATCGAAAGGGTGCTTAAGATGCTTTCTGTCAACAGGCGCATAGAAGTAGAAACAGTCTCGCTCAAGAAGGGGCTGAGAAGCGACGGAGAGGCAGACTTGTACGGAAGCATAGTGCTGCGATTCAGCGCCAAAGAGAACAGCTCAGTGCAGGGCATATGTTTAAACTTTATTACAGGCCATTTAAGCATCGGCCTTTTGCATCCTACGCACGTTTTTTCCGAAGAGGACCAGAAAGCGCAGGAAAACTCTGTGCGCGAGTATCGAGGCCTGGGCACTTTTGCAGGCTGCCTTTTTGCAGAGTACATAGAAAAAACCGTGCGCGCGTACACCTCAAATAGCATGAGAAATCTAGATTGCACACGCACGGTCATAGAAACTGCAAAGAAAGTGGTGGAATCCTGCCCTGAGAAGGTGAACCGGGTCTTTTTGGACAGGGAAATTTCCTGTAGCGTGGTCAAAATGAGGCTGGTCAACGCTCTCTATCTGTACGCCAAGGGGGAGCAGGTTGCAATGCCGCAAACTCATCCGATTGTGCGCCTCTTGTCGAACGTTTTGGGTAGCGTCCCGCTTGACAACCCGGAGATGCACAAGCCCTTTTTGGGCATGCCCATACTTCTGGGAGAGCTGGGGAAAATGTTCCCCCGAATACAGCTCTCCGAGTCCAAAGCCATTGTGCTTTTCCAGGGCGGGCTGCGCAGCGTGGACGTGTACATCCACACTCAGTACGGATACCCTGGAGCAGCTGAAGTGATCATGCAGCATCTTCTGATCTGCCAGCTGAAAGGCACAACGCCTGTCTCGCAGTGCAAAACGCTGAACTGTGGATTCTTGGGTCTTTACGGTTTGTTTGAGTGCATGTTTGCAAGAGGCACGAAAAGAAACGCAGAGAAGCTGGGGGCGCTTCTTTTGGCCGAGAAGCAAAAAGAAAGAAAAGACGCGGCCGTCAGACTGAAGAACAGCCTGGACCTTTTCTGGTTTGTCGTCGCAGTGGATATGAAAGCTGATAAGCCCGATCTGGTTTTTCAGCTCTACGCAGCGGTTGACCCAGACGCGCCCCGTATAAAGAGCCCCGGAGCGTTTAAGTACTTTGTTGACGCGTCCCATAAAAAAAGAGTTTTAAAATGGATGAAGCTAAGAAAGCACCACTTCATAAAGCTCGGCGGAAAGCGGAGATATTCAAAAAGCAGGAAAATACTCGAAGCGGCATAATGTGAAAAACAGCGGGCCCGGAATGTGCTGCAGAGAGGATGCCCTGCATTGGCGCGTCCCCTCCGCCAGGCGGCTGCCATGCTGGCAAGTGCTGGCAAAGAGCAAACACGCGCCCAGAGAGTGCTTAAAGAGGCCAGGCTGACAGCGCGGCATACTTGCGCATGGCTATCAAATAAATGCATTTTTGCGTTTGCTTTTATTTCTACAGCGTTGGCAGCTGCTGGCCGTGCGGGCCCAAGAAAATCGCGCGCTTGCTATAGACGCCCACTTGGATGCGGGCGTGCAGAAAAATATGCTTAAAGACATTTATTGAATATGTGTGCAACTGCACAAATGTGTGGTTTGCGCGGGCGCATATATCTATTCAGTCTGGCCTTTGAGGAAATCGGATTCTTCATTATCTTGGTGCAGCACACTCGACGCTGCTCTTTGGTTGCACAGAGACCTCAGCTTGCCATTTTGGTACTCTGCGTAGTGCGTACGCACCAGCAACTCTGCTTGATTGTTGCTCCAGTTGTACTGTAACATCGAGGTTTTTTTGCTTTTTCTTATAGTTGCTTCCCACGTCAGGGCCCTGGTCATATATTTGGTTGCAATGCCGAAGGGCAGCTTTTCCTGCTGGTTCATGACGTTCTCCATCGCCAGAATATAATCCTCGTATTTCATGGGCGATGGCGCTATGCTTTTTAGGAAAATGTTCGGGTTGCCCTTAAACAGCAAAGAGTACACGTGCTTTGTAAGCTTGTTCTCTGAGCTCCTGTGCTCGCACAGAACGCTGTACTGGTTGATTGCAACACAGGAAAGAATGCTAGTGGCTATGCGCACTGCCTTTACTATGTCAAGGGCGCCCTGCATCTTTTCCTCCGGCTTTGGACAGACCATGTGCAGCAGCTTCTCTATCTTGATAAGAATCGCGGAAGCCATTACAATTATTTTGTTCTGGTCCACAACATACGCCTGCTTTGGCTTCGTGGGGTCATTTTGGGAAGGCTTCTCGGGCATGCCCAGGCACACGGGGTCAAAGACATTGTAGGCCAGCCAGTCTGCAGGATGTGTCCCCTCGTGGTTCATCTTTTCCAAATAGGTGTGCTGGACAAAGAAGTCCAGAATCTGGTCGTTTGTGGGGTCGCTTCTAAGGTCGCATGTCGAGCTGTTTGTAGGGTCGCTTCTAAGATCGCTTGTCGAGCCGTTTGTAGAGCTTTTTCTAAGGTCGCTTGTCGAGCCTTTTGTAGAGCTTTTTCTAAGGTCGCTTGTCGAGCCTTTTGTAGAGCTTTTTCTAAGATCACTTGTAGAGCCTTTTGTAGAGCTTTTTCTAAGGTCGCTTGTCGAGCCTTTTGTAGAGCTTTTTCTAAGATCGCTTGTCGAGCCATTTGTAGAGCTTTTTCTAAGATCGCTTGTCGAGCCTTTTGTAGAGTCGCTTCTAAGGTCGCTTGTAGAGCCTTTTTGGGGGTCTTTTCCGTTTATCTTTTGGTTCTCGGTAGATATGGTGGGGGTTTTAAAGCAGAGGGTTTTCACATCCATTGTAAACGAATTGATTAAAGGGCCAAAAAGCACGGAGCGGTAGGCTTCGCACGAAAACGCGGTTTCTGTCTTGAGCCTGTACCCCTGCTTGTACGCCATCACGAACGAGTTGAAAGCTATGTTGTTCTGGAAGTTCTTCTTGCTTTCGTTGCTGTACAAAGGCTCAAGCTTTTGGTACAGCTCGCCCGATATCTGCGACATTTTTATGACATTGCTGTTTGTGCTGTCGGCCCATAGCACAAACGCTTCATCCATGACGCCTCGGATGCTGGCCCTCTGCGCGCTCTTGTATTCAGCCATGTTCACTTTCTTGTCTTCCGGGATGTTTTTGGAGTTTTTGTTGTAGTTGAGCATAAGTTTTTCGGAAATGCGCGCAAACACGTCTATCTCTGTAAATATGGCGTTTCCGGTGCACTCCAGCATGTCTTTCAGGAAAAGCGTGTACAGAACCAGAGTGTTTAAAAAACCCGGCACATTATTGGAAAGATTTTTGACGCTGGGCATTTCCAGCATCGACGCAAAGGAACGCTTGAGGCTGGACATTTCCAAGTCGTGCGAGTATCCCAGCGCAGACTCCCGGATGACCTCCTGGTATGCCTGGTTGTATCTTAGAAGGCAGCGCAGCGTGTCCTCCAGGTTCCCCTTGGGAAGCTCTAGCACCGCCCTTGTAGTGCCGGCTTCTTTGCTCGTAGGAGGAAGGTTTCCCCAATGCAGGCCATTTTTTTCAAATTCGCTTTTCACGGCGAAAAGCTCGCTCTGTATCACTTTGTGAAGGTGTTCTTTTTGAATGCCCACGGTCGCGTCCCTGCGCCCCATGATTAGAGTCTTAATGGTTGAGTTTACCAACTCATGCGCATTCAACATCCGCTCATATTTCATCTCTGCCGACATATTTTTACAGGCCTCGGGGTTTTCTTGCAGAAAAGAAACCTTGGCATAGTTTAAAATATTGGCTTCTTCGCTTCTAACCTTATCCAGCCTCTTTTTTTTGTTTTTCACATCCAGCATGCACATCAGTGTCTGGCTTTTGTCGGTGTAATTGAGCATTTGGTCCTTCAGGTTAGCCACTTCACAATTAGACGCAAACAGCGCGTCTTCCAAGTTGGAAACATTTTTTAGCGAGCTATCGAGGTTCTCCTGAAGCGCCATCATGTCACTCTCGCTGGCCTTTTTGATGCTTTCCATGCCTAGAACCCTCTCATTCAGAGCTTCAATGGTGTCCTGCAGCTCCTTCTTTTCCTTCTCATGCACGCTCACAAGATATGTCTGATTTTTTTCCATACGGGTTTTCATTTTTTCAGCCTGCTGCGCGTGGTTGTCGCTCAACTCCTGCTCTTTCGTTTCGTGCAGCTTTTTCAGATCCTCTAGCTCGGTCTGGCTGTCCTTCAGCTGAGCCTCCAGGACCTTAACCTGCTGCGCGTGCATGTCGCTCAACTCCTGCTCTTTCGTTTCGTGCAGCTTCACTGCAGTCTCCAGCTCGGCCTGGCTGGCCCCCAGCTCGGCCTCCAGGACCTTAACCTGCTGCGCGTGCTCGTCGCTTAGCTCCTGCTCTTTCTTTTCGTGCAGCTTCACTGCAGTCTCTAGCTCGGCCTGGCTGGCCCCCAGCTCGGCCTCCAGAATCTTAACCTGCTGCGCGTGGTTGTCGCTTAGCTCCTGCTCTTTCTTTTCGTGCAGCTTTTTCAGATCCTCCAGCTCGGCTTGGCTGTCCCTCACCTTCTCCTGCAATTCTTTTATTTTTTGCAGCAGCTTCTGGCTCATCTCTTCGCCTTCCTGATGGCTCTGGTTTTTCAGCTCCAGCATATCCTGCAGCTCGGTCTGGCTGTCCTTCAACTGAGCCTGCAAGCACTCAACCTGCTGCGCGTGGTTGTCGCTCAACTCCTGCTGCTTCTTTTCGTGCAGCTTTTTCAGATCCTCTAGCTCGGCTTGGCTGGCTGCTAGGCTAGCTTCGATTTCTTTGACTTTCTCTGCATGCTCCTCGTTTAGCTTCTTCTCTGCCCGCGCGTGCATCTCCACCAGGCTCTTTCGCTCAGCCTGGTTTTTGCTGAGTAAATCAGCCATTTCTTTATCATGCTGCGCGTGCTTTTTATTTGCCTCTTTCTCCTTCTCCTCGTGCAGATTTTTCAGATCATCCAGCTCTTTTTTGTTGGCTTCGACCACACTCTGCATTTGGCTGATTTGGTCCATGCACAGGACGATCGTCTGTTCTTTATTCTCGCTTATCTGATTTAACTGCGCCACCTCTTCGTTCAGATCCTCAATATGCTTCATGTGCTGGTTATTCTGCGCGTCCTTTTCCGCCGCACTGTTCACCGCCGCGTCTATCTCCTTGTCTTTCTCTTTCTGGAGGGCCAAATATTTTTCCTCCAGCGCCGCGATCTTCCTGCTTTCTTCGTCTTTCATCTGCTGCATTTTCTGGCTGGCGACTTGGTTGTTTTCGTCCAGGGTTTTCATGCTGTCCTGGAGGTTTGTGTCCACCAGCTTCTGTATCCGGTCCTCGTAGTCCTCCTTTGTCTTTTGGAGCTGGGCCGCCAGCATTTCCTGCGCCTTCTTCGACTCATTGTGCTTCTTCTGCAGGTCCAGCTGCTTTTCCTCTAGCTTGGCATACTCTGTCTTCAGCGCGCACAGCTCCGCGTTTAGCAGCTCTTCCGATGCTGCCAGCGATTGAATTCTCTCCAAGCTCGCGATGTTTTTCTGCACCTGCTCCTCCTTTTCGCCACCCAGCTTCTCAAGCTCGGCCTTTAGCTTCTCCGCTTCGTCTTGCTTCTGCTCAATCTGGTCTGCCAGGATGCGATTTCCGCTCTCCAGGCAAGATATCTTTTTCTGGGCTTCGGCGTCAGCAGTTTGCTTGCTTTCCTCCAGCTCCTGCATGCTTTCCTCCAGCTCCTGCATGCTTTCCTCCAGCTCCTGCATGCTTTCCTCCAGCCTGGCTTTTTCCTCTCCAAGCGCCCGCAGACTTTCGCTTGCCAACTCGGCGGCGCTCTTTGCACTCTGCGCGCTCTGCACTAGGGCGTTAAACTTCTGCGCATTCTCCTCGCCCTGCAGCTTTAGAGAATTAACCTCCGCATTCAGCGCCTCGATGTTTCTTCGGGCCGTCTCCTCGCTTTGGGTGTGCATTTCGGACTTTTCTCCCAGCTGCTTGCCGATTGCGCTGTTGCACATCTTTAGGTTGGCCAGCTCGGCGTTGAGCTCTCGCAGCTTGTCGGTTTCCTTCTGCTCAACAAGCATCTGCAGCCGGTTAGACTCCAATATCTGCAGGTTGGCAGCTTCAAGCGCAGCAGCGTTTTCTTCTTTCTGCGCCTGTATTTCTTTCTCCTGCTCTGTCAGCTCTTTGTGCCTCTTGCACAGGGATTTTTTCTCTTCCTCCAGCTTTCTGTTGTTTTCCTGCACGTGGCTCTCAAACTCTTCTTTTTCTCGGCTAAGGGCGCTCCTTTGCCCCTCTAGGCTTTCTAGGTCCTCGTCAAGCTTTTTCTGCGCATTGAGCAAATGCTCTTCCATGCGCTTTAAGGCCGACTTGTCCTCGCTGTTCGAGAGCGCATCCTCCTGGGCCTTGGCAGCTCTCTCCTTTATGTCTGCGAAGTCCTGCTTGATCTTCTCTGCCTCGGCCAGAAGGCTCTGTCTGTGCTGCTCGTTTTTCTGCTTCTCCAGCGCCAGAATGCTGCGCTCAGCCTCTAGCTCCTCCGTGTGGGTTTTTATCTTCTCCTCCAAGTCCGCAAGCGCTGCCGCATTCTCCAAGCTGTGCTTCTTCTTTAGCTCTTCGTGCTCTAGAATGTCATCCTCCAGCTTTCTCTTAAGGCCGTCTAGCTCTGCGCGTCTAGCATCGGCCTGCGCGCGCTCAAGCTCGCTCCCTTTGGCCTTTTCCTCCTCGAAGATCCTTATGCTTTCTTGCAGGACTTCCTGCGCTGCGCGCAGCTTTTCGGTGCCTATGGCCAGCCTACCCTCCATCTCGTTCATCTGGACCACACGCGCGCCTAATGCGCCCTGTCTTCTGTTTAGGTCTTTCTCCCAATTTTGTATTTTTAAGCGCTCACTCGCCAGGGCTGCACTGTTCGTGCTGCTCAGCTGCTCATTCTCGCTTTTTTCACGGGCAACCTGCGCCTTCAGGTCGTTTAGCTTGTTTTTCGCAGCCTTCAGAGCCAGTGCGTCTGCTTCCAGGCCTTCTCTCAAATTCATCAGTTTCATTTGGTCGTTCTCCAGCTCCTCTCTATACTTTTCCGTCTTCAAAATCTCGATCTGGAGCTTGCTTTCTCGTACATTCTGCGCTTCTCTGTTTTGCTGAACTTCCTCTGCCTGCTTTTCCAGTTCTTTCTGTTTTTTTCGAATCTCTTCGCTCTGCGCGTCTAGCCTTGCGCGGTAGTCCTCGGAAAAGGCCCGCTGCTTGCCCAAGTCCGCAGCCTCTTCCTTCAGCCTGTGCCTCTCCACATAGAGATCCTCTGTCTCCTTTTTCAGAGCCTGCAGTCTTTTGTGCATGGCCTCCTCAAACATCCTGGCTTGCACTTCGTGCTGCTGGCTAACTTTCTCGGCTTCCTGCTGAATCTCACGGATGACTTTCTTCTCCAGCTCGTCTGCTTTTTTGTGTGCGTCCTGCAGTATCCCGTTTGCCTTTGTCTGTGCACCCTCTAGCATGAGGGAGTCATACCGCAGCGCGTCCTCCATTAGCAGATTCGCTTGAACCTTAGCTGCCTCCAGATGCTCGGCCGCCTCTTGGTATTTTTCTTCTATTTTTCTGTTTTCTTCTATTTTTCTTAGCTCTGCTTCCTTCCTTGCTTCTTCTTCTTCCATCAGCCTCTGGCTTTCTTCTGACAGCATTTTCTCCCTCCTCTCGGCGGCATCCTCCATGGCCTCGTCCAGCGCTTTCTGCTTTATTCTGGAATACGTAATATAGGCATTGTTCACCATTGACAAGGCCTCCTCCTTCCCTTTTTTGATGCGCGCTTCGCTTTCCTGCCTCGCTTTTTCTATGCACTCCTTTGCGTCGTGGTTGGCTTGTGCTAGAATTTTCACGTACTCAGACCGAGCTTTTAAGCTCTTCATTTTCTGCAAAAACCTTGCATTCCGGCTTGAAGTGCACACGGTTACTTTCGCTGGGATGTGCTCCCTCGGGGCTTCTGTGCGCACATTTGGCATCGCAATGTTGGCGCTTGGGCTAGGCCCTGGCGCAAAGACATGCTGCCAGCTGTTTGCAGCAAATTGGCGCGGAGCCACGCCTGCCTCGTAGCTTACAACCGGCCGGCTATACATAGCGCTGTACGGCTGCGCCCTCTCAAAAATGCTGCCCGTGCACGATGAACTTCTGCCCGTGCACGACGAACTGCTGCCCGCCGGCGCAATGGGGCCTTCTTCTGCGCCCAGCATCTTTTCTACATCTAGATACGCAATGTCTTTGGCCCCGCGCCAGGAAACCGCAATGTATCCTGGAGGCTTCTCGAAAACGCCCTGGCTAGTCTTCTCCACGTGCTCGCTGCTTTTGTCTTCCGAATCCGACAGCTCTCCAAAGTCGGGCACACATGCGGGGGCCACAATTTTAGGCGTGGCCGCCACCCCAACTTTTTTGTCTGTTGTACTTGGTCGAAAGTGCACAGCACTAAAAACCACTATTACAACTCCAACCGTGCATAAAATGCCGCTGTACACGTACTTTCTCTCCATTATGCCACATAAAGGCAGCATTATTTATATATGCACATGCACAGCTCATCAAGCAATCACGAGGGCGTTATATTAAAAAACACAACAAAATGCGATCCAACAACATCTGGTAAACGTTTGTTTGTTTATTTGTTTGTTTGCCTCATGAAACTCAGCCAAAAAACGCCCTGTTGCCCGGATCTGCCTTTTCTGGAAAGCGCACATTTCTTGGGGTTTCCGTAGTAAATCTCCGGGCACACCTTTACGCACTTTTTTGCGGAAGGCCCTGCCTGGGCTTCTGCCTGTTTGCCAGCCCTCGGCCCGCACCCAGCCTTGCTTTAAGAAAGAGTGCGCTCTGACAGCTGTGTGTCTATTCAAAAATGCCAGAAGTCATTCGCGCATGGATGATCATGTTTACACGTCAGTGGCCCTCTAAAACACTGCGCGTTTTGTCAATCTTCTATTCGTGTTTGGGTGATGAGAACAGAAGATTGACAAACAAAATGTCGGTTCAAAACAAACAGCATCCAGCATATAAATCACATAATAAATATAAACACGCAGCAAATTAAAATCAAAAACATATATCTTTGTTTTCTAAACAGCGCTGGCTGATCTGGCCAGCCATACTGGCACACATAGACAGCCCGAATGCATGCCTTGCCAACGCGCTTCTTTTATGCGCGCAGGCGTTCGCGGCTTGCTTTTAGGCTCGCTCAGAGCGTCTGTGTGCACGCGAGCACGCTGCCCTTTCCTTGCCCACGCAGAGAAAGGCGTGCAAATGCAGCCAGCTGTTTTCACGAATGAATTACACACACCGTGCGCTCGTGTTTGCGCACGCGTGCATCTGCGCACAGACGGTTGGCAGCGCAATGGCTTGCTGGCTTTTTATTCTATACAAGCACGCCCGTTCTTAAATACCCCAGCTGTATGGTGCACCAAGAAACGCACAAAATAGACAGCGACAGCGCAAAGCCCCCCAGCACGCACGCAGCCACCCGCTTTTTAAGCCTATAAACTGAGTACACGTGGCTCACTGACAAAAGCAGATGTGCGCCGAGCACAGCAAAGTCCACCAGCGAAAAAACGACTGAAACAGGCCCGGGCACACACAATATACAATACCCGAGCGAGAACGCGCCCAAATATGCAAGCAGAATCCCCGTAAGCAAGAAAAAGTAAACACGTTTTTTCTGGAACACCCATTTCTTAAGGTAGTACACGTTTAGCAGAAAGCTTGCGCACAATGACACTAGACACAAAATAAAGAACGCCCACAGAAGCCTCTCCTGTGCATCGCTGCGCCGCGGTGTGCTGTTTAATGCTTTTCCGCTGCTGGCAGACCAAAACGCGCACTGCACCCCAATGAACAGAAGCATGCTTGAAATGGCGGCGGCAGTGTCCCTCTGCACCGCTCTGTACATTTGTGTCTTGCGCTCGGCCTGGACAATTTCCAGCATTTTGCAGCTAGCGTCCAGAAGCTCCTGGATGAACACACACTTTTTCAGGTTGGAAATTGACTCGGGCGTGCAGCCAGGCTCTCCATGCGCGGCGCAGTTTTGGCCAAAAATCTCTGCGTGCAGCTTTCTGAGCGCTTCTATGTACTCGCGGGTCCATCTGCAGAAATCCGGCGCACCCTGCACAAGCCCTGCCTGCACAAAGCACGCAAACTCCTCGGCCAGATCAATCGCAGATAAGCGCTGCAAAAACTCAACGTTGTCTTCTACAAACGAAATATTCTCCCAGTTCTGCACTAGAAACCGCACTCGGGAGATGTTTTTCCTGTAGTGCCTGCTGTTCAGAGAGCCCCGGGTTATTTCTCCTGTGCACACCATGTGGCAGTACCCAGCAAGCTCGTTGAGCAGCTGTATGGAGGTCTGTCCGCCCGCAAGAATCCTCTCGAAATCCTCGAAGGCACACTCTTCTATAGACCCAAACCCGTCGCACGCTTTGAACTTTTCCTCCAGAAGCGCAAGAATGTCCTGCCAGTACTCCTTGTTGAATATGGTGGCCTTGTTTATCCTCACTATGGACAGCTTGTTCATAAGAACGCTGTGCCGGTTCATGCAAGCCGTGTTTCTGCAGATATCCAAGTTGCACAGATAAAGGTCGCGCCAGCGCGCAAACTTGGCCTCAAAGGCCTCCAGCAGCCGGGCATACCGGCCTCTGTCGCTCTGCCCGAAAATGCTTTTCAGCGCCAAAGGGTCGCACATGATCTCCTGCAGCGCCAAAAGCGCATTGTATGCCAGGGCCCCGCTCAAAAGACTTTTCTGTGGGCACGCCGAGTCCTCCCACGTGCCTGCAACACTGTACAAAACCTTGCTCAGAAAAACCGTACACTCTTTAAGAGAGGTCCGCGCGCTTTTTTCGTCGGCCTGCGCCAGAATCTCCTGGATCTTTTCCAAGCATTTTCCCTCGGCGTCTCCTTGCTTGTGAAACTCGCTCAACGCGTCAAGCAAAAGACTCTGCATCATAATTTTCTTCCTTAAGGAAAAACACATAAAGCACGGCAATTAAAATACCAATGTCCTATGCATAAACCCCCCAGACGTGTTAGAAATCTCCAGGTCTTGGCTCTCACCGACTGCCTTTGAGAGACAACCGCTTCCTATGGCTCCTGCAGGCATAGCTGCACTGGATGGGCCGGCAAAAGCTACGGATGCGCCAAGCCCAGGCTGCATGGGCGCGGCACCAGCGCAATTCAGAATCCGTGTTTTTGCACAGAAACGCGCGACTTTTCATGTCCACGCCCTCGCAATGTCACAGATGCTCCATCTTAGGCTGCTCGTTGCAATCTCCAAGCAAAGCATCCGGGGCCGATCCCACGCGGGCAAGCCCTTGCATGCGCCTGCGCCGCGCCGCAAGCTGACGCCCCGGATTCTGCAGGCCCGCCAGTTCGTGCGCAAATGGCGGCGTTTTTTGTTTGCGCCCTCTGCTTATTAGCAAATGCTCGCAGAAATAATTTTAAGATGAGTAGAGCAAAGCCTCTGTCGATCGAGGAAAAAACCAAGAGAATACTGACTCTTATGCAGGACAAAGACACGATATTCGGGCTTAAGGACCTTGAACGAATATCTCTGAAAGAGAAGGGGGTGGTCTCGCAGAGCATCAAGGAGATATTGGACATTCTTGTATCTGAGAACAGAGCAAAGGAGAAAAAAGTAGGCGCTTCCAAGTACTACTGGAGCTTTCGCTCAGACATAAAGCTGCAGAAGAAGGCGGAGGCAAGGAAGCTGCGCACTGAAAACGAAAAGCTAAAAGGCGCAGAGGCGCTCCTTCTTGAAGAAATCAGCACCCACACAGAAAGCCGCTCCACGCTCGCAGACCGAGAGGAAAGGCTGAAGGAGCTTAGCGCAAAAAAGGTCCGGCAGAAGGAGGCCGAGCAGAAGATAAAAGTAATAGAGGAAAACGACCCAGAACGGCTGGAGGCCATGAAGGCGGAGCTGGGCGCGCTAAAGACGGAGCTTTCCGAGTGGGGCGACGCGTTCAACGTGCTGATGTCCTACGTGCGAGAAAAATACAACATGACACAGAAAGAGTTTTGCAGCGCGTTTTCCATAACAGCCGCGGACATGGAAAAAATAGAGGATCTGTAGACGCCTGCGCAAGCGTGCCTGGGCGCAGGAACTGTGTGTTTCAGCACAGACCGTAACGACTAAAACTTTTCAAATAATTTTATTTTTTGCCCTTGCAATGAACCAAGTACAAAAGCTTACACCAAGTGAAGTAGAATCCAAAACAATTTCCGCCATAAGAAGAATGAAGGAGCATCTAAAGGAGGAGGAGCAGAAGCACAAAGAAGCAGAAGCCGCAAACTCTATTTATGTTCCGGCAGAGGCGCCCTTCTTTTTCGTAGTGAGGATCAGAAGCTCTAACAAGGCGTCTCCGGGCATAATGTGCGCTCTTGACTGTCTTAGGCTGAGAAACGTAAACACCGGCACGTTTGTGGTGAACAACAAGTCCACAAAGTCGCTTTTGCAGAAGGTGAGGGCATACGTTGCATTTGGAACGCTCTCGCTCGACACAATCCGAAAGCTCATCTATACCAGAGCTTTTGGAAAGCACGATGGAAACAAAGTAAACATAACCACCGAGCTGCTTGCAGAGCGATTTGGAGGGGCTGTTGAAACCCTTGAGGACATTGTAGAGGCGCTTTTCCTGGGGAAGAGGCAGGACGCGTCTGCCATAAACAAGTGGCTGATGCCATTCACGCTGAGCTGCCCCAGAAAGGGATTCGGAGGAAGAAAGATCAAGGACTTTACAGAGGGAGGATCCACTGGAGACAGAGGAGCATATCTTGATGAGCTCATCAGACGAATGATATAAAAATAAAAGCATCCATCTATTACCCAAACTGCAGAAACTTATCTGAGACTTTGCCAGCTGCCCGAGCGAAAAGCGCAGGCTGCTCGCGCAAACAGAAGATGCACACAGGCGCGCTGGAAGCAGCACATAGTACGGCCCAGCAAAAACAGCGCTGCCGGCTTTGGGTGCAGCCTAGCGTGGAAGAGTGCTTTGCGGCCTGCTTGTACATAAGCCGCGGGTGCGTATTTTTTTATGCAAGTTGCTGAATCTTCATGGGTTATTATTAGCACGCTTGAAAAAGGCCCTGTAAAGTGCGTCCACATGGCGCGGGATGCCTTGAGAACGCTTTCTCTGGGACGGTGTGGGACCTTTCCCGTCTCTGCGCTGGCGAATGCGAAGTTCAATGTGCCTTTGCTGTGGGAGAACGGAGTGCTGAGCGAGTGCGCGCTGCCCGCTGTCCCGCAGGACAAAAATGGGAGAAAAAACGCCATAAAGCGCTCGCGGACCATTACCGTGACGCAGCCAACGCTTCCGGGCCTGGTCGAGATGTACAACCTAAAGGGCACCGTGCACATTTCGCACGAGGCCATCAGCCAAATCCTTTTCCACGCAATAGGCGCAAAGCGCGTAATAGTGAAGGACGACCACAACTCGATTGTTCTGGCTGCAGTAGCGGCAGCGCGGGGAACGCACAACCTGTTCCGAATAGGCGGGCACGTGCAGAACATCCACACGCTCTGTGCCCTTGGCGAGTCCGGGTCGGTGGAGAAGTACGTGGCAAGCCCTTCTCCGCTGGAAGAGAATGCATCCTTGAAAGGTGCCTCGGAGAAAGAGGGGGGCGCGCTGTTTGTTCTGGCGCAGAGGGACCGATACGAGCCGTGCGAGGTCATTTCCCTGCTCAAGGAGTGCAGCTTCCAGACTGCGGACTTTCTGGTGTACCACCCGGTGAAGGAGGCCCTCCTGGACCTGTTCAACGCGCTCATGCAGGACAAGGCCTTCGGGCTTCTTGATCTGCGGGAGCTTTTCTACCGGGAGTACCAAACAGTTTCGGGCGCAATGCATCCCAGAATGACAAAGACCAGACACTCCGGATACATTTTGACTGGAACGCTCCTAGGAAACTAAACAACAACACAAACACAACAATTATAAGTATGGGCGCGTGTTTGTTTACATGCAGATATTTGTGAAGACCCTCACAGGAAAAACGATTACCCTAGAAGTCGAGTCCTCCGACACGATAGAAAACGTGAAGGCAAAAATACAGGACAAAGAAGGAATACCCCCCGACCAGCAAAGGCTTATTTTTGCAGGAAAGCAGCTGGAAGACGGAAGGACGCTGTCCGACTACAACATCCAGAAGGAAAGCACCATCCATTTAGTGCTCAGGCTGAGAGGCGGGGTGTAAGGAAGAAATAAAAGAAACAACTTTCTTATTTTTTATGGACACTTCTTCATTTCTGCGCGCAGTGGACGAAATGAGCGCGGAGCAAGCATGCGCCCAGTACGGCATAAAATACTACACCGTCGAGGATCTTGTGCAGGACCCCGTTATTGGAGGCGGCGTGAAAAGCCTGTACACAAAAAACTACATGTAGCGCGCACAGCGGGCAAAAAGCACCCAGTACGGGACTCGAACCCGTGGCCCTTGGATTAAAAGTCCAATGCTCTACCGACTGAGCTAACCGGGTCCACACAACATACCCCACCTTGGCTCAACTCGGGGTGTAGGGGATTCCTGCCATTTGCATCCATCCAGCGCGCACTCTGCGCTGCAGGAGGCAGGAGTCCCCGTGCAAAAAGAATAAATTCGCGATTCGTATCCTGGAGTTGCAGCTGTGTGCATGTTTTTTGGAAAAGCAGAGCAGGCCTGCGCCGGCAACTTCAAGCAAGTGTGCAGTGGGCTTTATTTTTGTGCTGGGCGGCTATTAAGCAGCTGCTAGAAAGGATGCCTTGCCCGGGGCGTCTGCGCGCAGAGCCTTAGATGTCTTTTGAGAGGTCTGTTGACCGGGTTAGCATAAAAAGGCTGCAGACTGCGAGTATGCCTAGAATCATAATCGGCCTGCTTGAATGCTCCGGCTCTGGCGTGCTCGTTTTGCGGGCTGCAGGCCTGGGAATGCCAAGCTTTTGCGTTTCAAGCTTGTTTTTACGTGCGTCCTGCCCGCTTTCAGCCGCAGGCTCTCTGCTCTTTTCCGGGCCTGCCTTCGTTCTGAAAACCCACCCCTTTTCTGTGCGCATCCACTCTCCGACCACAGCAGGAAAGCAAGAGCTTTCGGCCACGGCCTCTCTGCCCTTTTCCGCGCCTTCTGGCGCCACTGCATCCTGCGCAGGCCTTCGCGGTGGGCAGGGCTTCGGAAAAATGCTCTTCTCTGGCCTGTACACAAGACAGGGCCTCAGCTCGTCCCGGTAAAAAAACACCGCCTGCATGGTGCTTATGCACGCCTCCCACTCCTCTTGCAGGCTGTCGTTAATGATGGCGTACTGCGTGCTGAAGATGTGCGACCTTTTTTCTGCATTGGCTGATATCGCTGCCATGCTTGGGAACATGAAGAAGCACTTCTCTAGCATGTGCTCAGCAACCGGCCGCTCAGCATACTTGACCATTGCAGGCCTTTGGAGCTCTTCCAGGGTGCGCTCCATCCTGGTGTTTAGGAAGCAGCCCAGCATGTACACGTCCAGAGCCGACGCTACCTTTTCCGTCTGCATCTCGCACAGCATTTGCAGGAAAAGGGCTGCCCGCTTGTGGCTTACCAGAGTCACGCTGCTTTTCAGCCCGCTCTTCCACAGCTCGCAGTTCTCAAAGGCATGCCTGGCCGCCCACATTTTGCTTGCGCAGTCGCATATTCCGTTTAGAAGGCCGTCCCCTCTCAGCAAAAACAAAGCATCCTTTTTCTCGCAGGTGCCTGTCTCCTCAGACTCAGTGTACTCCATGCGGCGCCCCACCAGGCCGATTTTGTCCCAGCAAGCCTGATGTGCCCTTTCGAGCCGCTCTCCGCTGGCGCTAATGTCTTCCAGGAGGCTGCACAGGCTTTTGTACTTGAGACTAATCTTGGCGCAGTTCACAGAGTCTTTCTGCAGCTCGCACTTGTACTCGGAGAAAACTTTAAAAAACTTGTTTTTCTCCTCCATCAACGCGTCCTCCAGCGCGCCTACACTGGCTGTTTTCTGGCTAATCCGGGCAAGCTCTGCCTGGGCCAGGCCTGCAAGCTCCGCACACACCCTTTGCACGTTTTCCTGCATTTTCCCCCGCAAAACCTCTACAAACATTTTTCTAACAGACTCCGGCATGTCATCGGGAAAGCATATTTTGGCAGACCTCCACACCAGCGGCTCCAGCGTCATGGTAAGCTTTGCTTCAGACAGCAGACACTTCAGAGGCACTTCAGCCCTGCTCAGCTCCGAGTCCAAATAACCCTTGCATATGCTTATTGAAATTCTGCTGTTTTTGCTGTTGTTCTCCATGCACGCAGTGCAATGCAGTATTTTTTTTATACACATATTTGCCTATCATTTTTATTTTTACCCGGTCGCTCATCATTTTGGTTTCCGCTTCCCGCACCATTGCTTATTTGGCCAAGAATTTCACTTATATGCCAAGCCCACGCAAAAAGGCACTCCACCGCACGCTTGGGCCGCAGCGGCTTGGACTGCTGCTTCCGCGCTTGCCGCGGGCGCATCTGCTTTCTGCGCCCTCTCTTGCTTGCACGGCTAAATCCTAGCAGAGCTTTGCGCGCCGCCGAGGCACGTCCGTTCTATATATAAATACATTGCGGAAGTGCACAGTAAGTACTCTAGTGTAAGCATCTGATCTATGAAGAAGTAGAAAAACTGCGCGGTTACCAACCCATCGGCCAAGCTGTCCAAGATATCTTCATCCTTGTTCAGATTTCGGTAGATGTCGCTCATAAACTTATTTTTTCGTTTTTTTATTATATTTGGCTTATATACGAATAAAAGTGCAGATTTTTATGTTTTTGTTTACAACGCGCGAAATATCAAAAACTCGATCCATCATATGATGCTTCATTTCTCAAGGCCAAGCCGCGTGCGGGGTATGGGCGCTCTTTTTTCTTTGAGTAAGCATACGATAGCAGCCAAGCATTTATGGTGCTTTGTCTGTTGGAGCCCAATCTTGTGCGCTGTTTCAATCCCTGTGCGAAAACAGAAGTGGGCAGCCCGAGCAAAGTGTGCTGCTTCTGCCAAATGCCCTGGCTTCTCTGTCTTGCAGTTCTGTCCCATTTGCATGCTTAGCCAATCTGGCACGATTTCCCTGTGCTCGGCAATATAAAACTCTTCAATGTAACTTGTCATAAAAGTTTTTCTATGCTTTTATTTTTACCTCGGAAGAAAGCATCCGAAGCCCAGGAAGTTCAGACTGTTTCTGTGCAGGAAAGAAGTACATGCGGGGCATCTTCATGCGGAGGGCTTGCAGGGCGCCGGTGTTTCTGCACTCGTTGGATACAACCACAGGAAGCGAGGAAAAGCGGTTGAGTGTTTTGAAAAAATGCACAGCTCATAAACCCTCGGGTGGCTGGGGCCTGCTATAGTCACGACAGAATCTGCATCAAAAGCCTAGCCGCTGCTCTTTTCGAGAAAACCCGCCGGAAAGGAATGGAGTTTCGAGTGCTGCTTCCGCTCGAGCAGCACATTTTGTTCTCGCTGAGATCACCAAGACTGCGCATAGTTATCCAGGGAAAGGCCGGGGGTCTGTAGGCTAAAAATAAAGGGTTTATAATGGACATCTCAAAAAAGGCTTCTGCGCCAAAACTCAGCGCGAGTGCGCGCAGTCCATCGCGCCTGGATGCATTTATAGGCTTTATTTTTTGCCGGCGCCTTGGGCTCGGGCGGGTGCGTTCTGCATTTTTCTCCAGACAATATAGTGGGTGACCCCTGTGGATTGCAGCATGGCCAGGCTAGATATGCCGGGCGTGGAGGATATTCCGACAAAGCGGAGCAGGCCAGAGCCTAGCACCAAGGCGGACGCGTTGTACAGTATCGCCCACGTGTCAAGGGCTTTCAGTATGCGGGCAGCCTCTCCATGCGAAATGTCGCCGCTTTCCACGCAGGCTTGGACCAAGGGGCGGCCTATTACAAACGCGCACGGACACATTGAGCAAAACAGAGTGCACCCCTGCACAATGCTTGCGTCAAGAGTGTCCCCGGCGAGAAAAGACACAGCAGCTTTAAGCAGCGAGAGCCCCACCACGCCCCTGGAGAACAGGGAGAAGACCCGGTGTCTTTGCACGCGCGACTTGCAGCACGAGCGCGGCGTGAAGGCTTTTGACACGACAAGACACCAAATAAGAAGGTGCGAGTGCACCGCGTTGTTCAGCCGGGTGTACAGGAGAATGTTGGCCGAAACCAAGAGAACGGAAAGCACTTCTTTCTGCGTGGAGGCGCTGCGGGCAATGCAGCAGGATATCAGCAAGGCCACTGTGAGAGAGAGCACGCTTTCTTCAAGGAACAGAAGAAGCGTGGAGAGAGCCAGAAGAAGCCTGTTTTCCAAAGAAAGGGAGATTTTTTTGCTAAACTGCATGCGCGTGAAAATAGAGCGAGCATATAACATGCCTGCAGTGGAAGGGTATATTATTAAAAAGGACCGGGCAGGCAATATTATATTGGCTGGCGCGCAGTCGCAGGACAGAGCCATAAAGGGCGTGGTGTACATTAAAACAGCAGCAATTCGCAGCGTAGAGCATATCCCCGAGTAGCCCAAGCTCTGCAGCCCTCAGCTGGCGGCATTGCAAACTGCGCGTGCTGCCGTGCAAGAAAAACACTTTAGGAGGAGCTTTATATTCCCCAGAGTGCGTTTATATATCTCCATCATAAACGCCTCTTTGACAGCGATCATTAAACAGACAAATAAATAGTCTCAAAAAAGAATTTTGAATGACAAATCTTAAACTTTGCATTGATACGTACGCATACAACAATGAGTTGAATGCGAACCGGCCAAACACATCGTATGCATATGCTCCGATGGAGTTTACTATCCTGATGTTTCAAATACTCGCCAACTACATTAAGCTAAGGGGCGACACGACCGTGCTGGAGGAGGACAGAGAAAACGTCAAAAGAATAGCGCGCGTGCTTGTGTATTTTAAGCTACGCAACACAAACTACGAGCTTGGGAGTGAGCTTAGAAACAGCCTCTATAGAGGCGCCAGCGCGAAGGAGGCGGTGCTGGGCAGGGAAAACGAAAGCATTTTTGTGGATGGGATGGAAAACATAAAAATCGGGCAAAACAAGAGGAATGACATATACCCAAGCCTCCAGAGGTTTGCCTTCCACGAGAAAAACCTCCATGTTATTCGGAAGATTATGTACTTTGCAGAAAGCAACCTAATAGCCCAGAAGAAAAACATGTGCCCAAGCAGACCCAGCACCCACTGGGAGACAGACATGAAGCGCTCTGGCGAAAAGCAGAAAAGCTGCGCCGTGGAAGAGTATCTGTGCGAAGACAGCAAGCACGCCCACAAAGTGTTGTTCTACACGCAGATACACAGAGCGGCCAAGTGGGTCTTGGGCATGAATCTGCAAACCATGTTTGGCAGCAGCAAACTGACCGGCTTCCAGGACATGACTCTTAAAAAAGAAGCAAGGTTTTCCCCAGGAAGGATAGCAGACTTTCCGCCGAGCAAAGAAAAACAGAAGGAGTCCGGCTTCATGCTGCACTCGAGCACTCTGCTGGACGACGTGGGCATGCGGATCCAAAAGCTCTACAACATAAAAAACTACAAGCACGCGGAGACGAGGACAAGAACTCTGGAAGCCTTGGCGTGCGCGCTTGAGTACAGAATGCACATAGAGGCTGCGTATGCTGTGCTCCCCATCGAGCACTTCAAGTCGTTCCCGTCTTCCCTCAACCTGTATCTCAGGCACGTTATCATGTGCAAGTACCCACCCAACACTAGGAAGCCCGCGGGCTCTAGTTGCCCAGGCGGCGTGCCCTTCAACAACAAAACGCTGGAAAAGCTGTGGAAAAACATGGGCAAGATAGACAAAAAGCTGGCAGAGCTGATGAAGACACACAATCGCGTAATCGCGGTGGTATACTCGGAAATGGACAAGGAAATGGAAAAAATGGGGCTTCCTCTTGCTGACGTCAAGGATGCAGTTTTTATGTTCCAGGAAACTCTCCCAGAGGATCTTTTAAAAAACTTTAATCACATTAGAAGTCAAAAAGAAGTGATTCCTCTGCTGGCCATTGTTCAGAACAGCTATGCGACAAACTCGCTAAAAAACCACGACATTTTTTGCCAGCGCTTCCCAAGCTCAAAAAACCTGACGCTGTCCGTCAAGAACGGCTTCGGCAACTTCAAGACGCACCGATCGGAGGAACACGGCAGGTTTTACGTGGATACGCCAGCAGACAAGGCAGACATGCCAACCCTGTACACCTACTACAGCATGCTAATCAACAATGCTCTGGAGTCTTTGGGCTTGCAAGAGGAACCAGACATTTTTGACAGGGAGCTAATGTGCGACTACTACTGCGCCCCGCCCAAGGAAACGTACGAGGATGTCATAATAGAGCTGCCGGGTGGGTTTAGGGTGAATCTATTAAAAAGCCTCACACAGGCACAGCTGATCAAGGCCAAGAATATATTGCAAGTGTTTACAGCCAAGAAGCCCGGAGTGCGGGGGTAAAGAATGCAAAAGGCCTGCAAAAGGGTCAGCATATAGCACTCGCAAGCCTGGCAAGGTTCTAGCTTAATTGTGGCACTGGCAGCATATCCACTCACCGGAAACAATAAACTGCTTTTTAAGTCCGCCACAGCAGATTTATTTATTTCAGCGCGTGCGCTCTCCTGCTCTGGCAGAGAGCGAGCAAAACTGTGCATTTCTTGCAAAAAAGGCCTCTTCTGGCAGTGCAGGCGGGGGCGTGGTGTCCTTATTATATACGCAGAATATATTAGCCCTGCTTCTTCTGTCTTTAATGGACATCTTTGTAGACGAGATATCAAAGACGCTGCAGAACATTGTCAGCATAAAGACGCCGCCTATGGAAAAAGAAGGCGAAATGTCGGACGGAGCGCCCCTGCACACGCCCAGCAGCCTCTCCAGCGATCCAGCAGCCAGCTCGTCCGAGTACAGAATGTACATATCGAGAATCCACGTTCTCGGAGAGTTTCTTCCCGAAGGCGGCGCGCATCCAGAGGAGTCCGCCCAGAAAGCACTTCTGCACGAGCCTGCAGCGGAAGAGACGCAGCTGCGCGTTCTTCTGGAGGCGTACAGAAAGCTGGACGCATGCGATGGCGGGCCTCCACCCTGCGTGTCTGAGGAGGAGTACAAGGCACTGTACGAAACCCTCAAAGAGCGGAGAGCGCTTGTGGGCAAGCCGAAGGAGTTCTGCGTCATGGAGCTGAAGAGGGCGCTTATTAGAAAGATGCTAAGCGTAGACCTGCGCCGCCCAATGCGGGATATTTTTCACGTGCTTTTGGGGATAGTCCAGATGCACTTTCGCGTTATACGGAGCCACGCGCAGACGCTGACTGAGGCCTTTAGCCGGCTTGTGATTGTGCTCCGCAGCAGAATATTCATACTTGAGGACATGGAAAGCACCTCTGGGAGCTCCTTCACAGTGAAGGAAGCCTGCACCTCGCACTTAGTGAAGTACGTGGCGCTCACGAACATAATAGAGCACCTGCAGAAAGCGCACAAAGTGTGCAACTACGAGGCCAAGCTGATAGAAAAGGCGATTGCAGGAATCCTGCAGACAGAGGAGTATCAGGCGCTGTGTAACGTGGCCTGCGAGGCCCGGAAAGAGGGCTCTGCAGATGCTCTCGCCAGCACGTGCGAGGCCGACTCCGAGCCGTCCACACAGAGCCTCGGCACGTGTAGCACGGGGGCGCCCCCCAGAAAAAGAGACAAGGGAAGGCCCATCCTAAGAAGCATTCTCAGGTGGGTGGAGAGAGAAAAGGCGTCAACTGAGCACCTCCTGGAGGAAACTTCGTGGATGTTCGGGTCGTATAAGTGGGCGCCGTACATCACGGAGCGGTACGTAAACATGGACGCGCTTCGAAAAGAAGCAAAAACAGACGCGAGGAGGAGAGGCCTCAGAATACGGTACATCGAGGAAACGCTGGCTCGGGCCGAAAGGGGCCTGCAGGGCCTGTGCGACGTGCTTTCTATCCTGGGCACCATAAACGCGTGCAAGGAAGAGGGGTACGCGTGCACGCCCCCGTTTAAGAGCATATTCCGCTTGCTGGATGTTCTAAGAGACGCGCTGCGGGCAGAAAGCGCCTCCGACCCGGCGCAGGACATAGACACATACCAGAAGGGGCTCATCCAGCACATACACATACTGGTTCCGCTGTCGTACTTCCTCCCAACCGACCAGACTGTGTTTATGGGGTACCTCCTGCTCAAGCACGGCCTGATTAAGCGCGCAGAAGACGCAAAGCTCTACTATGCGTACGACACGCTCACATACAAGTCCGACAGCGTCGCCAAGCTGCAGGCTCTGCTGACGGAAAGAGTGTCGGACAAGGTGCAGCGGTTCCAGGAAGTGCTGCAGAGGGAGGGCCGGCTAAAAGAGATGGCGCACGCCCTGGCAAAAAGAGTCCAGACGCACACGGTGCAGTATCTGATCAGGAAGTCGCCTAGGGGCCTTGTGCAAAAAGTGGCAGACGGAATCAAGGCGATATACATCTCGCCAGAGAGCACAAGCGAGCGCGAGCTCCAGAAGCTTCTCGGGCGCGCCTCCTTCCTGAAAAAGATCGCAGAGTACGTCTTGCCGTCCGAGCCGTACATTTCGTTCTCCCGGCTGAAGAGGCACCTGGTGAAAAACATGTCCAAAAAGCGCAAAAAGCGCGCATGACCCGAAAGGCGTGCGCGGAGAGGCGCCTCGGATGAACTCCGAAAATGCACCCGCGAAAACACAGCCTGCCAGACGCGTCTGCCGAGCCCTGCGCTTTGTTTGCGCATAATTTTACGTTACGCCTTCACGTGGCAAGAATAGTTAAATTTTTTTAAAATTAGCCCTTGTAATGCAAATAATCCAACCAACAGAGCACAAGGTTAAAAACCCAAGAAACAAGAGAAACAGCGGAATGAAGCACTCCGCAGCCATGGCAAAGAAGGAGAGGGAGCAGCTAGACAGAACAATCGTGAAAAAGAAGGCGGCTCTGGAGGCAGCGCTGAAGTGCCCTCCTGCAATCCAGCAGTTCAAGCAGAAGATGGACAGCGAGCTGAAGGACAAGATAGAGGAGATCTTCCTGAGATACAAGCCTGAAAACCCAGAAGAGAAGGCCAAGAGGCTTGAGGAGGGAAAGGAGAAGCCCAAGACATCAATCCAGTTTGGAATCAGGCAGATCGTGAAGATGGTGGAGAAGAAGAAGGCAAAGCTGGTGCTTATTGCCAACAACGTAGACCCCATTGTGGTGGTTCTGTTCCTGCCCTCCCTCTGCAAGAAGATGGGCGTGAGCTACGCCATATACGACTCAAAGGAGAGGCTTGGCGCAATGGTCGGGCGAAAGGCAGCCGCCTGCATTGCATTGGACGAGGTAGTCCCAGGGCTGGAGCCTTTGATCTCTGAGGTGAACGAGCAGTTCTCAGACAAGTACGCAGAGACCATGAAGAAGTGGGGAAAGCCAGAAAGTAAGTAAAAGCGTCTTTATTTAGTGTTATTTGCATTGCCGCGCGCACGGCTGGCCGAATAGTGCCGCGCCGGCGCATTTCGGCTGTATTGGGATGCTGCGCTTACTGTGTTGGCAAGCTGCGATGGCAGCGCCTGCTCGGGATCTGCCAAGCCTCGCTGCGGCCAGCAGACACGCGCGATTTCTTGCGCTTCATTTATAATAATATTTCTCAATGTTTTTTCTTTGCATGCAGGAGTTTGAAAAGCTGGCAGAAGACGGAAAGTACCACCAACTGGCACAGGCGATTCTTGCCAAGATAGAAGCCCTTTCAGCAAGCGAGCTGAAGCACATATACGAGTCTGTGGTTGTGCAAAACTACTACAACATACACCCAAGCGCATTCTCCGAGATCAGCGCGTCCTTCGCTAAGAAGCTCCCGCAGGAAGACGCACTGCGCCTCCTTGAGAGCTCGCTCTCGCTCCTGGTCTCCGCCTCCTCGGTGGACATGGACAAAGAGGCGCCGCTTGTGGTGCGCGCAACAAAGCTTGCAAAAGGGGGAAATGCAGCAGCAGTTCGCCTCCTCCTGGAAATAGCCCACGCAAAGGTCCGCCTCGGGCAAATATCCGAGGCCAGAGTGATTCTCTACGACTGCAGGGAGGTCCAAATAGAAAAAAAAGAGTCGCTCCGAAAATTGCACCTCAGCCTGGGGCTCATGCACTACTCCACACAGAACTACGCCCCCGCGTACAAGAACATGCTTGAGTACCTGAAGCTGCAGAGCGAGGACGAGGAGACCTTTGAGGCATGCCTCATTTCGGGCATCCTCTCGGAAGACGTCTACTCCTTCAGAGAGCTCATCGACCTCCACGGGGGAGAAGAGAGCAGAGCACTCTCCCTGGCCACCGCGCTTGAGGAGGGAAACTCAAGCCATGCAGCAGAAATCGCAGCAAAAATCGACAGCTCCCTCCAGGCAACGGTGGCAGAGAAGGCGGTTGTAATGCGCCTCCTGAACTACTTTTTCAGCCAGCAGCAGAGGTCCATTCGCCTCCAGACCATTTCTGAGGAGCTCGGCCTTCCCGCTCTTCTCGTCGAGGAGACTGTTCTCCGGATTCTGGGCAGCGGCCTGATGAAGGGAACCATAGACGGAATAACCGGAGAGTTCACGTACACGTGGATAGGATACAAGCATCTCACAGCCCAGGAGATCGCCTCCATTCGAAATGTAATATCAGAGATGCGGCTGCGAGTTGACACCGTGCGCAAGGAAATAAGCTGAGCACAGCCAAAATAAATGCGAGTGTTTTCACTGCTGCCTGCGCGTGATGCGTGCTGTTTTTTTGTTTTTTCGCAGCCTCGGGCTATTGGCTCGGGAAACAAACACGGAAATTGCCTGATGAATTAATTGCCCGCAGAGGAGAAGTCTCGGCGCACGCCTGCAAAAGAAAAAAAATGGGCACGGAGAGAAGCAGGCGCTGCGCATTTTGCTTTCTGCAGAAAGAGCGCGAGAGTTTCTCCCATGCACGCACGCGGACAGGCCCTTCGCACGCGCGAAGCACGCCTCGCAATGGACCGGACTAAAGCCAAGACTAATAGGAAATAACCGGGAAACATTCCCGCCTTTTTATTTAAAAGTATAAATACAGAATAATTTGAAAAACATTACAATGGGAACAGGAAAAGGTAAGAAGGATCCAGCATCAGCAAAGAAGGCCAGCAACAGCAGCAAGGTGGTGTTTAAGCCTGCGCAGCTGCACAGAATACTCAGAGACAAGACAAAGATGAGAGTTTCGCACAAGGCCATTGTGGCCATTGCTGCTCTCCTTGAGTACGTGCTTGGAGAAATAATTGAAGCAGCAAAACTCATTTGTGACGAGGAAAACAAAAGAAAGATTGTTTCAAAGTACATTTCCCTCGCCATTAGAAAGGACGACGAGCTGAACAACCTAGGAAAGCACTGGCTCATTAAGGAGGGAGGAGTCTGCCCAACCTCGCAGATGGAGACAAAGTCCAAAGGCGACAAATCAAAGGCAGCAGCCACACAAGAGCTGTAAGTAATTGGCTGTACTTTTATAGGCAAGCACTTGGCCTGGTAAGTAAATGGACTGCTCAGTTTTCTCTTTCTTTTTTTATTTTGAATACTTTGTATGTTCCTTTCTTTTTTAGCTCTTTTCTTATTTGTTTTAGTTGGTTCATCCTGGGCGGGGGCGAGTCTGAGTCTCCAAAGGGGGGAAAGTATATCCACTCGGAAACTTTCACGCCCGGCATTCGGGGCAGCTTTATAAAGCGCGCATCCCGGCTCAGAATTTGCCGGATGCAGCTTTGCCACACCCCAGATAGCTCCCCCGGAAGATCTTCCTGATACTCTTTTGCCACGTATTCGTATATTTCGTCTATCGTGCTCCTGCCAAAGGGCGAGGCCTGGATGGCGCGCATTACAAGGGCTGCATACGTCATTTTCTTTGTTACTTTCCTCGCCGATCGCCTTGGAGAGTGCACAGGGCTTGCCATTTCTGGAGTGTTTGAAGTAATTTTATTGCTTTTATAAGGCAGAAGACACTTTTATAAAATAGGTTTATTCATTTTAGAATGCATCAAACAGGTCGCAGGCTGTCTTTTGGCCGGAAAACCAGAGGGCAATTCTGCACATCTCGTACGAAGTGCGAGTTCCCAGCACAAGGGGAGCCTGCACCGCAAAAAGTGCCCCGCACAGCACAGCCGTCATTCCGTGGAAAAACACGGGCAGCTGCCCCAGGAGATACCCCAGCACGAGAATGCTCACGTAGTACGAGGGAATGTAGTGGTGCGTGTACGTTTCCCGCGAGAGGAGAAAGTACGGGAAGTAGTTGCACAGATATGCAGCCAGAATAATGACGTGGGAAAGCGCCCTGCGCTTTATTTTTGTGGTCAGAGCGTGCACGAGGTAGAGACACAAAGAGACAGCGGCCAAAAAAACAATTAAGGGGTTTGCAACCAAAAATATCTGCGCTGTCGGGTTGTAGCTCTGGGAGTGCTCGGCTGCCGTCTCCGAAACAGCGCCGCTCCACAGGTGGATGGGCCTGGGGCTGTAAACCCACTCCCTCGGGAAAGACTTGTACGTGTGCGTGCCGCTTAGCGTGCTGTTGCACTGGTACATGACTTTGTTGGCTTCCCAGAGCTTTTGGAAGAAGCCCTGCGGAGTAACCTCGGAGGACTCTATGGAGGCGCTCTCTGCAGGACTGCTGGACTCGCGCCCTCCATAGAGAACGAGCAGCCTGCACGCGTGCTTCGTCCATGCCGCCCCGCTTTCTCCTGCAGGGTTCAAGTACAGCCCGCGGCTGCTCGCTATTGACAGGGCGGCTCTGGGGGCGGGGAGTATTCGCATGGGGGAAGGCGTTCTCGACAGAAACGAAGGGGCCTCCCCGCTCAGGAAAAGTCCGGACGCGTGCTGTATGTAGAGAGGCGCGCCGTACTCCATCTTCTCCAGGGGAGTGAGCGTCCACTCTGGGGACTGCTCGGTGCTTTTTGTCACGGAGAGAAGGCTGCTGTTTACCGAAAGAAACTGGCTCATTTCAGGGATTCCTATGCGGACTGCTGCCCCCGCGGGGATGCAGAGCCTTTTGTAGCGAGAGTGCGGCGAGCCCTTTAGAGTCGCGTTGTACGCAAAGGAGAACCACCCGTTTGTTTTCTCCGAATACGCGTCCTGCACCCTAAAGTTCACAAAAAACACGGAGAGGTACACAGAAGCGGAGAGCGCAAGAATAGCAGCGCCCTGCACGCACGGAAGCATCGCCCGCAGAAGCCCGCATCCTTTCCTTTTGGACCGTATTAGGTCCGTGAGCAGGTAAACTCCTATGGGCCCTCCCATCGGAAGAACAGCCCACTTGAAGCTTGCGCCAATGCCCAGTGCCACTCCCAAAACACACGCCCACTCGAGCGCGCAGAAGTAGCTCCTGGGCGAGCATACGGGGCGCTTTTTGCACTTTTTGGCGAGAGCCTCTGCTGGAGCTGTCTTTTTCCGGTGGAGCCTGAGCTTTTGCGCGGGCGTGCTGGTGCAAATGCTTACCGTCTTTGGGCTGGCGTGCCCGCACTCCGCCAGAGAGGCCTCTGTACAGGAAAAGCGGGGTTTTGGCTCCTTTGGCCTCTGCAGCGTCCTTTCTGCGTGCTTGTTCATTTTCACCAGCGAGAGCAGAATGAGGCTGATCGCGGCCAGCACGTAGCTGTCTATCATAAAGAGCCGGAATATGCTGTGCATGGCCCCGTCAAAAAGAAGCAGCAAAGAGGAGAGAAAGGCCCTGTTTTTGCGCACGCCCAGCTCGCGCAGTATCCCAAACCCTGCAACAACGCTGATGCACGAGGCCAGCGCGGAGGCGGACCGAAGGACCACGTAGCTGAAGGAGAGAACGGTCTTTTCGTACGCCTTCCCGATGTACGGGCTTGTTCTGGCGCCTGCGCCTTTGCTGCCCAAAATCCACTTCGCTATGAAGTACGCAAAAAGCCGTCCCAGCGGCGGGTGGACGTCAACCACAGCTTCCCTGTTGAAGTACATCTGAATAAAGTCAAGATAGTGATTTTCGTCAAAAACCACAGAGTCGGGGTGCGATATGCAGAAAAGCCGCACTGCCGCGCTGGCTGCAAAGAGCAAGGCCGCGTGGCTTGTTTCCTTTGTATTGCAGAAGCGCACTTGCATTTGTTTGTTGACTCTGGCTGCCCAATATAAAGAAAACAAACAAGCCTGCCAGACACCGCCCGATTTCAGAGTCTGCGCAGGCGCGGCTGTTTTTGTGCGAAAATTCGCGCGTGTTCTCGGGCAACTCTGCGAAGGCTCTCCCAGCGCAGGCGTATAAATATTTGGCTGAAAATTTTATTATGGCGCACAAAGGCAAATTGCACAAGAACGAGAGAAGCCGCGAATCAGAGAGAAAAGAGAACAGACACGCGCCAAAGTACTACAGAGGGGAGAAACAGGCCCCGGCCCCAAAGCCCAGACTTACGCGGAACGTTGTCAACAAAACGTTCAGAACGGACGGCGAGCTAACGGAGTTTATTCTGAACGAGGGAACGTTCAAAGACAAAGTGGCTGCAATGACTCTTATGACCATACAGGAGCAGGACGGAAAGGCGCTGAACCAGCTGATGTCTCTCCTGGAAAGCTCCGAGGGGGGAGACAAGGTGTATCTGGCGATCACCCATGCGGTGAAAATCGCCGATTACTACTTAGAGTGCAAGAAAGAGGCCGAGAATCCCGCAGCAGACACAGAAAGCACCCCAGACGCGCGCAAGTTCTGCCTCTTCATCGAGAAGTCGCTCTTTGTCAAAAGACTCACCGAGGGCATTTCCAAGCACATGGCGTCGCCCTTCCTGAAAGAGAAGCTTATGATTCTTGTGAAGAACATGGTGGAGACAGACACGCTCAGCGAGCAAATGGTGGGCATTATGCTGGATGCTGCAGACGTGCAGGTGGACAAGGAAATACTCTTGATTTTCTCGCACATCATCAAGCACAGAAAGATGGAGCTCATTTCCATCCTGCGCGACAAAATCACACAGACCATTGTGTCCCACAGAAACCCGAAGAAAGTGAAATATTTTGTCACGCTGGCGCTCTTGCTAAACAAGTCCGAGTGGGTGCAGGAGGACGCAGACTACACCGCGTACGTGGTGCCTCTGATCCGGGGGTTTATGTCTCTGCTTAAGACCGTGCAGGAGGAGATTGGAAACCCGCAGATAAAGGCCAAGACCAGCGCGTCCGTTCTGTCGTCGCTTCTGAAGGGCCTGCTGCGGTTCATCAACTGGCAGAAGACAATCCCCTCTTTGAAGATGTGCTACACCTCGGAAATTCTGAAGGAGGTCGGGTACATAATTTTCAAGCTGGCGTACAACGACAACACGCGGTACTCCCTCCCTGCGCTGAACCTCCTGGAAACAGCGAACGAGACAGAGAAAATCAACTACAGCCGGGTGCTCGGAGACACCATCAGAAAGTACATCTATCTAAACGACCTAAGCAAGTGCGAGATCCTGAACAAGGCCGTGAACATGCCTGCGCAGGAGGTGCAGGTGAAGGTTGTGCAAAGCGCATACCACGCCCCAATTGGGTCCAAATACCCGCTCGGGTGCATGATGGTGACGCAGGAGGCAGGACAGAGCCTCAAAAATAGAGCGGGATACGTGCTGCTAAGCCAGTCGCACGACCCAGAGCTTGCAGACACAGCAGAGAAGCTTGTGCGCGGAGAAAGCATTTCGGTGTACAACATCTGGTCGTAATAATACAAACAGCGGCACACTTTGGCTTTTCGTTTCAGAGCAGCGAAGATTCTTTTATTTAAATTGCGCGTGCATAAAATTTTTAATGACATCTGAACAGAACAGGCGGTTTCTATTTACTTCCGAATCCGTTGGAAGGGGACACCCAGACAAAATATGCGATCAAATAAGCGACTCTATTGTGGACGCGTGCTTAGAACAGGATAGATTCTCCCGTGTGGCAGTCGACGCAGTTATCAAGTCCGGGCTGGTCATGCTTGTGGGAGAGCTCACAACAAAGGCCGCCGTGGACTTTGAAGAAGTCACGCGAAAGGTGCTTCGAGAGGCAGGATACACGCACGAGTGGGGCCTGGACCCGGAGGCGTGCACGATTCTTTCGCACATAACAAAGCAAAGCATGGACATTTCAGACGGGCTCGAGCAGGAGAACCAAGACCCGTGGGACCTGGGCGCAGGCGACCAGGGAATCATGTTCGGGTATGCCACGGACGAAACCCCCGAAAGAATGCCGCAAACAGCCGCTTTAGCACACAAGCTTGGGCAGGGGCTGGAGGCTCTTAGGCGCACCACGCACTGGCTCGGCCCAGACAGCAAGACGCAGGTGACAATGGAGTACGAGGAAAGCGTGCAGAATGGCGTTTGCACGCTCACCCCGATTCGGGTCGACACAATTGTGATATCCACCCAGCACAAGGCGGACGTTGAGACGGCGTACATCCGGGAGTTTTTGATCGAGAACTTAATCAAAAAGGTCGTTGACAGCCGGCTGCTTTCCAGCACAAAGTACGTCCTGCAGCCGAGCGGAAAGTTCGTGGTGGGCGGGCCCAAGGCGGACTCCGGGCTAACGGGCAGGAAGCTCGTCGTGGACTCGTACGGCGGATGGGGAGCGCACGGAGGAGGCGCGTACTCTGGGAAAGACTGGAGCAAGGTCGACCGAACAGGCGCATACGCAGCCCGGTGGATTGCAAAGTCGCTTGTTGACTCGGGGCTGTGCAAGAGAGCGCTTGTGCAGATCTCCTACGCAATTGGCGTGCGAGACCCGATCTCGCTCTACATTGACGTGTACGGGTCTTCAAGATACACAAACCAGCAGATACTGCAGCTTGTGCAGAAGAACTGGAACCTGCGGCTGGGAGAGATCGTGAAGGCTCTCCAGCTCGACAGGCCCATATACAAGGAGACTGCCGTTTTCGGGCACTTTGGGAGAAGCCAGTTCCCCTGGGAGAGCTCAAAGGCCCTGGAGGGCCTGGAGGCAGCTGGAAAGGAAAACGGAGTTTTCGCGCAGAACAGCCAGAGCCCAAAGTAACGACAAAATAAAAGCATAAACTGAAGCACACAATCCTCCATGCAGCCTCTTCTGGCCGACTATTATGCAGTACACGCGCCCGCGCGTGGCGGACCAAAATACACACGCAAACCAACAACTTTTATTATATGTCATTCTCCCAGCTCATATTCCTCTGTATTTCTATTTTCTTGCTTAGCACAGGAACTTCTTTGTGCTTTATTTCCCGGGTTATTTGGAAGTGCTGCCCAGAGTCCTCCTTCTTCCTGTATGTGGATGATGACATGCTTCTGCTGTTGCCTTTTCCGCCTCGGCCGCCCTTAAAGCTCAGCATTTCTGCTAAAAACGCAGGCACCGTCTGCTTTGCCTTCTCCAGGATCTCTATCAGGTCGGCAGCCTGGTGGGCGGATCCCCGGCCTATAAAGGTCACGGCCCTTCCCGACCTCCCCGCTCTCCCGGTTCGGCCTATCCTGTGCACGTAGTCGTTTATGTCGGAGGGCATCGAGTAGTTCACAACAAGGGAAATCCCCGGAATGTCCAGGCCTCGGGCGGCCACCGACGTTGCAATAAGAACAGGCAGCGCCCCGCTCTTAAAGTCTCCGAGGGAGGACTCTCTCTCCTGCTGCGACTTGTCTCCGTGGATGCTTGTGCAGCTGATCCCGTTTCTGTGCAAGTGCTGGGAAAGGCTGTTGCACTCGACCTTCTGGTCCACAAAGATGACTATTTTGTGCTGCTTCTTTTCTGGCTGCTCCCTTTCCTTTATTTCCTTCTTTGGCTCCGCGTCTTTCTTCTTGTGCGCCCACGTCAGATTCGGCGTGGAGTGGCCTCCGCCGCGGCCAAACATGCTGTTCCTGCTCTGTGCCATTTCTATAGGGTCGCTGGGGGTGTATCCATACTCCTGAAGCAGGCTCATAAGCTTCTCGTTCTTCTCCTGCTTATAGTGGTCTGGCTCCTCAACAAAAACAAGCTCCTGCTTGATCTTCTCCAGCAGCCCGTGCCCGACGTGCACCTCCACAGGCACCTTCTGGAAAAACTCCTTTGCAAGCGCGCGCACCGGCGCTGGGAAAGTCGCAGAAAACATCATCGTCTGCCTGGACATCTCTGGGCTCAAGTGCTGCAGGATTTCCCGGATTTGCTTTTCAAAACCCATGTCCAGCATCCGGTCGGCCTCGTCGAATACGAGCATTTGGACAGCGCTCAGATCGAAGTTGACTGTCGCGTCCTTAATAAAGTCGAGTATTCTTCCAGGCGTTCCAATGACGAGGTCCAGCCCCCTCCGGATGTCGGCCTTCTGGTCTGACCTGTACACTCCTCCGTACACGCACCCGGCGGATATGGACATGCCCTTCGAGAGCAGCTCGGTCTCGCTGTGGATCTGCAGGGCCAGCTCTCGCGTCGGGGTCAGAATAAGCGCCTTTATGGTCCGCTTTCCATGTCCGCCCTTGTACATCTGCGAGTACTTCGAGGACTTTTCTCGCTTTTCCAGGCTTTTCGCGCCGACCAGCGTGTTCAGCACAGGCACCAGGAAAGAAATCGTCTTCCCCATTCCCGTAGGGGCAGATATCAGCATGTCTTTCCCGTGCAGGGCCAGCGGCATAACGTACTTCTGCACCAGAGTTGGCGTGTCTATTTTCATGTTTTCCATGTTCTCTAGTATTTTCGCAGATATCAATTGGCCTTTAAAGGACTGTATGGGGTTGAGATTTTCTATTCCTTTTGTTGTCACTTCTTCTGCTTGTTTTCGGTTTGGAGCTTCCCCTTTCTTGCTCATAGGGGGTGGCATGTAATTATTTGCATTCATTGCATATTTGCAAATTTTTTATTAATCTACTCTGCAGAATACACAATTAGATTACTCAGAAATCCGTCATTTGATGACACAAGCAGAGAAACCTTCTCGGGAGTGTCCTGGATGCACACCACATCTGTAATGGGCAAAAAGGCGCAGTCTGCGATTCTGAACGCCAGCGCGTGCTCCTTTTCGCTGAACACATAGAGGTTTCGCCCCTCAGAGACAACCAGGAACCGCTGCGTAACGAGGGCGCACACTGTTGACGAGGAAAAGCCCTGTATGGCCTTTGTCACCCTGTACTCCGGCGGGGAAAGAATGTTCACGGTGTTTTTCCCTTCGTGTGTGGCCGAGGGAAGGTACAGGCTTCCGTCCGGGCCGAAGAAAAGCCGTCGGAAAAAGAAGGCGTGCTTGTCTGATATCAGAGACTTTTTTGAGACCTTTTGTATCAGCTTCCCGTCCTGCGAGAACACTTTCACCACGCGGTCGTTTCCTATCGTGGCAAACATGCCCTCCGTGCACGCTATCCCCTGTATGGTGTCCTTGTGCACCTGCTTTGAGGAAACACACTTTGCCGCCAGGCTGGGCGCAAACTCTTCAATCATCCGGATCTTGACCCCGGGCTTTTTTGCCTCTTTCCCGCCCTGCTCTGCCGCCGCGCTCTCCGGGAGAACTCCGCCGCCCTTTGCCTTTTCCTTTCCCTGGGAATTTCCGGGAAAGACGGTGCTTAGCGCGTACTGCTCGACTCGGCCCGCAGACGTCCCCACAAGAATCTTTCCGGCGAACCACTTCACCTCGTATATGTCTGCGCCGTCGCTTTCCCGCACAAGAACGGGCTGCCCCTGGTACTTTCGGTCCTCCTCGGACGGAGTGCTCTGCATAACCTCCTCCACATCCCACAGAAACACCGTGCCCGTGTCGCCGCCCGAGACCAGATACTTCCCGTCTTTGCTAAACTCAACGCTGTTTACGCTTCCCTTGTGCTTGGCCAGCGTGAAAATGTGCGTGATCGCACAGCCCTCGGAGAGAGCTGTTTTGTACTCAAACTCCTCCCGGGGGGGCTCCCCCGTGTACGCGTACTCCCAGAGCCGAATCGCCTTATCGCCCCCCGCGGTTGCTATGACTGTTTTTCCGCCCCTTTCCACGGCGGCCACTGAGAATATTGCAGAGTCCTCGTGAAACTGCAGATTCAGCTTCACCACGGTGCATCGCTCTTTCATTATTATAGAAAAAATCTATTTGCCCATTTAAATTATTCGGACGCTCTTGCCTGTTAAAACGCCCTGCGAGAGGCCATCCCCTTCTCCGGGAAATGCGTGCCCAAAGTCCGCCAGGCCCTTTCTGCTGCGCTGCACTGTGAGAACTATTTAGATTTATTCATTAATTTCCTATGCACACAGCTGTTTCTGACATGCAAAGGCGCTTTTTGGGGCTCTTTGCAAAACTAAGAAAGTCGGAAAGGCTCTTCCAAAAGTTTCTTTCCAAAATGAAGGTTGCTTTCAGCATACAACACTGCACGTGCCCTGCATGCTTTTACCCGCAGAAAAGGGAAATAAACCGGCAGACACAGGCAATTATGCGCAGCTGCAGGCCAGAAGAGCCCATCCTCTGCGCAGTGCCTTTGGGCTGGCCTGGCGCGCCTCTCCGAATAACCCGAATTTCTCCGAGTTTTCTCAAGCCTCGAGCCGGCTTCTGCGCTGGAGCTGCTCTTTAATCACACAGAAAGAAAATGCAGAATTTGGCTGCAAACGCCCAAACTGACAGTCTGCCTTGCTGCTTCAAGAAAAAGTCCAGGCAGCCTTCCTTCCGGAAATGCCCGGCCTTAGATGCTAGCTCCTATAATAGCCATTTATTCGCGGCTTTCTTCCCTGCCCGGAGCACTGCCTCCGTGTGTCTTACAAAACAGTTTTTCAAACTCGCCCCCGCGCAGAACCTTCCTGCACAGCTCGTAGTTCTCTGTTCTGTACGCAGCTGCCAGCGCCACAAGGCCCTTTCCCTGCTGGCACGCCTTCTCGGCGCCCTTCTTTAGGTCCTCCATGCTGTTGCAGAGGGCAGCCAAAAGGACTTCGTTCTCCACGGAGACGCCCTTCTGGGCGCACTGCAGGGCCTCTCTGACATGCCCTCTTCTTACAAACAGCTCGGCCAGCCTGCTGTGCTTTGTCTCTGTATTGGATATGCGCATGGCCTCGCTCAGCTTGCCCAGCTTCACAAGCAGCTCAAACTTCTCGTCTGGATCGTCTGCCAGCCTGTACGCCTCCTCCAGCATGCCCATTCCCATGAGAAAGTGTATGCACTCCTTCAAGTGCTCCTTTGGTATTTCAGAGGGAACATTCCCGGAAATTATCATGCTCTGGTACTTCACCAAGCCCCACTGCACGCTGTGCTCAAAGACCTTTCCGCCATCCAAGCACCAAACTCCGCCTGCAACAACGCCCAGAAGAACCCCGCTCGCTGGAAGTGTCCCAAGCGTGACTGCGTGCATTTTTGTGGGCGAGCTCTTCTCGCTCAGCACGAAGTACTCTATTTTGCTTCCTGTGTGGAGAAAGACCACGTTGTCTTTTCCGCACCAGCTGCTTATTCTGCAGCTGAGCGAGCTATCGGGGCTGCTCGGGCTGCCGTTCTTCCCCACTATGTCTGCCCGGTCCTTGTACAAAAGCACGTACACGTTGTTGTACGCATAGACTCCCTCCGCCTCGGGAACTTCCATTAAAACGTTGCCCTTCAGGCCGACCAGATACTGCGTGCTTTCTGTCTTGATCAGCATGCTATGCGCATCGACCTTTTTAACGCTCTTTATCTCCGACCCGTCCAGCTCCGGGGAAAGAGCCACTTTCCCGTCCACTTCAAAGTCCGTGTACCGCACGAGGCTGCTTCCGTGCACAATAACAAACTCCTCCAGGCCTGTCCACACAAGAGAGTGCCCGGGCACAGACACTTGCAGCAGAAACCCAAGCACAGTGTATATGTACGCCATCCCGTCCGACTCAACGGACAGATACCTTCCGTTCTCCGACAAGCACATTCTGTCGGGCACGTACGAAAGCGTCGTCACAATTTTGGCAGCGCCTGGATTGCTGGTTTTTATCTGCTTAATCTGCGTGCTGTCTGAAATGACAACTCTTCCCTCGCTCTTCGTGCTTATGAAGCTGTAGAGAAGGCTGCTCTGCGTCTGCCGGACAAAAGAGATCCCCTCGTCCCCGCCTGCAAGGAGGTCTCCCCCCTGCGCAGCACAGACTCCCCACACTCTCTGGACGCGCGCAGAAACAGAGGACTCTGGCCTAAAGCTCTTTTTGCTCCACTCTCGCACAAGGCCGTCCTCTCCCGCGCTGACAAACCCTCTGCTCGTGCAGCACACAGAAGTAACCGGCCCCATGTGCCCAGAGACGCTTGTTATGGGCGTGTACAAAGACCCGTCCCAAATGTTGATTTTCCCGTCGTCGCCCCCGCTCACTATGTGCTTGTCCGCTATGTATTTGACGGTGTTCAAGGGAGTGCCGGTGCCCTTCAGGGTTTTCACAGCCGCGCCTGTTTCAATGTTCCACACAATGATGTTGTGGTCCAGCGAGCACGAAATAAGCGTTTTGTTCTCTTTCGAAGAGAAGTCCACGCACATCACGAAGTGCGTGTGCCCCGAGAGGGTTTTTATCAAAGACACCTCCTTTGAGTAGTCCCATATCTTTATCTGCATGTCGTCGGAGCAGGTGGCTATATACGGCAGGACAGGGTGCACTGCAATGTACCGAATAAAGTCTGTGTGCGCCTGCACCTTGTGCTTCAGCTTGAACGAGTCTGTGCAGTACAGGCGAAGCATTCCGTCGTCTCCCCCCACGGCAAAGCACTCGCAGTCTTCAACAAATGCAGCTGCCCGGACAGGTATTTCTCCAATGCTTCCTGTTTTTATGAGGTTCATTCCTATGGTGTTCCACAGCTCAAAGTCCCCGTTGTACATAACGGCAAGCGCCAACGGCTCTTTCTTGTGCGAAACAACCTGCTTGACTCTTGCTTTTTCAAATCGCCCTGCAATCCTTTCTTCCATCCAAATAAAATAATAACTTAATTTATACGCGCATGCACAGCCAGAACACCCACAAAGAATGAACTTGCCCGGAAATCGCGAAAAATCTCCTTCTCTGGGAGGGCGCACAGCAGTGTCGCATAGAAGGCTCTGCTCTGTGTGCAAAGCAGCGTCTTTTGGCGTGCAAATTTTCGCACTCTCAGCGCAATCAAATTGTCTTTGCGCGTGTGACAGCGGGAATCCTCGTGCATGCCCAAAGAGAATGCTGAGGCACGCCCATGCCCGAAACAGCTTCTTCTGGCGCAGCCTGGCGAAGGAGTATTTGAAGGCGCAGCGTCTTTGGGTGTGCAATAATGCGCTGAAGCCCCCGTGGAAAAGTGCTTCTTTCACGCTGGCATGCTTTCCAGAAGCGGCTTGCTCTGGGGCGGTGCTATTTGGGTTGCTCGTTTTCACCTCCAAGCCCAGCACTCTCTAGAGATGCACGTTTCTTGCAGGTGGGCCGTGCCACGAGCGAAGAGCAGCTGTTTTCTGGCCTGGCCGCGCCCCCGCAGTAAAGCCTTTTCGAGACAACACACGGCAGCAGAGCGCCAAGCGCGCACGCCGCTAAAAAAGTACGCGTCAAGAAGCATTCCTTTATTGAAGCTCGGAGAAACCTCTGCATCGTTTCAGAAGGTTTCTATGAAGGACACATTCCTGGCCACCGCAAAAAGCGAGTGCGCGATGTCCAGTGCGATGGAAAAAGTGTCGAGTGTGTATGGCACATCGTCCGCAAGGAGGTTCGGAGCGACCACGTTCACTATGCTTTGGTAGGAGACAAAGTTTGTCTTTTCGTACTCTGCCACTTTTTCAATTGTGTATATCACATGCTTCAGTATCCATATGGAGGTAGACCCCATTGTGGCCATCATTATCAGGCCCAGCCCGTAGTCTATTTTCTCCAGCGGAACTTTCTTTGCCCGCTCTGCAATGGCAATGTACAAGTACTTTGACACAATTCCGCCGTCGTACTCTCGAATGTATCTGTTGAAAACCATGGAAAGCGCCCGGAGCTCGTCTGGGTTGCTTTTCACAGCCTCGTAGTCCACGGGCTGCTCTTCCACTATCCACCGCGCGTATCTTTCCTTTACGTCGATGGTGTCTGGGTTTTTTCTGTATACATACCCATTTGTGTACTTGATCAGATCGACCAGCGCCTTTGACACGTTAAGGAAGCCCTGGGAAACTCGTTCCGACGTGTTCTTGGTGAGAACAATTTCCTCCTTCAGGCTCTTTCTTCTGGCAGTCTCCCATCTTTCCATCTCCTCCTCTATGCTTGGAAGAGGCTGTGGCTTCTCAATGCACGAGCCCATGAAGCTCCGCACCTTCTTCATAATTCGCTGGAAAAAGGTCGGCTTTGGCTTCACCCGGGCCTTGACCTGCTGCTCCAGGTGCTTGGGTTTTTCCTGGGCTATCACAAGCTCCAAAACCTGGTTCTGCAGGGTATCCATGTACTTCAGAAAAATGACTTCGTCTCGCATCTGGTTGATGATTTCGCTGTTTTTCCGTGCTCCAATGAGCTCGATGTACGCGTCCCTGAAGAGGCTCTTTCGCGCCACCCGAATGTAGTCCCGCGAGATGGCCTTGTTGAACTCTTCGCTGTACAGCGGCTTCAGGCTCTTGTACACCTGCGGGTTTGTTTTGAACAGGTTCTTCATCCCATCGTGCATGCTCTTCGTGTAGAAGCAAGCGTACTTCAGTCCCCCAAAGTAGCTCTTCAGCTCCTCCACTCTGTTGCAGTTTTTCTTCGCTTCCTCCTCCGGGCTGAATGCGTCGCTCACCTCAAGCAAGTGGCTGTCGTCCACTCGGGTTCTGAACACCCTGCATCTCGCGTCCGAGCACATCTGCTCTTTTGGCGACTGCCCGACCCCCAGACTCTTCTGGCTCTGCGTGCTTGCTGGGGCCTGCACCGCGCCCTGCACATTCGTGTTTATAAAGTGCGGAGACTCTTTACTGCCAGACTTCTCCTCCACCTCTGCTTTTGTTTTGATTTCCTGCATATTTTCAGGGACAAATGCAGACGGCTTTATTTCTTCAGAAGGCTCTTTGCAGGCAGAGTCTGTGCCCTCACTGCACTCAATCGGAAGATGCTGCGGCTCTTCGCTCGAAGCACTCTTCTCTTCCTCTGCCATCGCCCCCATCACTTTTCTCCACGCCTCGCTGCACTTCTCCACTAGAGCATGCGCCTTTTCCACCTGCTCGGCCGACTCCGTCTGCAAAAGAGTCCACTTGCTGGCAAGCATGGCCTTGTACGCAGACATCATTTTCTTTTTGACCAAGTCACTCTCCCTCTTCTTGCACGGGTACGCAGACATCTCCAAAAGCATTGTGTTGCTCATTTTCTCGGACTCCTCGTTCAGAATCTTCGCCTTTTCTCGGGTGGCCTCGCTCATGCTTGCAGGCTCGTGCAAGTCCAGAGAAATAAGCTGGCTAAACAGGGAGACATCCTCCTTTGTTGCCCCTTTTTCCTGCATGCGCGCCCGAGCAGCGTACAGAAGCGGCGCATACTCATACGTCTTTGCAGCGCTCAAAATAGCCTGTATCGGGTACTTTTCTGGCAGCCGGATTGCTTCTCCCAGGACATTCTCCAGGTACTGCGACCGGGTTATCCGAAGAGAGCCAACCACTCCTCCGCCAATCACCAATGACGGCGAGTAGTCTCGGCACGCCTTGTCTATTTGCAGCACAAGAATTGTCTCCTGCACAGACGAAGGCGCTGCCCCCACTCTGTTCATGGTCTGCATGTACAGCTCCCGGATCATGGTCCACGCTCCTGTGTTCTGCATGCTGGCAATTACGCGCCCGTCCTGCTTTGCAAGCTCTTCAAACTTTTCCAGCAGCTCAGAGTACTCCATTCCGTGAACAGAAGTTCCCTCCTGGTCAGAGCCTCCTAAAAGGCGGGGGGCCCAGTGCTTCATTGCATCGTGCATTTTCCACACCATCCCAGGCGAGCCTTCTTCTTCAATAGAGTCCTTTCCTATGCCAAAGACTGCTTTCATAAGATTTTCGAAAAAATCCCCATTTAATTCTGGGCACGAGTCAATAGCGTATCTTTCTATGACGTCCCACGTGAACAAAATATCCTGATACAGATCGTGCTTTTCTCTATTGGAAAGAATAAAGAAGTTCACTGCGATCTGGCACATCAGAACAGCCATGGAGTAGAAAAGGACTTGGGGGTGGTCAGTACTCGCTTTAACTATCCTACCCACAGCCGTCTCTATGCTTTCCTCGAACGAAATATGCTTGTGTGCGCTCCTTCTGTTTTCCAAGTATCTAGCACCCACCCGGAAGGATGGGAATGTTTTGCTATGTGCGCTGAAAACCTGCGCAAGAAATTCATGATTTCTTCTAGAGGACCTTTTTCCTTGTATCATTGACTTGTGATTTTTTTCGTCTATAAATACTTTTAATCCAGAGGCCGCCATGTTCTAGAATTCCGCGCGCGGTCTAGATCAGAATTCCAATATTCCCTAACGCGGCAAAATTAGTTTTTCCCAAAATCCGAGAATTCTTGCCTGGACACACGCAGAAATCCCAAAGGGAACCCAATGGAAGCCCAATGGGAGCCCAAAATAGCTCGATGAGAGCCCAAGAGATGGCTGCTGGGGTAACTAGCTAGATTTATTGATTAATTTCCTACGCACACAGCGGTTTCCAGCATGCAAAGGCGCTCTTTGGGGCTCTTTGCAGGCTTCTCGGATAGTCCAGCCCGAATTCAAAGGGAGTGAAAGAAATTCCGGCTCTCGCCGCTTTGAAGAAGAAAAGTCTGAGTTTTAGAGCTTTATTCTGCATAGAGTGCACAGAAGAGCCTGCACAAAGAGACGCTAACTTCGTGTGCTGCCTCAGAGCGCGCAAATGCGCGAATTTGTCGGTTTCCCGCCCGGCAAGCCTCGGGCAGAGCTTCGGCTTCTGCAGAAAGTAAACTCCCGTGCTTTCTGTGAATTTATATGTCTATTCGGCCTCATGGAAGCCACGCTATGCATCACTGCAGGCGAGGATTCCTTGTTATGTTGAAGTTTCCAGGGCACGGCCGCAGGGTTCCTATCGCGCAAATGTCCTTCAGCACCTCGACCATCACAACCTTGTCGGGGCTTTTCAAGTCCACCTTCCTGGGGATGCCCTCGGCGACAGTCGTGATGATTTGCTCGCTGCTCAGGCGCGAGCTCAGCCTTTTTGACAGGCTTATTCGGAACGACTCCTGCGCAGATATTTTGTCGCACGCCTTCTTCGTCTCCCGGGCGAGGTTTTCCGTTCTCAGCACAAATATGGACAGGACAGGTATAATCCTTCGTATGCACTCGGACCTTTTGGTGCTTTCCACCACCATGTTGTATATTTCTATTTCGTCGAGGCCCGAATTGTTTCGGATAAACAGCACCTCAGACTCCGACTTCTCCTCCACAAGGACAAACTCTGGCATCCTCGCCTCTTTTCTCTCCTTTTTGAGCTGGCTGTGCACGTCCTCAGCGCTCACAATTTCTGGTATAAACTCCTTTGTGATCTGCACCTGAAAAGCAGCCATTTTCAGAATGGGAAATATTTCCCGAACTGCGTCTCTGTGTCGGCCATCTACACACGTTACAACAAATCCTCCCATAAAAGTAAAAGCCAAGTAAAAAATTTAAGAATGGCGAAAGTTGGGCCAGCACGAAAGAAGAAAGTCGGTAAAGGCCGGTTGGACAAATACTACTTCCTAGCAAAGGAGCACGGATACAGAGCTAGATCTGCATTCAAGCTGATACAGCTAAACCAGGCATACAACTTGCTCTCAAACATACACTCGGCAGTTGACTTGTGCGCTGCCCCGGGGGGATGGCTGCAGGTTCTCTCTAAAACCGTGCGCCCGCCCAGCAAAATAGTTGGCGTGGACTTAGACCCGATAAAGCCCATCCACGGCGTGCACACGATAATTGGCGATATAACAGAGAAGGGCTGTGTCTCTGAGATTCTGGCGTCCGTTGGAGAGACTGAAGTGGACCTTGTCCTGCACGACGGAGCGCCAAATGTGGGGGCGTCCTGGGAGAAAGACGCGTTTGTGCAGAACGAGCTTGTGTGCCACGCGGCAAAGCTGGCCTGCAGGATCCTCAAGAAAAACGGGGCCTTTGTCACAAAAGTCTTCAGATCCAGAGACTTCAGCTCTCTGATGTGGATGCTGAACCAGCTCTTTGCAGAGTGTCTTGCGACGAAGCCCAGAAGCAGCAGAGCAGAAAGCGCTGAAATGTTCCTCGTCTGTCGCGGGTACAAAAAGCCCGAGCAGCTCGACGAGAAGTTCTTCGACCCGCAGTTCCTCTTTGCGGACTTGGAGGCGCAGTGCGAAAAGGGCGAGTGGACGCTTTCGAACCTGCTCGCAGAGAGAATTGACTTGGCGAAGTGCACGAAAGTGCGCGTGGACTGCATGCACGAAATGGTCGACGAAGAGACAAAGGCGCTTCTGGACGACCTGCAGGTGGTTGACGACACGGACATGCGGAGGCTTGTCCGGACTCTGAAGAAGATACAGAGGGCGTACGTGGGCAGCAAGGGCGGAAACTCGCCGGAGGAAGTTGTCGACCTGCGAACCCCCGCGGAGAGGGAGGAGGCAGAAATCGCCGAGGCAAAGCGAGTCATGCAGAGAAGGGAGAAAGTCACCCGCAGGAAAATTCTCGCGAAGAGGGCAAAGCAGCTTGGGCTTTCGGAGGAAGACATACAGACGGTGGAAAACGTGCACGGAGACTTCTTTGAGGACAACCTGTTCGACGAAACAGAGACGGAGGCGGAGTCCGAAGACGAGGGCGCCTGCGAGAGCGAGCAGGAGACGGAGAGCGAGGACGAGGAAATAGACGACGGAAACTCCGAGGAAATGGACGATGAGGAGGCCGACTCGTGCTCGTCCTCCCTCGCTATGGAGGACAAAGTGTGCGGGTACAGGCTGAAGGCGGACGAAGAGGAGTTTGAAAACGACGGAATCGACCGGTACGTCTTTGACGATGACGAAACCCTCCCGCACTTCTTCAGAAACGACGAGGAGAAGTACAACAGGAGGCACGTGTACAACGAAGACCGAGAAGACATGGAGAAGAAAGTGACCGTCTCGAAGAAGGTGGAGGAGATGCGCGCCAGGAGAATGCGGAGAGTTGAGAGGAAGCTGAAGAAGATCCGGGACAGGCTTGAGGCCGGAGAGGAGGAAATGGACATGCGCGCCGTGCGAAAGGGGGCAATGAAGAAGGAGGTCCGGGAAAGGCCGAAGATGATCTTTGCAGGGCCCTCAAAGAGCGTCCCCAGGCTGAAGGGCAGGTTCAAGATGACCGACAGAAGAATGAAGAAGGACAAGGCCGGGCTTAGAAGGGCAGAGGAGAGAAAGAAGGGGAAAAAGGGAAAGAAGTAAGCACTCGAAATATCCGAATTAATAAAATCAGCTGAGCAAGAATGTAGGCGCGTTCAAAGAAAAAATGTGCGAAATAGCTTTTTCTGGGGTTTATTCAGCGGGTGTTCTTTGCTGGCGCTGTGCATGCAGGGCATCCACGCTCTATGCGCAGCAGCAGAGGCTATTGTCAAATGCCCAAAGTGTGCATTCAAGCAGCTCACGCTATGGCTCTATATGAATTAAAAGTCTAGGCGCACGCGAAAAAGTCTGCACAATATTTCTTCTCTCGGCAGAATTGGCATGCGAAGCCTAGCTTAGGTCTTGCATGTCTCCACCGCCGGCCTGCAAAGCCCGTGAAAGTGCGCGTGCCTTGGTCTTTCCCTCCCCGTGATCAACTCGATGCTGATTGAACCCCGGAAGGGCTGGGACTTTTCTTTTAAACGCTTTTTCAGGTATCCTGAATTCTATGCAAAGCATGCTGATTTCTATGCAACGTATCCTGAATTCTATGCAAAGCATGCCCTGAAACAGAGATGCTGGCTTGCCTGGCGCTGCCTGCTTGGGCAGACGCCTTTTTGTTTGTTTTATTTTTGCTGCACATGTCCAGATTCACTGAGGAGCTGGAGTTTGTCCAGTGCCTGTGCAACCCGCAGTATTTGCAGCACCTGTACCAAAAGGGGTACTTCAACCGAGCAGACTTTAGGCAGTTCCTTGAGTATTTGCAGTACTGGAAAAGGCCCGAGTACGCAAAATGCCTCTTCTTTCCACAGGCCCTCAACATCCTGGACCTTCTAATTAACTCGAAGGAGTTTGTTGAGTCTCTGAAGTATAAGCAAATGGTGGACTTCCTCGCCTCCCAGCAATATCTTCAGTGGAAAAATCGGAGGTAAAGCCTGTTCTCACGGGTCTCTGACCCCTCCCCGCAGCGCAAGCACCAAGTGGAGGACGTCGTAGTTCTGTATTCCGTACGCCTCCAAGTCGTTTGCATCGACTAGCTGCTTGCCTGCATAAATAAGTCTCTGCTGCTCTATGGAAATGGCTTCTTTCTCCTGGAGAAGCTCTTTTACCCTTTTTACTTTCATTTTCCGGTCCACCTCCAGCTGAACTTCAGTTCCTTCGAGGGTTTTTATCTTTATGTACATTCTACAATAAAAATAAAGAACGAAATAAACAAAAGAATAGAAAAAGGCATGCCCCCGTGCATGTCCGAGGATAAATTGCTGAAAGTCTCTGCAATGCACGCATCTTTGCCCGCTTTGCCTGCACGCTGCCCCTTGCTCCTTGCCGCGCGTGTTTCTGATGCAAACACCCCCTTCTTTGTAACTGTAACTGCAACAAAAAGCCTGCAAGAGCTGCAGACAGCCTCTTCCTGCCGAAGTTTCAGCCAGGGAAAGGCCCAGCACGTGCAAAGCCTGCTGGGCGCGAGAATATTCCCCCTGCCACCGCATTCTGGCACAGTCCCTCGGTTTTTTTTCTTCTCACAGCGTCTTTTTCTCGCACAAGCAGCCCACAGTGAAAGAACAAAGGCCTTTTCCAATCATAGAAGCAGCACACACATCAATAGATCAGCATAAGCACCATAAGCACCATAAACACATCAGCGCAAACATATTAATGCCAAAACGACGCTATTGCTCCGTCAGCATACTAGCACCATAAACGCACGAATAGTAGCACCCACGCCTTCAATCCATCAATAGCACCTTCAACACAGCACTCCCTTCAACAATAATATCTTCAATAACATATTAACATAAACACTTCAATAGCAGAAATCCGGATAATCCGTGAAGTATTCTGCCAAGCCTGCAGTCCTGCTGCACCATTGGAAAATAAATAGTCTTGTCCTGTTTATTCAAGGTCACTCATCTTTGGCGGCTTGTACGTTGAGGGGTACTTGGTCGCCTTTGCATACTCGTTCATTGCAACTCTGTTGTGTACCTTGTGGTTCACGCGCTTCAGCGAGGGATCGTGCTTTGATGGGTTTTTTGTCTTGTAGACTCTTTCCACAACCTCCCTGCGCTGCATTCGCTGCACCTGTGCCAGGCCATTCTCTGTCATTACTACTCTCGCCTCCTGCGCAAGCGCTGTAGCTCGAATTCTGTTAGCATTTGCCACTGCAGAGTGATCTGCAGGGCTTGTCTGGAACCCTGCACTTCCTGCACTAGATCCTACCCTAGATCCTGCACTTCCTGCACTTCCTGCGCTAAACCCTGCACTTCTTGCGCTAGATCCTGTCCTAGGCCCTGCACTAGATCCTGCATTTCTTGCACTTCCTGCGCTAAACCCTGCACTTCTTGCGCTAGATCCTGTCCTAGGCCCTGCACTAGATCCTGCATTTCTTGCACTTCCTGCGCTAAACCCTGCACTAGATCCTGCACTTCTTGCGCTAGATCCTGCACTTCTTCCCCCCAGAACTTTCGAGCCTGCAGCACTTCCGTTCATCTGGCTGCCCGTTTTTTCTGGGCCCCTCTGCAGGCCAGAGCCATTGCCTCTCTTGCCTTGCTCGCCAAGTGCCTGCTTGTTCTGCATTATGTTGAAGTACGTCGCCCGAGCATTTGTCTTCGGATCTACTTTGCTGTACCCCAAAACATTTTCGCTCGTGTATGTGGGCGCACTTCCTTTTATGTGTTTTGCCATGTCTGGCGTGTTGACCGCTGGCCTTATGTTGTCCGCATGCGCAAATGCTGCTTTCTTCAGCGGGGCATTTCCGGAGCCTGCGCTTTGGCGGGCCGTCTTGGCCTCTCCAAACCTTCGTCCGGTGTGCCGCAGATGTGCTGGGGTTGTAAGCAGCTCGTGCATTTTTGGATGCATTGCCTTTCCTGCAGAGCTTCCAGAGAGCGGGGCTTTGGCCTTTTTGTTTGCGTCGGAAATGCGCATGTTTCCAAGGGATGTGTGAAGTGCTACATTGCTCCTCAGAACTGGCATTTCCTCGGTCGGGAAGTCCTCCCAGTCGCTGGCCTGGGTCGACTCAATCCGCATCTGCTTGGACTCTTCTGACTCCTCGGAAAAGCTTTCGGGTATTTCTTCGAACTCTATCTTCTGCATGGCCGGATCAATCGTCAAGGTGTAGTCAGAGTCGGAGGCCTCCCAAGTAGCAACAGCTTTCTTTTGGGCGTGCGCCTCCTCTATCTTCTTGGCTGCCTTGTTGATCTTTTTCATGGCTATCTGAAGCTCGCCTTCTGTTTTGTAGTTGTCCAGCGTTATGTCTCCTTCAGCCTGCGGCCTGCCTCCATCCATCCGAATGTTTCCCATCTTTATGTGCGTCCTAGACTGGTCTCTGCTAGACCCCATGGACGGTGAGCCTATTCGAATCGACTGGACCGGCTTTATAAGCGGATTTTTTGCTTCTTTTGGCTTCATGGCGCTTCTATCTATTGACTTTTCTCTTCTGTGTGTTTTACCCATGCGACTCTAGCTTTCTCTGCATTATATATGTTTCCTTGGGGCACTTCTCCTAAATAGGAGGCATGTCCCTTTGGCTACTGGCCTATCAGATTTTTTTTTCTCTCATATCGCCCCTTTTTCATTATCCCCTGCGTCTTCTCCTTTTTGCGCCCTACCCTGCGGCTGAATAATTCGAAGTCTCTTGTGCACAGACTCCTGCACGCAAAATCCTCTGAAATGTGCTTTCGCCAGGCCAAACGTGCAATCATGACCTGCCCTCTCCTCTACCAGTTATCATGCCCGTTTTTCAAACGCACATGCTCTGAAGAAGTAGTGCATACTTCCCTGTGCATGCAGAAATAAACCGTACTGGCTCTGGGATATTTTTCTTGCATTTTTTTCTTGCACTTTCGAAGCAGCTGTTTCTGCTCGCCATTTTATACGAGAAACTGCACGGATTTCCGGCCCTGCGCTTCAAGGGCGCACCTTCCACGCGATAGAAGCACAAAACACGCACTTTTTTGTCCTCCACGGAAACATCGCCCAGAGATCCTTTCATGCACTTTGAAAACTGCGCCAAAACCCCGCACAAGACCCAGACTATCTCTGCCCACATGAGCACACCCCCACTCTGAGCAGGAAAATCCCCCGGGCGCACACTCTGAATGCCATCCCAGTGCAGATGCTTCGGCTATAAATATATTTTTTCTTCTGTCAGAAAATGATTGCAATTGTCACGGGAAGCCCAAGAAAACAGAAAGAAATAGAAAAGTATATTGACGGACGCATTGAGTATACCTTCGTATCCCACGATCTTGTAGAGATCCAGGGAACGTCTCTGGAGGTGGTGAAGCACAAGCTTCTGTCGGCGCACAAGCTAGTGAATGGCCCGGTTTTAGTCGAAGACTACTCTCTATACATAGACATTCTGTGCGGGTTCCCTGGGCCGTACGTTAAGTCTCTGCTGGGCAATGGAGAGCTAGGCAGAATAGTAAAAAATCTCTCTCCTCTAGGGGAGATAGCATGCACAGCAGAGTGTGTGTACGGATATATTGATGCAAATGCAGAAGTCCACATATTCACGCAAAAGTCTCGGGGAGTGCTCGTTCCCTCAGAAGAAGAGGCGTCGGGCTTATTTGGAATCGACCAACTTCTGGTGCAGGAGGGCACGTCCAAGCCATTCCACTACCTGGAGGACGCAGAAAAGGACGAGCACTCTGTCAGAAGGAAAACACTGGACAAAGTGATCAAGCACATAGAGGAGTCTGGCCTCACACCCCAGGCCAGAAGCAAGCCTTCGCTGTGCGTGGAAAATAGCTAGTGTTGGTCAGTATGGCCCACCCAGGAGAAATACGTCCATCTGGAAGCCCTATGCGGAAAAACACATGCAGGAGAATAGGCCTAAACTGCCGTTTCCAGCGCATTTTTAGGCTCTGCCTTGAAAGCGGCAGAAAGCAGATGCACGCTCTTTGGGTGATCCCATCAGAAAGAGCAAATTATAGAAAAATAAACCCACATGTTTATATACGCACACTCTTAGGCTATCCCATTGCCCCTTTGCGGCTGTTTTGGGTGAGACCTTCATTTGGCCGGGCAGAAGCTTGTGCCTGCCATCTGCTGCGGAAATTCGCGTTTTTCTCGGGCCTGCTTTAACGCCCGCGCTAGCCCGTCACAAAAAACTCCCTGGCAGGCCGGGCAGCAAATTCGTGCAAAAATGTGCAAGCCCATGAAAAAAAAGAAGCTCTACAAAGCCCTTCTGCAGTGCGAAGAAGAGGTGAAAAAAGAGCACCCATTTATTGAGGTGTTTGACATGCTTTGTCCCGAGGAGATAAAGAACAAAGCACTAATGCCCTCTACTCCAGCCAGAACTTAGACGGGAACGAGGACAAAGCAACAGAAAATGCATCTAGCGCACACCAGGGATACGCATAGTCCAGAATGTACTCGTTCTCTGCCACTTTCCCGAATGTCATGCTTATGTACGAAGTGTCTTTCGGGTGTATTATTTGGAAGTTTCTGGTGGAGGGCATGGTGACTCGCCCGTCGAAGTTCAGGACGTACGAGTTTGTTTCGTGGTTGAACTGCGGCGGCTTATTCACCATTTTAACGTACTCGCACGTGTTCTTCTGGACTCTTTCCTGCAGGCTCTTCTTGTGCGGCGTATCCAGAGGGTCAACGTAGACGCTAAACATCCTCGGGCCGGCGCTGGAGTAGAGGTCGTGGTACTTTATGAAGCAGCCCGTGCTTCCTTGCTTAACTGGGCGAAGGAGATACTTTGTTCCTATGATGTTTCTGCGGAGCTTGCCCACAGTGTGCCCCTCGGGAGTCCGTATTTTCCACGCAAACACGGAGTCGCTTGCTGAAAGAAGGAGAGACCCGCTCGAGTCAAGCATGCACACTTTCGTGCTGAAGCACCTGTTTGTGCGAATAACCCTGTTTTTTAGAACTTCTGGCATCTCAGGAACTGTCATATATGATACTCGGTGGGCGGGCGGAGTTGTGGCTGTAATTGAAAGAGAGTTAAGCAGGTCTTCGCTGTCAAATGCAAGCTCGTGCTCTATCCGGTTTATGCTTTCTGTCTCCATAAAACCAAGCGCCGCCTCGCCGAAAATACCCTGAATGAAGCTGCACACCAATAAAGATAAGGAAAAAACAACCAATAGTTAGACTTTTTTTCGCCCAATATCTGCTATCGCAATTTATTTCAGGCTTTCAGGAAGGTGCAGGCAAGCCTGCCGTGCACTCTGGCCTTTTCTTTGCAGGAGCTTACCCTCTGCCCATAAAAGGGGCATTCTCTGCTTTGTTATTCGGGTGTGCCAAGCACATTTATGGAGGATTCAGCGTGTGGGCAGAGGCGCTAGTGCTTTTTCCCCTTTGGATCGTTATTCGGGTGTGCCTTGTGCGTGGATGCCTCTTTTCCTGCAGTGGGATTTGGTCTTTTGTGCATGCATTTGCCCGTAGAGACGGCATTCCAGGAGCTTTTTCTGCATTCAACCTTTCGGGTTTTGTACGAGATGAAATAGAAGCCACTTTGGCTTGACTTGGGGGAAGACTTGATCGAAGAAAGTGCATAGCTCATGTCCAGGCCTAAGAGGTCGTGCGAATCCAGGTCAATGACGTTCTGGGGGTGATATACGGGCATCCCCGGGTCTTTTGGCACCAGCACGTGCGGTACTTCTCTCTGCATGCTGTGGATGCTGCTGATAACTCTGGGCTGTCGCCTGGAAGCTTTCTTCTGGCAGACTGTGTAGCAGTCTTTAGAGAGAGATTTGAAGGTTAAATTGTTCAAAAACAGCGGAGGATTAATAACCCTTTTCGGGCCTTTTGAGTCCGTCTCCCTCGCAGGCCTAAACTCCGTCATTTTGATCATGTCCTTTGGGAAGAACTCCGGTATGTAGTAGAAGACCAGAATCTCTTTGCTGTTTTTGTGGGGGCCCTCATACAAAGTGAAGACTGGGTCCTTGTACGTGAGAGCGTGCGTGCTGAGGTTCAGAGAGAACGCGTATATTTTCGCTGCTGGCTTGCTGTACATCTTTGCGATGTACCTTATGACTTCTACGCAGAATATTTTCGCTGGGCCCTTGGGTATTATAACAGGCTTGCGCAGGTATTCCCCGTTGTCCACGTAGTATACATGCTGCATAGAGAACTGGCCTTTTCTGGAGGACCCTGCAAACCCCCGGTACTCAAGGCTTGGCTCCACCACGACGTCTTCGCAGTACATTACATTGCTGCCTCTGTTGACTTTAAACCGGCTTGTACACACCTTGTCCGGGAGAAAAACGGACTTTCCTTCAACCTGCACGCTTCCCACCACGCTTGGGCATATCTTGTAGAACGCCAAAAAGATCTGAAACATCGGCATGTACACCTTGCAAAGGGGATCAGAACTGTTCTTAGCCACTGCTTTTTCCACAGTAGGCACATTTTCCTCCACACATTTTATGAGAGGCTCCAGCCTTTCCCTGAACTCCCTCCTCAGCCTTGCCTCGTCCCTCCCTCTGTGCAGCCTCACAATAGCCTCAGCCGCATCGGCTAGATGCCTTAAATGCGCCATAAGACAACAGGGCCCGGTTTCCTTTTTTCTATATAGAAATACGCACTCGCTTAGTCTCTCTAGATTTTCAAACTTTTCGCACTCGCTCTCTACGGACTTGAAAAACGCCGCGTCCTTGAGCTTTACCAGGTCGCTGAATACTCCCGGGACGCTGAAAAAAAACAGCAGGACAGAGCAGAGGTCCTGCGCGCCCTGGGTCAGTTTTAAGCTTTTCAGAGCCTCCATGCCTTTGACTCTTTTTTCCTCGAGCTTTTGGCTTGCACTGGAAAGCAGAGGCTTCTCGCTTGGGGGGAAAAAGCGAGCTGCGAACAGCTCGGATCTGTCTAGCTGCATGTTTTCCTGGAGAGCCTGCAGCGCCTGGGAAGTCATGCCGAGTATGTCGCCCCCGTTCTTGTTCAGGTATTCGTATTTCTCTGGGTTTCTGGCAATTTCCTCCAAGGCCTTTTTCCTCTTGGTAATGCCCGGCCCCAGATTGGACAAAAACGAGAAGAAGTCCCCGGGCTCTGAAGAGGCAAAGGCCTCGGAAATGCGCGCGCCAATGGGGATTTCGTGTTTAGAGAGATCGCTATGCATTGATGCGACTGCATACTTTACTCCGGGCCTTTTCGAGGCGCTTCTAGCCGCGATGCAGGACTTGACCGAATTTTTCAAGAACTCTATGCTACTATAGAGCATGCCAGAGTGTATGCTCGCACTCTTTGATCTGCTGTTTGCCAAACTGCAAGAAGCTGCCGAGGGATTTGCGCTTCTGCGAGGCCTCTGGGCTTTTTCTACTCTCTGGAGAGCTCTTGGAGCTGGCTTGGGGGCTTTTGAGGGGCACTCTGGCACTTGCCTGCAGATGGGGGAGTTTCTGCCTGGTATATACCCGCTTTTTCTTCTGCCTGGCTCTCGATACGCGCTTTTCGGCAGAGTGCGGGGCTTGTCTGGGGCTCCCTCTATGCTATTCTCCTTTCTACTGGTAGAAGAGCACAGTGAATAGCCACAATAGGCCAAGGCAAGTAAAACTATGCTGGAAACAGCCCTCCACTTTACTTGTCTCTTTTTGCACTTCTCTGGACTTATCCTCATGCACTCTCCACAATACACTTTTAAATATTTGTTCTATCTGCCAGATCACTTTGATGCTGCCCACTATACAGAACTATCCAACTCTTTTGGCATTTGGGTTATACGTGCGCCAAAGTAAAGCGTAGGAACAGGGAAAACACACGCCCGCCAGCGCCAGGGACTTTTATGGGGATATGCCTTGCGATAGCTGCTATTTATGAGCCAGAGTATGCGCAAGCTCATTCACCGGCAGTGACTTTAATATCTCGCTATTATCTTGCACTTTGCTGCTCTGCTTTCCCGTGCACGCCCAACTCCTGCATTCCATGCGAGCAGATATTCAGCTTCTTTTGGGCCTTTTCTTCTGCACGCACAAAAAGAGCCAGAAATGAGTGCCCCTTTTTCTTCCGGGGGCTTGTCTTGCTGCCCCGTTGGCCACAGATACTGCATTTCTGCTTTTTCTTCCCCGGCCAGCTAAGCGCTTAAATTAAAGTGGCGTTGGGCCGGCTTTTCTATACGTCTAAATGCAAACGTTAGTTGCTCACTCCGCCCAGACTGCCTGTCTGCTTTGCCCGAGCAGGTTTTGTGCTCTCTCAATATGGGGCTATTTCGCCTCGTGTTTGTTAAGGGGAAGCTCTGGGCCTCAGAGAAAAAAAGCAGATGTCCAACCGAATAAGTCTCTCCTATGCAAATAAGAAATGCCAGCGCATTATGATCTTCACTCTCTTGAACAACTAGCAATAACCGTGGCCCCGTGCATATTGGGCTGCTCACCGGTAGATCAGCTCTCCTTCAGGCATCTTTCTGGCTCAATTCTTGGCGTGTGCCGGTTGCAGCTTGATTTCTAGCCCAGGCATTACGCCTGCAAGCTCTTCAACCATCAAAAACCAGCAACTCAGTCCGCCGAGCTATTTATGTCCTACTACTCACTTTGACATAGCAAGTGTCCAAACATAAATAAAATCCAAAGACTAAAAAACTGTACATTTTTTCGTTCAAGATACACTTTCTCTGGGAAAAGAAAAAACTCGCAGTTTCCAGCTTGCCGGATGTATAGCCCGAAACAACCGAAAAGAGAACAGCACTGCGCCCACACCTAGACACAGCATAAATGCCGTGCGAAAGGCCGTGCTTGCGCACTTGAATATCCTGAAAACATGTGCATATCTTGATTCTTGTTTATTCGTGCTTGATGCCACAATAAGGTCGCTTAAACCTGTTTGTTCCGCGGCCCACGGCAAGAAAGCAAAGCAGCAGAAAGACCGAGCCTTTCTTTGCGCCCATAGACGGCCGGGATAAAAGCTGCTGCCAGCCTAAGCAGCCAATGCATATGCCACAGCCCCAAGGGCCCCAATGACTACTACCCCAAGCACTATTAAACCAACTTTGAACAAACCAGAGCTCGGCGCATGATCCAAGTCTTTTGAGGGGCTATCTCTGCCCGTGGAGTTACTGCAGCAGCTTTCCTGCGTCCCCAATAAGACAACCGTGCACGTGTCCCTGTTTTTTTCGTAGAAAGCGCCAGCCTCCAGCGCATCAGAAACGTCTGTAGCCTGCCCAAGCCGTGCCGAAAGAGCCTGCAGAGAGTACGCACAGTTTGTGCACTTTTGCAGCGCCGCCTTGTTTACAAAGCTGTTCTTCGCCGTGGAAATGCACTTTTTGGCGCGTCTGAACGTTTCGGGGTTTCTAAACCCGGCCTGAGAGAGCCGCAGGAAAATGTAGTAAAGAATGTCAATAAACATTTTGTCTTTTCCTGCGCGCACAGGGGACACCAAGGGGTATAGAAGAAGGTTGTTTATCGAGGACTGGGACATGTTTAAGTATGAAGTGTAGTACGCAAAAGCGCTTATGTTTTCCACTTCTCTTTGCAAGAAGTCTGCATTTTCGGGGAAAAATGCGCCTTTAACAAGCGCCAGAGTTTTGTAGACTGGCTGGCTGTTCAGCAGAAAAGAGGCCCGTTTCTCCACGCTTTTCGGAAAAAGCAGCTCCCCCGGCATCTCCTTCAGCTTTTTCTGGATGTCCATGAACAGGCTGTCCAGTGCACGGTACGCCGTGCAGGAAGACTCGTCCATGTAGTGCCCTATGACTTGGGTGCTATCCCCGGGAAAGCTGTTCCCTGCAGGCTTTCTTGGCAGCAGGGAAAACTTCGGCTCAGGAGTGGCAGGCAGCCCCAGAACAGAAAGACAGCTTCTGCACGCCCGGAACCATACCAGGCCGGTCATGCTGTTAAAGGCTTTTATGTTGCTGCTGTGCACCTTCCCCCACTCTTTCCCATGGACCTGGCGCATGGTGTGCCCGACTGCAGACTCTATCCGCTCCAAAAGGGCTTTGAGATTGTCCGTGGGGAATTTGGACAAATTCCTGCCTTTTTTCGCCTCGAGTGTGTAGGCCATTCGGCACCTCTGCTCTATTCCCAAAATTTTCTGGTATTGTTTTTCTATTTCCACGCACTCACTGTGTATTCTCTCCAGCAGGAGGGGCATTTCTTTCAGCAGGAGCTCTTCCATCTCCGCCTCCATCTCGGCACGAGACGGCTCTGGGCGAGCCTTCTTTTTCTGGCGCAGCATGCCGTCTTCTTTAGGGGCCGCTGCAGAAGCCCTTTTCTGTGCGTCCATGAAGGCCCATTTTGCGTCGCTGGCGTTGTACTCGGTGCTGTACTGCCTGTAGTATATGTCTGGCTGATACTTTTCTGCCAAGTTCATCTTGCAGTGAACCAGCCTATTTTGCGCACTCTCCAGCTGCTCATACGCAAAAGCCAGCTCATCAAAAGCGGCAGGGTCGTAGAGCGCCAGAAAAAGTCCCCCAATGCACTGTATTTCCTTGTACAGCGCAGCCTTGCAGAGGCTTTTGATGTGCTCTTGCTTCTCCGGGGGCAGAAGGTCGTCTTCCTCCAAGTGCACGCTATCCCAGATCATAGAGAAGAGAAGCATGTGAAAGGCGTCACGGTTAACGGAGAAGAGAACCACCAGCGGATAGTTTTCCTGCAGGTCCGCTCGAAGCCTGGTTGAGCCAATTTCGAAAAAGTTCGACTGCTCAAAAGCAAGGCTCAGCCTCTTGTACGCAGAAGCTCTTTCCTCCTTTTCAGCACTTTTCATATCTGTGTTTTTTCTCATGCTCTATAAAAAATTCTGGGCATTTGTCCTGCCAGCCTTAGAAGAACACCCGCAAAAGCTGCGCCTGCGACTCGTAGAAACTATCCTTCGGAGAGGGCCGCATGGCCTTATGCAGGGCGCTGGGCCGCATGCTTGCTTTTCTCGAAAGGGCACGCCCCCACAGCGCATCCTGAGCTTCGCATTTTTATGCCGCAGAGAGTAGCCTCTTAAATTACGGCGCAAAAACAACAGGAGGCAGCAGCCTTGCCATAAGATGCGCCTTCCCGCGTGCTTTGGCTTTCTGCAGGCTTAGGAGCATGTATACGCCCATTTTCGGTTTTGGGAAAAAACAGGTTTTCCTGATTTCTCCTGCAGGCAGACAGTTTCACGCTGTGGGATTGCAGGGACCGGGTGCTGCCACAGTGCTGCATGCACACATCCAAAGCGAAGAGCAGGCGCCAGCCCGAATTTTCACCTCCACAGGAAAAGGGGTCGGCCCACTAGAAGGGCATGCACATAGTAGGCTCACAGCACCATTTTATATGAAGCATCACGCCGTGAAGATGCCCAACCGCAAAAGAAGCTGCTTGCAAGGCAATAATAAATTCTGTAAAAATTTTATGCACATGGACGTGCGTCTGCAATTGCAAATAAAACGGGATCCTGCAAGTTACACGACCCTGTACAAAAACGAAGTGGAAAAACTTCGGGGAATGATAAAAATATCAAAGCTAGACCCAGAGGCCAAAAACTCAGAGCTTTCCTCGCTTCTTACATTTCTCCCGCACATTGCAAAGCACTACGACGAGGACATTGCCGGGGATATTTTCAACTACGCCCTGGACTACTACAGCCTGCTAGAAAAAAGTCTCTCCCAGGCGGTTATAACGGGGGTGATTGCCCTCAAGAAAACGAAGCAAATAGGGCCCGAGATCTTCTACAAGCAGGCCATTGCCCTGATTGAGGAGATGGACAAAAGGACGAAAACTGTGTTTATACAGTTTCTAATTGCGGAAATTATACGAGACAAGGACCACAAAGAGCTGGTGCAGAAAATACTCGTTGACTCGATCCACTCCGGCGTGGAGTCGCATGCGAAAAGAGCCGCGTACATATACATGCACCTGATCAGCAGAAGCATCTGGACGGACAGGGCCTCGTCGGAAATGGTCTTTGAAATGATGTTTAAGGCGCCTCCGGTCGTTGTGAACTTCATATTCATGTATCTTCTCGACCGGGTGAAGCTTGCCGTGACAGAGGAGGAAATAGAGATGCCCAGCAAGAAGACGCAGGACACAAAAATCAAGAGAGAAACGAAGGGAGACAAGCGGAAGAAGGAGCGCAAAGAAAAAGTTATTTTGAAGAAGCTGGAGGAGAAAAAGGAGAAGGAGGCGCAGAAGGAGCCAAACATTGTCTCTATTCTTCGGCGGCTCGAGGGGAAGGGCCCGCAGTATGCAGCAAGGCTCTTCAAAAAAGTGAAGATGTCCGAGCACTCTGCAGACACAAAGCTGATGATGGCGCAGATAGTCTCCAGGATAATAGGGTACTACAAAGTAAACATCAAGGGATTTCTGGGGTACATGATGAGGTTCCTGTTCCCGCACCAGGAGAAGCTCCCAAGCGTATTTGCTGCAATTGCGCAGTCCATCCACGAGGAAACGGTGGACAAGGAGGTCCAGGCCATCTGCGACCTCATCGTGGAAAACTTCTGCGGAGACCACAAAGACGACGACATAATTGCGTATGGAGTGAACTCGCTACGGGCAATAATAAAGAGGCACCCTCCTGCAATGGAATATCCCTGCATAAAGCAGGTGATGGACTACAGAAAGCTGAACAAGAAGAGGGCAGTTTCTGCTGCATCCGCGCTCAAGAAGATGATAAGAGACATCCAGAGGCAGAAGGAGGCAGAGAAGGACTCCGAGAGCGAAGAGCTTGAAGAAGAAAGCGGCAGCTCCTGCGAAGACTTTGCAGGAGAAAGCGGAGAGGAGCTGGAGGAGGCATCAGAGTCCGACGGATTTGAGGAGGAGACAGACGACGACTCGAACGGGTTTGTAACGGAAGAGATGATCTCAAAGATACGCACGAAGAAGACAAAGGAGGAGAAGGTGCAGCTGGCCAAGGCCGACAAGCGGGAAAAGAAGGAGCGCGAGCACACGGGCACAAACAAGGACAAGCAGAAGTCCACGAACTACACAGTGCGAAAGACCAAGCGAGTCTCAATCCCCAAGAAAAAGACAAAAAAGCAAAAAAGGTAGACGCAAACCAGCGCATAGACTATTAATAAAAACAGCTAAAACACGCCCAGACTGCGAATGGCCCAAATTCTCCGGAGATGCAGCAACAAAAAGTTCTGTTTATTCTATTAGCTTCCTGCAGCCTTCTCTAAAAACCGGTTGGCAGGACTGCGCCCTACGCGCGGCTGTACTCTTTAATAATCTGGTTGTAATCTTCTATTGGCGTGGGGTCGAACGGGTATTTTATGCTGGCACGGCCTGTTTTTGCCTGGGCCAGAAAGTCTGCAAGGCCCAGGTCGTGGCAGCTCGTCTCTTCAATGTGTGCGAGCCCCGAGAGAAGCACCTGGCTAAAACGGTCGTCAATTCGGGAGACTCTGTCCTTTGCTGCCTCCACGTACTCCCTGGCCACGGAAAGCGCGTCTTTGGAAAGGCCCGGGGCTCGCGCTATGAAGGAGGAGATGTACACCGCCATGAGCTCTCGCCTCTGGTCCGCGGAGTGCACGTTGCTGCACAGGAAAGAGAGAAATCCTGCAGCACGGGCCTCGTCCCGCACAACCAGCGCATATACGACAAACTGTATCATGTAGGGCGAGTGCAGACCCAGGATCGAGTCCTCAAAGACCTCCATAATTGTGTAGAATAGAAGATCTTGCTCCTCTTCCGCGCTTGGGTCGTTTCTTTTTATGTACTTGAGAACGCACAGAATGCCCTCTATAAACGCATCCACTTTACTGCGCAGCGAGTCTTTTATGAGGTACTCCGCATCCTCTGGGGCTGGAAGGCCAGAGATATTTCCCCGTATGGCGTTTTCCATATACGACACGTACTCGCTGTACTCCTCCTCCAGAAGTGTTTTCGACATTATATCTAGCGCTGTGTCTAGATTTGCTAGGTGCAGAAGGACCTTTCGCAGCACTATTCTATCTTCTATTTTGTTGTTTGTGAAAGCTATTCTGCCTAAACGCACAGAAGACGGTTTCAAAGTTTGTTTCATAAAATTTAAAATATTTAAAATATTTGAACTTCATATACCTATACATGGCAGATATAAAGAAACAGAGAAAGAATCAGATATATTGGCACAAGAAAGACATAAAGATAGAGTTTGATACGTTCAGCAGCGAGGAAAGTGCAGAGCCCATATCCACAAACAACATATACGCCCCGGGCCCAAAGGCAGAGCCTCCTTTTGAGGTGGAAATACTTGCCAGTAGATTTCTGTACAAAAATGGAAAAGAGGCATCGCTGTACATTATTCGGATAGCCTCTCTCGTGCACTCCTGGATGCTGATAAAGTCCATCGCTGAAATAGTAGACTTAATCAACCTAATAAAAGACAGAACAACCATTCTCAATAAGCTGAGCATGAAAAGATTCAAGTGCATCTCTGTGGAAAACTATAAGGAGAGGTACTCGATGATACAGCTTATTTTGAGCACGCTCCTCAACAACCCAGACTACTACAAGTACATACAGCAGTTCATTCTGACAAACACAATATCCGACTCTGTGGACATACACCGGGTCGAAGAGGCCTTGGAGAACGAGGAAAAAGACGGGGTCTTCCTCGTTGAGTACAAAGGGTGGATGCTCGGGTGGAAAGTCCACTACATACAGCTCCTGAACAACGTGATTGTGAGCACGTCTGTGCACTCCGGGAAGGTGAAAAGCCTCATAAACATACGGGACATAAAAATCATCAACCGAATCGTGAAAATACAGGGCGAAGGCGTAAGCAAAGAGCTTGTGGCGCACGACAAAATGACTGTAGAAATAGTGAAAAAGTGGATGTATTCAGCAAGTGCATATTAGAGCCCCCGCCTTCTGAATAAAGACCACACTTTAGTCATCTGCGCTTGGCACGCGGCGAGTGCTGCACTGCCGCTCCATTAAGTAAATGCATAGGACTCTGCAGGGTTAAACTTACTTTATTTCCTTTATCTTGCTGTACAGGAACGTACAGAACCGCTGCAGCTTTGTTATTTCTGTGTTTATTTCAGAGTTTGTCATTACAGTGTGGTCTGTCTGCGCAGTTTTTATGCCCAGCTGGTACCCGCGTATGGCCTGTATCTCTATCAGAAAGTTGTTCAGGCAGTTTGTGAGCGTGCTATTTACAGTCAAGTACTTCCGCCCTATCTCCTTGTCGCACACGCACTTTACAACAGAGTACGAGCACACCGTCGGAACGGCAGACTTATCCGCCTCTGAGACACTCGTGACTTCGCTCCCCACAACGGCGTTTGGAGCATCTGTAAAAAGCAGGCTGTCTTCGATCCTTTCCAGCAAAAAGAAAGAATCTGTCAAGATGGTATTGCAGGAGACGCATTGGAAAGTAATTGGGTTCTTCAAGTCCTCCATAAAAATAAAAAAATATTGCGATTTATGCTTTCCCAGCCTTATTCTATTCGCGCGCGCAGGCTTTTCCATAAATAATTTGCGTTTTCGCTTTTTTCTCTCCAAAAACTGTACACAGACGGGCTTAAAGCGATGCGTTTTTTTATTTTTATGCAAGACACAAAGAGCAAAATAGAATTCTGGAACTCTGTGCTGGAGGGCGAAGAGATGCAGGAAGGCCTCGAAGACGATCTTTTGCGGGATATCCAATTTGTGCACGAAAACATGCAGGAAGAGCATGCTTTGGAGTTGCTCGATATTTTGGTGCACTCTCTCCCCCTCGTGGAGTTTCCGTGCGTGGCTCTGGACTCGATTCTTTCCATGGTTGAAGCTGGCGGGAGAGTGGCCGTGCACGCCTTCAAGGGGCTTATGCTCCTGTACACGGAGCACAGTGCGAGCGTGCAGGACATATACGGGCTTTTGCACGCGCTTCTCACGGAAGAGCTCTTCTTGGAGGAGTGCGACTTGCTGCTGATTCTCGTGAACGACCTTCTGTACAGCAGCAGCATCTCCATGCAGACGATTCGGAGGTTTTCAAAGCGCCTCGCAAGAATTGCCATCCGGACGGACGTGTTCACCGCCGGAAAAATACTGAACGTTCTCTCCGTTATGCTGAACAAGCACAAAGACGCAAACAGAAAGGAGGAGGTGCGCCCAAAAATTCCTGTCATTTCCCTTCTTCTTCCGGGAAAGGAGAACGCCGCCCCGGAGAAGGCTGCGCAGGAGAGCGAAGACATGTACCTGCACGAGCTGGACGCCCTGAAGGACCACCCCATTCTGAACATCTATGCCCGCGAGGTGAAGCAGAACCGCGTGGTGGACATTCAGGAGTCCGACCTACAGCGGGCTCTGCTGGAGCTGCTAAACTAGGCGCAAAAGAAAGAAAGACCCGCAGGCGAATCCAGGCGTAATAAAGGCAGAAGGTTTTATAAAATAGAAGAAGTGCGCAGGCCAGCAGCGCACCCGGGCAGGAATGGGCACTTCCACGAATAAACAAACAAAGCAAAACACATGCCAGTTCAGTGCGAGCACCTGCAAAAGCACGCGAAGGGCCCTCTACTTCAGTGCAAACACTTCGTCCAGCAGAGAGATGCTCCACGGGTCGTCTTTTTTTCTGTATCTTCTTCTCTTTAGCTTTTCTAGGACGTGGCGCACCTCCGCTGCCTGGTGGGCGTGCCTTTCCAGGTACTCCTCGAGCACGCGGATGCCCTCCTGCGTGTCCTCATCCGGGACTGTGGGCTTGCTCACGAAAGCGCTCACCATTCCGTGCAGCTCGCTCGTGTACTCGGAGTTCATGAGAATCTGGATGTACCGCAGGAGAAACTGCGGGACTGCGCCCGCGCTGTTATACACGGTCAGAACGCTTTCCGCGTCGAAGTACCTGCTTGCAATGCGCAAGGCAGCGTCACTTCCCAAAATGTGCTTCAGCAGGGAGTTCACGTCGAAAGCCCCGCACCGAACGAGGGAAACGCCCAAATACGCGAGGCTGGGGAGAATGTGCTGGTCGCTCCACAGGCTGGGGTTGTTCAGTATGCTCGCGGAGAGGTTTATGCAGTACTCCCTGCGCGCGGAGAGGTTGATCAGGCTGAGAAGCTGCACTGCGTATGTGTAGTACTCGTACGTATTGCTGCCTATGCAGTCCACAATCAGCTTTTCTGCTGCCTCCACGCCCCCGTACAGGGCATCCAGCGACATAATATCCCACAGGGTCTTCGCCATTTTTGTGTTTCCCAGCGTCTCCACGTGCTTTGTGAGCATTTCGCTTGCCGTGGAGGAGAAGGCCGCACTTCGGGCGTGCGCCATCCGCAGGAGGTGGAATATTCCCTTTCCTATGTACTCGTTTGGGCTCTCCTGGAAGACGCTCATAAGATACTTCAGCGTTCCCTCAGAGGCGCGCTCCTCTACAGAAATTCTGCTGTACGCACACAGCGCGTGCATAAGCTCCGAGCTCAGAAACAGGATGTACTTCGGCGCTTCGGGCGTGCACTGCGCAATGAGGGCGCGCAGAATAGCGGGGGCAGCGGCAAGAATTTCGCTCGAGTGGACGTTCATGTCGAGGCAGGTGATCAGGAGCGCGCAGGAAAGACTTATCTTAATAGAGTCTTCCCCCGAGTGCACGGCGCCTATCGCATATCTGACCCACTCCATGCACAGATCGCCCTGTATCCGGTGCTTGTTCCTAATAAGGTGCAGCACGAGGAAGAGCACGTTATTGTGTGCCCTGTGCGCTGAAAGTGCCGAGAACAGGGAAGGGTTTCTTTCTATAAGCTCCTTCATAATGGAGGCTGCAATGTCCCTTATTAGCGTGGGGTCTCCCTGGAGCAGCGCCTGCATGTACTCAAGGTCTCCCTCGGAGTCGTCTACCTCTATTTTGTGCAGGAGCATCTGCACGATGTTGTTGCTCAGGCCGTCCTGCGCGTGCAGGGGCACTGCCTGGCTTAGTATACAGTGGTTGCCGAGAAGCGTGCACAGATAGTGCATAAACTCCACCTGCACGCCCTCGTCAAGTTTCTCTGTCTCGCTGTAGAGCGCAGTCAAGCTGTTTATAAAGACGGAAAACTTCTCGTACGCGTCCGAGTACCGAGACACAAGAACTGCAGAGAGCTTGATGCGCAGAAGAATGATGCTTCTAACGGTGTTTTGCGGTACCTCCCCAACGGGCGCGTACAGGCCTGCCGTGTAGTGCATGATGTTTTCCTCGAAGTAGTCGGGAAGGTCGTGCGCGAGTATCGTGGAGATGATCGTGTATATGCTGAGCTGCAGGCCTGCAGAGATTTCTGTTCCTGGGCTGGATATAATATGCTGCACAAGCGCGTACAGCGTGTCCTTTGTCCGCGTGATCAGGTAGTTTATCTCTGCGTAGAGCTCGTTTGACTTTTCCTTTGCCCTGTACTTGTCGGTGTACCGGCACAGAGTTTTGAGCGCCTTGTCCGTCTGCGCTGTGGGCGCAGGCCCTTCTGAAACGCTGTCAATGGAGACTATGTGGAACACGTCGTCAATCCCCACAAGCCCGCACAGTATGCCCACCGACTCGTACATAAGGTTGTCCACCCTCGAGGGAGAAGGCGATATTTCCGCATACAAAGTGGCCAGAATGCTCGGGTAGTTGTTCGAAGACGCAGCGCGAGCTGAAATTGAAAGAGAGTGTTTTAAAAAGAGCGCTGCCATTTCCCTTATTTTCAAGTCGTTGGACTTCAGCAGGTGCAAAAAAGCATCAACTTCTTCCACACTCCCGTCTAGCTTCTGCGCCAGTAACTCAGCTGTTTTTTTCTTAAGCGGATCAATATACGCTAAAATGAGTTCTTGGGCTTCCCTTTCCTTCATGACATAAAAAAAATCTTGCATTTTATACTCGAGCCTGCACGAGACACTGCCCGCACAAAAACAGCGGAGTTCAACTGCCGATATTTGCGCACACTTTCCTGCGGAAATCTACGGTGATTCCTTTTCGTTTTAGGCCGTGCACTGCCTATGGTATATTTGCCCTTCTAAATGATTTTTTTGTTTCATGCATACTTTTGCCTGGATGGTTTCATATTGAAACATCTATATAGCAAATAGCCGCAGCAAAAACAATGAAAATAATTTTGACAATTGCATTTCTTTCAACGGCTGCAGCTGTCCGGGAGGGAATCAATCTGTCCCTGTGCTCAAGCGACAATCTGTACTGCTACGATGAAATTACACAGTCTATTGTGCAGCTGGGAGCAGACGAACTCTCAGGAAAGAAGAGTGCAATAGGCTCCGGGGAGTTTGTAAAGTCATCTTCTGGGAATATCATTGAATACGGGACAGGCACTTCCCTGCACGGGCACAGGAAGCGACTTGCGCCAGAGTGCGGGCTAGACCATTCTTCGATAAGCTGCAAAGTGCTTGGGAAAGAGTCCATTCCAGCGGGCGGGACTTTGCCTGCAGTGCGCGCGCGCCCGGCCTTGGTGCAGGTAGCAAAACCTGTTGTGGTAGCAAAACCTGTTGTGGTAGCAACTCCGCAGACTGCGGTCTTTTCCAGGCCCACAGAAGGCTATCCCATTGACGACGACTGCGAGGACAGGGCCATCGTAACCCACACGCCCACAAAAGTGTGCTACGAGAAGCCCCGCAAGGAATTCCTGACCGTGCAGTGCTGCAAGACCACGCGCATTCCCATCAAAGGCGAGAAAAGGCCTCCCATATGCACGTGCGCAGACGGAACCCCAGCTGAGCCCATTCCTTCGTCTGTATTAGCCGGCACGAGCACAGCAACAGCTCTTTCTTCTGGCGTGGCTGCAGTAGCTGTTCCTGCGTCTTCCGCAGTAGCGATAGAAAGTGGCATTCCGATAAGTACGGCCACTGCTCTGTCGGATATAGACGTTCTTCGTTCTTCGCAGATGGAAAATGCAAATGCGTTCATGCACGGGGTAGCAGCTGCGCGAACTCCTCACTCTGCCACGCTGAAGCTAAATATAAGTCCCGGCACAAGGTCCATTACAGAGAGAGACAGAAACGAGATTCTAAGGGCAGCCGAGCAAATGCAAATGTAATTTAATGCAGGGCGTGCGCCTTCTTTGCGAGTATCCGCGTCCAGTCACAGCATGCGGCTTTATACAAGTTGCTGCCTCTCTCAACGCAACGCCCTCGCCCCTGCGGGGGTTCTGCCTTGGACTGTCCAATAACAGGCTGCGCCCAAACACACTTCTGTGCCCGCTGCTGTGCGTGCAAATAGAGAATAGCGTAAGCATGCAGCACCTGCCCCTCACGCATTCATTACGCCGCACAGCAATTGAAATAAAGCCTTTTCATCTGTCACGCGAGCAGGCACGCAAAAACACGCCTTTTCTTTCCGAAGAGTGCGAAGTGCAAAGTGCCTTTTATTTTGATTTAAGCCCGGCCTGGTTCACGTTCGCCCGCTCTTAATAAGGCGCCGCCAGCGCGCTCTTTCTCGGCCATTCCGGCGCATTCCTCCGCCTGTCCATGAAGAAGCACAGCCGCTGCAGGCATTCTCCCAGCTTTAAATATTTACCATTTGCTCTCTTATTTCGCCGATCAGCTTTCTAATGCTCGAGTCCTCAGAGTATACGATTGTGCACGCGGCAACTGGCCTGGACAGGCCGCAGGCCTTCCCAAGCGCGGATATGCTCGGGAGGAAGAAGAACGTCCGGTTCTTGTTTTCGCACAGAACGACAAGTGGCTCCACAATCGCAAAGGGGAGGGCATTTCCCCCGAGAAGCACCAAGTCAGCGTCTCCCTTGTTCAGCTTCTTGATGGTTTCGTTTACCCCGATTTTCAGCGTGCGGTTCTTCTTTGCCAAACCGACAAGCTCGTAGACCTTCTTGGTCACATTTGCAGGGCACAGTGGCTTTGCCTTCGGGTGCGTCTTTTCGCTCTTTGGCTCTTTCTCCTCGGACGCCTTTGGCTCTTTTTTGGTTTTCTCCTTTTTCTGGCGCATTTTGTCGTCTACGGTTCTAGCCATGCCCGAACTAAAAAAAATTGCATAAAATATCGTTGGCCCAGGGAGTGCAGCAAAGGCCTTTCACCACGCCATCGGGTCTTTCGTCTGGAATAAAACTGCATGTGCGGCTTTGTCTGTTTCCTGCATGTTTACAATTCCCTTTCGGACGGAGCTATTTGGCATGTCTCCGCCCACGTACGAGCACTCCCCCGGGGCATAGTACCCCAGAACAGCGCCTTTCCTGTACTCTCCCACGCTGCCCTCCGCTAGCACGCTATCCACGCCCTCAGCCACGCCCAAAAGCGCATCTTTCTTCGACAAGCGCACGCCCAGCGACATAAAAAAGAAAAAGAGCACGGCCAAATACCGGAGCCCCGGAAATGCGCAAGCCCCAAACACGCGCCCTCTTAAGTGCTGGAGCACCCAAAAACTCAAATGCCCAAGTACAAATGCGTGTTTATTTTGCCTATAAATTTCCAGGCTTTCTCACCGAGGCCAGGCACGTGCATAAATCTATTTTCAATTTTCTTTCAAAGATGCAGACCCCGTTTATACAGAGAGTGGCTGCAGCCGTAGAGCAAGAGTACCCGAAAGAAAGGGCAGACTCCTCGTGGGACAACACAGGCATTCTCCTGGAGTTTGACAACACTGAAGAGTCTCTCCTCCTGTGCATCGACCTGACCGAAGAAGTCCTGAGCGAGGCCGTGTCCGAGGGCATAACCACAATCCTCGCGTACCATCCGCCCATATTCTCTGCAATAAAGAAAATAACCCGAGAAAACGTGATTCTGCACGGGTGCATAAACAGCCGAATATCCGTGTACTCCCCGCACACGGCACTAGACGGGGGAAAGAACGGGATAAACTACTGGATGGGCCAGCACATCACAGGGCTCACGCACGCGGCATCCTCCGGGTACGTGCAAATATACCGGAACGAGAGCACGATAGAAAGCATCCTAGAAGAGCTTGCAGCAAAACTCTCCCTCGACACGATCCGGTACTCTCTGGGGACTGGGCACTCGCTTGCCTCCATTCCGGAGGTAGTTGCAATAGGCGCAGGCGCAAGCAGCCGGCCCATAAAAAGGCTTGTTCCGGAGACGCGTCCAGCGCAGGCGGCAGTCCCGGGGGAAGAGGCTTCTCCCCTCCCGGAAAGCAGCAAAATTCAGCTGGCGATCACGGGGGAGGCCTCGCACCACGACCTCCTGTACTTCAAAAAGTGCGGGGTCTCGGTGCTCCTTCTAGAACACTCTCGCAGCGAGCGGGGCTTTCTCCAGGTGCTGCACTCGCACCTGCAGGCTGCCCTTCCAGGGGCACGCGTGAAACTGTCAGCGCATGACAGGGACCCCGTGTATTTCTACACAAAGAGCAAGTAAAGAAATGATTTATTGGTTATCAGCAGACCTTTCTACTAATACAGTTCCGTCGAATTGGCTTCTAAACCAGTCAATTGCCTCCTCCTTCGTAACTCTCTGTTTTTTTCCGACCTTTGCCCTGCACTTCTTCCTCTGGCTGACTCTTCTTCCAGGCTTTGCCAGGACGACGCTGAAGTCCATTCCAAAGATACCTATGTTGGTGTCGTACTTGATTCCGAGGTCGATGTGCTCCTGGATTCCGAATCCGAAGGTTCCTGTGTTGGAGAAGCACGTGTATGGAAGCTCGTACTCCCTCACACGCAGGCCGGCGATGAGCACCTCCATAGCCTTCTCTCCGCGAATGACCACATTCGTTGCGATCTTTTCGTTTCTTCGGATTCCGAACGCTCTAAGAGTGATTTTGGCCTTGCTAAATACAGGTGACTGCCCTGATAGCTGCTCCAAAACTTTGGCAGCCTTGTTCAGAGACTCGTCGTTCTTTCCTGTACAGATGTTCAGGCAGAGTTTCTCTAATTTGATTTTCTGCATTGGGTTAACTTTTCCTTCCATGTACTGGGGCGAAATGAAAAAATAAATTTAAAATTGTTCAGAAATATTTCAAGCGAACTCCAAAAGAGAAAGAGTCGGTTGGCAGACCTGCTCATTTTATTGACCTTCTTATAAGCCCTTTGTTGGTTACTTTTACAATTTTAGCCCCCTCTGAATTTATTATGTATTTTGGCGTGTCTAAAGGAAGCTCTGTTACCTGGTACGAGGCTGCCCCTGTTTTTAGAAACAGCCGCCCGTCCCTGTACTTCACGACAGTTATGCTCTCTTTTCTCATTGTCTTTGGAATTTTAATGACAATAGACATATTAAAGACCCAAATAGAAATAAAAATATAAATAAAGAAGAATTTTTTGCTTTGATGACAGAACATGCTGGAATAGAAAGTGCTCATCAGGGCCACGGGCTTGAGCAGGTTCAAAAGCACGAAATAAAGGAAATAACAGAGAGTCTAATTGGGAAAAAGGTTGCATTCTCGGGGTGGGTGCGGTCCTTCCACGAGGTTGGAAAAAAGGTGTTCTTTACCGTGTATTCTTCTGGCTATCTGGTGAAGTGCATATACTCCACCAAAGAGGAGAAGCTTCACCTGACAAGGCACACTTCTGTTGAGGTGGAGGGAGAAGTGCGAAAAAACTTCACAAAGGACGCGTTCACGTGCGAAGTGCATGTTACGGCCTGCCGCATATTCGGGGGAAAAACCGCGCCTTCTTTGGAGCTGGACAAGACGCAGACAAGCGAGTCCATTCTTCTGGACCACCAGCACATCCTGATCAGGGACCCGGAGAGGGCTGCCGTTCTGAAGGTGCGTGCTGAGATGATGCGGATATTCCGGGAGTTCTACTACAGGAACGAGTACACGGAAGTAACCCCGCCCACGCTCGTGCAGACACAGGTCGAGGGAGGAAGCACGCTTTTCCAGCTGGACTACTTTGGCGAGGAGGCGTATCTCACGCAGTCTTCGCAGCTCTACTTGGAGACAGTTGTTCCGGTCTTTGGAAAGGCGTACTGCATCGCGTCCTCCTACAGGGCGGAGAAAAGCAACACCAGAAGGCACCTGAGCGAGTACACGCACGTGGAGGCAGAGCTTGCATGGATCGACTTTGAAAAGCTGCTGTCGGAAATAGAAGACCTTGTTATCTTTGCAACGGAGGAGTTTAACAGAAAATGCATCCCCATCCTCGCACACTTCGGAGTAAAGAAGGAGCCTCTCCCCGTTCCAGCGAAGCCCTTTGTACGGCTGCAGCACAGCGACGCCATAAACGTGCTCGTACAGGCAGGCATCAAGAAGGAGGACGGAACAGACTACACGCACGCGGACGACATCCCAGACGCCCCGGAGAGATACGTCTGCGACGCTGTCGGGAAAGGAGCCCCCGTTTTTCTCACGAAGTTCCCCGTGGAGATGAAGAGCTTCTACATGGAGAGGGCAGGCGAAGGCCTTACAAACAGCTGCGACTTGCTGTACCCCGGAGTGGGCGAAATCGTTGGAGGCTCTATGAGGATCTTCAAGCACGACGAGCTCCTGGAGGGGTTCAGGCGGGAGAAGATCTCCCCGGAGCCGTACAAGTTCTACACCGACCAGGCACTCTACGGACCCTGCCCCCACGGAGGATACGGCCTGGGATTCGAGAGGATACTTATGGGGTTCATGCCAGAGCTTGTGCCGAAAGTGCGCAGTGCGTGCTTGTACCCTAGATTTAACGGAAGGTGCCGGCCTTAGGAGAGAATGCCTGGATAGAGCCAATACTCCGCGGAATGGGAGACATTTTTCGCAGAAGGGAAGTGAATAAAGAAAAATGCGGCATGAAATTCGGAAAAATTCTCTTTTCTTTTTCGCCCCAGAGCAGCCAAAAATCACGAATGTTGTTTGTTTTTCGGAGATGCCAAAACACGAAAATATTTTGCTTTGGGATCAAATTCGTCTGATCATCTGAAAATATAAAGCCCAAAAACACAAATTTGCACATGACAGATAAAGTAGCAAGCGAAGCCCCGGTTTGGGGGCGGGAGTACAGAGTGCATGCGCCCGCACGGGAAGGCAGCAATCTTTTGCCTCCCCCGCAGAACAGCATAATAGAGGGGCAGCGCTTTTCCGAGATAGAAAAGCTTATGGAAGACATAAATGCCGTTGTAGAGCATCTGAAAAACATAAAAGACGACCTCGTGATAAGCCCCCGCAGAAAGCTGTGGAAGCAGAGGGGGGAAGCAGAGAGCGTGGAAAGTGCGGAAGTCTCTGGGGAGGCGAACTTGCCGGAAACTGTGCAGAAAACGTCTGAGTGCACTGTGCTGGAGGAGGCAGCCGAAACCTCCGTGCGGGAAGTGCTCGATGCAGGAAAGGCAGTGCTGCCTGCGGTGGACTCGGTAGACATAGTAACGCTCGAAAATCTTTCCCTCGAGGCCGGAGACGCCAAATCAGCGCATCTTGAGAATGGAGAGTGCCAGAAAGAGGCTCCCACGCCTCCCGCAATAACGCAGGAGCAGCCTGCATGCCCACTCGCGCAGGAGGAAGTCTTTGAAGAGGCCCAGGACGAGCCGGAGAGGAAGATTCCACAGGCAGCAGCGAGGACAAAGCCTATTCCCAAAAAGAGACTCCGTCTTTCCGAGAGGAAGCCTCTGCCCTCTGAAGAGAGGGCTTTAGAGAGTGAGAGTGGCCAGCGCCCGAGGAAAAAAATGAGAAGTGCAGACCCCATAAACAGGCCCACATGCAAGAAAAAGGCGCAGGATTACTTTGGCATACTAGCGGAAATATGCACAGAAGAGCACCTCCAGGGCGCCATGCGAAGCCGTTTGGAGGAGGCTTTGTGCGTTTTGTTCAATTCCCCGAACTGTGACGAAATTTTAGCCCACGCCACGTCCTCGTGCAAGCTAAAGTTAAAGGAGCCGCTGGAGAAGTACACAGGCCTTCTAGAGGAAACTCAGAGGGTGCACGCCAGCACAAAGATTCTGAAATTCGAGATTTACAGGGAGCAAGTCGCCATTTCCGAGATAGACATGCACTACAAGCCTCTGGACAAAATTCTGGAGAAAATATGGCACGAGCAGAAAAGCGTAGAGCAAGCGTACTTTAAGGCCATCCAGGGAATAGCCATGCGCTTGAAAAGCGTGCTCTACTCTGAAAGCCACGAAGTGTGCACAACCCACAACAAAATTCGGATACTCAGCCTAATGACGAATATACTAAACACTGCCAAAATAGAGAATGCTATGCTGTGCAAAAGCAGAGAGGCGCTTGTGATAGAAAAGATCCGCCTGAAAAATGAGATGCATCTGAAGTCGGGAGATGCCCAGAGGAGCCCGAAAAGAAGCGAGGGTGCAAGTTCCCCGAGTGACGCGCAGGAAGTTCCTTGCACCAGCAGCCTAAAGCGTGCGCTTTCGCGTTTCTCGATGAAAGTAGCAAAAGGCGTGCAATCGGTCTTTAGGAGGCAAAGCCGCACTCGGCAGTATTTATAGCCGGGCCAAACTCTATTCGCTTAAACGCGCTGGCAATTGGGAGAAACCACTGCCAGGCAGCACGAAATAAAGACAAATTCAATTTTTGCAAGGCCTTCTTGGAGTATCCTATTATGCCCGAGAAAAAACTTTCTTCTGCTGCCCCAGCGTAAATATACATTTTGTTTGGGCTTACTATGCTGCTATTGAATAGTATCTGGATAATGCCAGAGCATGCACTGTGCGTATTATGGGCTTCTGGGTTTTGACGTAAAAATTCCATCAAATTGTTCGCACAGAAAGTTCTTATTTGGACGTATCTTTTTTGGGGCATGTACTACGTGCCCACAAAGGCAGGAATGACACGATACGCGGAGAATTTCTGGGCGATAAAAGGGCTTGCTGAGCTTATTTTTAGAATAATTCAGGATAAAACAAGCTATGCCATGGACGGAATGTGCGTATCTGAAGAGTGCCTGCACAGGGACATACTTGCACTTCTTAGCAAGCAGATGGACGACGGGAAATTCTACCTGGTCCGGGAAATAGGCGTAGAGCACTCGAGTATGAGCCCAGAGGAGGCAGAAAGAGCGTATAAACTAGCGCAGGAGATGCACTGCAAAATAAAAGAAACAATTCGGGATGCAATGCATCTCCTGGTGTCGAAGTGCATCCACCTCTCCAGAATGAGCATTTCTCTGACCTACCGGCACAATGAGAGGATAAGTAGAGAGAAAGTAGTGATCTTTGCTCTGAGGATATGGATAGTTGAGGACATACAGAGCGTGATGTACCGCATGCGCAAAACAGCGTACTGCACTCTCTGAAGGCAGGGCGTGCTATTTTCCGCTGGAAGACGCCTCCACTCGCGAGCTCCGAGAGTAAGCTATTATGTCTTGCGCCCGTTCGGCCGGAAAGTGCACGGGCATTCGGGATATTCAAGATATTCAGGCGAGAGTACGGCAAAGTGGCACACTCTATCGGGCAGGCCCATATCCCAAGCCCTTTTTGGCCTTGGCGTAGCATAGGAATGCGTCAGATTGCAGGCTCTTTCTCTCAAACACGCTTTCCCTTGGGCAGGTGCTACATTGTAAGAAACAGAGTATTTAAGCCCGCGAGAAAGCGTGCTCATGCGAATACCATATTTCTTTCTCCTGGGGCTGTGCACAGCCGAGTCCAAGCGGTACGTGGTCCTTCTCAAAGACGACCTCCCCGCACAAAGCATACAGAGCCACAGCAACTGGCTGGAAAGCGCAGGAGTCAAGCAAGGCACTGTGAAGGGCTTTGGCGTGGGCGGAATCCGGGGATACTCCGCGGACTTGGACGATGCAGCCGTGCACGCCCTCAGAAAAAGAGAAGATGTCCACGCAGTGGAGGAAAACAAAGAATACACGATCCAAATGAGCATGCAAAAAACAGAAGAAATCGGGGCCTGGGGATTTTCCAGCCTCGTCCTTGCACCAAAAAAGGCAGCACCCGTGAAGAAAAAGATCAAGCCAATGCACAATGTCATAAAGGGCCGGCGGCACTTCCGAAAGAATCCTGTGAAAAGAATTCTGCGCAGATCCAGGCCTCTTCCACATCCAATTTTCGGGCACTCTGAGAGGATAGCAATGGAGAACGTGGAGTCGCGCATCAGAGAGCTGGAGAGCGAGAAAGAGTATTTGCTTGCCTTTAAGAAGCTGCACTATCCCTTCACAAGCAGCAGCCTCTCAGCGCGTGTCTCTGTCCCGTGGGGGCTGAGCAGAATGTCGCAGGGCCGGGAAATACTCGCAGAAGACACTTTTGTGTACCCGAAAACGGCAGGAAAGGGGGTGCGCGTATACGTTCTCGACACGGGCGTGGAGGAAACCCACAGCGAGTTGCAAGGAAGGGTCGAACGGGGAATAAACGTGGTCGGCGGAAATTTGGAGACTCTGGACGATAACGGGCACGGAACGCACTGTGCTGGGATTATAGCAGGGCGCACTGTCGGAGTTGCAAAGAATGCGAGGATAGTTCCCGTTAAAATACTGAGTGAAGAGGGGAAGGGAAGCACTGAGTACGCCGTGCTTGGGCTGGTCTATGCTATGAAGATGCACCACCAAAACATCAAGACAGAGAAGCACCCGCGCGCTGTCGTGAATATGAGCCTGGGGGGCGTAAACAGCGAGGTCTTGAGGGTGATCGTGGAAAAGGCTGTTTTGGCTGGGCTTACTATCGTGGCAGCGGGTGGAAACAATGCAGAAAATGCGTGCAGTTACTCGCCTGCCTCGATATCTCAGGTCATAACCGTTGGAGCAATTGACAGAAAAGACGAAATAGCCCCATTCAGCAATACGGGGGCGTGTGTAGATGTGTATGCTCCGGGCGTGGATATAGTCAGCTCGTACTTGAACGGGACAATGAAGAGCATGTCTGGAACGTCAATGGCAGCTCCGCACGTGGCTGGTCTTGCAGCCTTGTATTTAGGAGAGGAGTATCTGCCCCCCGTGGACTTGAAAATGCTCATAAAGAACGACTCTTACAAGTCGGACCTTATCAGGATAGCATCTGCAAAAATACTCAACATGAGGCTCGAGTGATCGGGTTATTCTTAAGCACAGCGGCACCACTCACTTCGTAGAAATACACATACTTGCATTCTTATAATAAAGATCTATTTATACACCCACTGCAGCCATCATTTGGGCTAAAACGCATTGCTTGTTCAAGGGTGGTATAGAATGTGGTTGGAATTCGGGTTATCCGTGATTAGCCATTGTTTTGGCAGGAGTGGCACCCGCACAAAGTTATGCTAGAGTATATGCGCGCAGGCCAGGCGAATTTTATGAATAAAGACACTATTTCACTTAGAATCTTCACTATTGCAACGAGATGATGCCATAGTGTCATGGTGTCATGGTGTCATGGTGTCATGGTGTCATGGTATTAAGATGGTAGTATGTTAAGATAGTTAAGATGGTTAAGTTAGTCAATGGTGTCATATTATCATGTTAAGATGGTTACGTTAGTCAAAGGTATCATAGTGTCATGGTATTAAGATGCTATCATGTTAAGATGGTTAAGTTAGCCAAAGGTATCATGATAGTATGGTAGTATGTTAAGATGGTAGTATGTTAAGATAGTTAAGATGGTTAAGTTAGTTAATGGTATCATAGTGTCATAGTGTCATGCTAAGATGGTTAAGTTAGTTAATGGTATCATATTATCATGGTATCATGGTAGTATGTTAAGACACTAACAGGTTGTAATAGTGGATGTGCTAAGTGAAACTGTATTCTTTATTTGTTGGGCTAGGTCTGCTTATATAGACATTATTGGGTATATCCCCTAATGTGAATCTATGCAGCCCCTTATTTAGGCCGATCTATGCAATGCCAATTACGAGTAACTGCTTTCACACAGAACATATCATATCGAGGCGGTTAAGTTGGTCAAAGGCATAGTGCTAAGATGCCAACACAGTATAACGCTATGCCACCAAGAATGCTGCAATAATACGTCTTTATTCTTTCTCACTCCGGGGCATTTATCTTCTGCACGTCCTTCTTGTACTTTTCCTTCAAGTCTATGTACATCTGGGAAAGCTTGTCAAGCACGGCCTTGTCTCGCAGCTTTGCCTCAAGCACCTTCTTCTCAAAGACCCTCCGGATGGACTCCACCTGCTCCTTCACCTTCAAATGGATCGACTCTTTCGCCCGCTCCTTCAAAACCTCAATGACCTTCTCTATCCTTTTGTCGTACTCTTTCCGGAGCTCCCTTTCTTTTTCCTTGTACAGGACCTCCATCTCCAGAAGCCTGGCCTTGTACTTCCCCTTTATTTCCTTTATTTCTTTTTCCTTCGACTTTTTCAGCTCTTTCTCCATCGTCTCCTCTAGAGTCCCCTGCATCCCCAGGACTTTGCTCTGCATCTCCTTCAGACGGGACAGCTCCTGCTCCACGTTCTGTATCTGCTCGTCCCTGCTCTCGTACTTTACCTTGAACGGATTGAAGGCTCTTTCCTTCTTCTTCCCCCGGTCGGACACGTTGCACAGCTCTATTGAGTCGTTGAACTGCCTCTCCAGCTCCCGAACTTCGCTTTCTCTGTTAAACTCCATTGCAAAATAAATGAAAAAGTGTGTTTGTTATGAATGGCAAATGCAGCTGCGTACATTGGGCTATCCCGCAATGGAAAAATAGACAAGCAAGCAGATCTTCTGGACAGAGACCCTATAAGCATGCGCACCTACATGAGCCTAGTCGCTGAATCACACAATAAAAAAAGAGACATCATATTGGCTTTGGTTATCCCTGAAGACGACCCGAATGTACCGGCAGACGACAATATTCCGACAGAAATCGCGTCAAAAGGCATTGTTTATCTGGCTGAGTGCATAAACATGCACAGATTCTGCGTCTCCACAAGCAACCCCAACGTCATTGCCGTGTGCAAAAAGAACGTGGTTGACCCGAACATGCTGTGCCCCATAAAGACAATATACTACTACATGGCAAAGCACAGCCAAATAAGCGCTCTAATGCAGGGCCCAGGGGGGAAAGAGGGGATAAACATGCTTCGCCTGCTGGAAGACTCTCCCACAGCAGTTGGCGAGATGGTGGAGGGAAACCCCGTGATCACGTGCCACTGGATAGGCACGGAAAACGACTATTTAAGCAACAGCGTCTTTCACACGTACCTCGAGAAAAACAAGGCGCTGGAAAATGTTTTTGACGCAGAGGAGCTCTACATGCAGGAGGTGGAAAAAGAGAAAAAAGTGCTCAGAATTATTATATTTGCAGTAGCCTTTCTTCTCTGCGTCTCTTTCTCTGTTCGGGCCTTTGCCTTGGAAATGTCGTATTTCACTGCCTGCTTGTACGCGGCAGCTGCTTCTGGGTGCGGCCTTATGTGGTACATGAACGAGCGAATATAGCAGTCTCTGCTCCTAGTTGTAATAAATGCTGTTCAGAGCTTCCTCTATGTACGCTTCAATTTCCTCCCCTGGCACTACCAGGAGCCTTTTAGCGTATGCACTCTGGACGGAGGCTTCAACCTCGCACGGAATTTGCCGGAGAGTCGCCATTTGGTAGTCCAGAGACCCCCGCACGGTCGAAAAGATGCGCTTTACTCGGACGTGCTTCGAATGTATAAACGTGGAGATGGAGTCTGCGAATATAATCACCTCGTGCAAGACCTCGCGCACGCACTCGCTTTTTCGCATGTGCTTAATGTAGAAAAGAAGAGACTCCAGCCACAGCCTGTACGCTCTCCCCGGGTTCGTGTAGTAAACGGAATCTGCCTCGTTCTTTTTCTCCCACGCAGCGTCAAGAGGGCTCGGGGAGGCGTACAAAACCGGACTCCTAAGAAATGTCGCATGCCCCATTGCATTTGGCTTCTTTCTCGGGAAGTACCTTGCTTGCTCTAGGTACGCGTACTGCGAGTCTATGCTTTCGCTCTTTTCTTGCATAAATAATCGAGCATTTTCAAATTTATACCCGGAGATTCCGGATTCGCCCAAAATCCGCATAAATGAGGCCCAGGAGCAGAAAGATGGGAAAATTCTGAGCAGATGCCACTTTCCTGGCCGATCCCATCTGGGGTGCCTGTGCTGGGAATAGCCCGAATTCAGGCCAATAATATATGTACTTTGTTATTCCCCACAAAAAGTTTTATGCTCTGCAGTAAGACCGACTACAGCTCGCTTTCGACCGACAACAAGGACAAGGCGCAGAGCATATACTCGCAGGAAATAGAGGCAATGATGTACACGTGCGGAGACGTGCGATCTCCTGAAAAGGGGTCGAGCATGTACATGGAGCAAATAATATACGTGCAAATGAAGATCCTTTTGGGGAAGGCCGATGCGGTCTCCAAGATGCGGGGGAGCAAGAAAATAGCGATCGAGGACATTGTGTTTATCATGCGCTACAACCCGCACAGGGTGAAAAAGCTCTCAAACTACATCACCTTCAAAGACGTCCGAAACAAAGTGAATCGCGACGTAATTTCTCTGCGGAGTACGGCAGAGGCCCGGCTGAAGTACTGCTGGCTCCCCAAGAACGTATACGACAAGCCGGAGGATACGCAGGGCCGGCTGTACATGATTGATCGAATGACTGAGGGGATGACAAAAGAGGAGTATCTGGACTTCACAGAGTGCAGGCAGGCCTCTTTTACCTTCAGGAAGGGAAAGCGCTTTAAGGAGTTTCTTAACACAGAGTGCAAAATGAAGGACGATCTCCTGGACGTTCTCGGGTTTTTGGCGTGCGAAATTGTTTTCGACATCATTAGCATGGCCAGCAAAATAAGCGCAAGCAAGTCCAAGGCAGCAAAAGTGGGCCCGGACGTGCGGGGAATGTTCAAAATGCGCACGCGAAAAGTCCCAATTACAGTGTCTGATATAGACGAAGCCTGCAGAAGGCTGAAGCTAAGAGGGGCCATATACTAGGACAAGCAGGCTTTGTATGCGCCCTGTCTCTCCATATAACGTGCTGTGATGCACAGCGCCTCATATCCGCCCGAATGCGCTGAAAGACGCTCTTTTGGCGACCTCTACAAGGCATGCCTGCGTAGAATAATAAAATGCACTGTAGCCAACGCTGGGAAAGAATGCTCATTTACTGTATGTTTCGCCCTGCACGCCTGCATTCTGCCTCTCCCGTGGGATTTCTTGGGTGGGCTGTGCGGGAGCTTTTGTCGGGTCCTGCCGGATACTCTGGCATCCCGGGCATGTCTTGCTCCTTTCGCCCGAACTTTGGCTTTGGACTTCCCCGGGGAAAAGAAAAAGCGTATCACTTTAAATATTTGTGGACGGAATAGAAATGCGGAGTAACGCCAAGCAAGAGGGCCAAAGAGACCCCTGGAAAAAAGAGAGAAGAAAGAGAAAGGGAGAGAGAACGGAGAAATGGGTTAAGTTCACGGGGCACACAATCAGTCCGAGAGGATATCTGAAAGTGCACAAAATCTGTCAAAAATGCATTTTTCTGGGCATCAGCTTTCTCGGAGTGATTTTATATATCCAAAATTCTGTTGCGATAGAAAATGGGAAAAAGAAGTGCGCGAGTAGCACTCGCATTTATTCTGTGTACTAGCAAGGTATGGGCGACTGATAGCATGCAAACCCCAGAAATCACGGGCATATCCCTCAATGGGACTGATTTTGCTTTAAGAGCCTGCCCCCGCGTCCATATAAGCCAGAATTCACAGTTTCTGCTGCTGGAAAAGGAGAAAAATCTTGACAATGAAAATGCAGAGAGAGAGGCGCAAGAGAAAAGCACGGACGAGATGCACGAACTGGGCGAACTAAATGAGATTCTGGCAGAGATTTTTGAGTGCAAGGAAGAGGATATTCTCTCGGAGCTTGGCGAGATGGAGAGGGAGGTCCTGAAAAGTGCGCGATGCGACTTTAAAGGGGCACTAAAACGCAGTGCAGACCCCCTGTGCATGTGGAGCCCAAAAGTCAAAGTGTCCTGCGTTGATGCAGCACAAGAGTCTGACACTTCCGTGGAAAGTGTCTCTTCAACGAGCGAAGAAAAGCCCGAAAAAATCGAAAAAGTGCACGGCCCAATACCTGCACCCAGCATGGAAAGTGCCTCTTCAACGGGCGAAGAATTCATGGCCCTCCCAGAGAGTGCTAGCCTGTATATATGGGCAGAGGGAAGGACAGTTGACGAAAACCTGCCGGCTTTCTACGATATACCAGTCCCAGCGTGGAGGCAAAAAGCCCGAAAAATAGATCTGGAGTCCAGGATACAGCGCTACACGGAAAGAATTAAAAAGTACATACGCAACTTCCCCAGCGGAAGCAGCATATGGGAACTTATTTCCAGATGCCCGCTCTATGGGAGCAGCGTGCAAGCCAGCATCAGCTCTCTGGAGCGCGCGTGCAATTCCTCCGTAATGCGTGAAAAGGGCCTTTTAGGGTACTACGAGCAGTTTTTCAGCGACTTCATGGAGTACTTGGGCGAGCACCTGAGAGAGGACACGCCCAGCGAGCACCAGAAACAGTTGGGCGAAGGCGTTAAAACACTCGCAGACATGTTTGCCCGAAATGTGATGCTTAGGGAGGAGGTGGACCCTGCAGAAAACAGCGAACATACAGAGACGCACGCCCAGACGCATTCCAAGGCCCTGCAGGAGAAAGACGGGTTCCTGTCGGTTCTTCACATCCCAGAGGTACTCAGCGACTTTTCCAACGTCGACAAGGAAACATTCTTTCTGGCTATGCGGGACATTACAAAGAGGATAAAAAGATGCAAAGGCGGAGAACCAAAAAGGCCAGGCCCTACGCCCATATTGGGATACGTCAAGAGAAAAAAAGAGAACTCTGTGGGCGAAAGTGAAACCTTCTTTACAGTTACAACGAAATCCGACAGAGTGAGGTGGCTAAACATACTCTGGTACATATACTACGAAGCGAACAACAACATAAAACGAGAAGACGCCCATTTGAAGAACAGGCAAGTGGCGATCGACTGGGGCTGTAGAATGGTGCAGGAGGCCAAGAGGGAAAGCAGCAACTACCTTCTTGAAATGTACCTGGAAGCCCACAGCGCAGTTTCTATGTTTTACAGAGAATGCCCGCAGACGTACGGGAAAATGTCCAAGAAAAACACGATAGTAGAGTGCAGATTTCTGGGAAAAAACACCGTTACATTACAGAAATACGCTTTCTGCAGAACGAGCTTTCTCTTAAATGCCACTTCCCGAAAGGCAAGTTTAACTTCAGCGAAGTACAATAGGTGCGAGGAGTTCCGGGGAGTCTCTATTCCGAAAGCGCACTACCACGTGCACTTTGTCAGCAACCACACGCAAGAGTACAGGAGACTTTGCCTTCCCATCTACTGTATTGGAAAAGAGATGGTCTATATACACACACTTCTTGACATCCAGAAGCACATAGAGAGCGTCTTCAGGATAAAGAACGAGCCTGTTTATACGCTCCTGTACAGCCACCAGCTGAAACAGTGGAGCATGGCGGATGCCACCCACATGAAAAGAACCATAATGAGCGTGGGACTTCTTGGGTACACAGCCGTCTTCTACCACCTTAAGAAGCCTATAGAGAGAGAAGCCCACACTTTTGCCGTCTTTGAAGACCCTGCAGAAAAGTGCTCTGGGGGCGCGCCGAAGGTCCGAATTCCGCTTTTCCTGTCGCCCTTGATGCGGAGCATTCTCTTGCTGAGCCCGTACGCGGAGAAAGACTCGATAGAGCACACTATCGTGAGGGAGAAGGCGCTGAAAAGGGGGCTCTTCCCAAACGCATATTCTTACAGGAGCAGGCCTGCCCCTGAGAAAGCGCCAGCGCAGGAAAGCAGCGAATTCCACGAGTGCTTTGCATCTATGCACATTAACAGCCCAGAAACTGCCCCAATGTGCTGGGAAATGTGCGCAAAAGTGACTTCCATGGCGCACAGAAAGAAAAAGATTGTGTGGTACACAAAAGTATCCAGCGAAAGGGAGGAGTACACACACTATTTCCTGAATCCCCTGAAGAGTATAAGCCATGCGTACAGGCACAAGGTAACGACGCACTTGGTAGAAGCAGTTGAAAAGCACAATTTGGCAGCCGGACAGTTTAAAACAACGGGAATTTCATTCGGAGAAGCTGCAGAGACAAACGGGGGAGGCATATCCCTGCAAAAACGCCAATTTAATCCTGACCAAAAAATCAGCCAAAACCAGTTGTACCACGGCCTGTACACTATCACAGCTCGATCTCAAAGAAAAACCAGACTCGGGCCGAGGATATGCAACCATCTTTTTTCGCTTCTTTCCAGAGGGAGACAGCGGGACAACTAAGCCCGAGAAAAATCGGATGAAAAATAAACTTTTTTAGACGCTTTTATTTCTCTTTCAGAAAAGTCTGTGGCCTGCTCGCCCGTTCTTCTGTTTGGGCTCTATATAGGGGCAGTTATTTGCTCTTGCTTTAAATGGATTAAAGCGTATGTGAGGCTTCCTAATAGGCCTAGTTGGGCTTTCTGCGCGCGAGGCGATGCCTGCATAATCATATACCTAATGTGCAAATCAGAATTTAATGATATGGACCGCAGGGACTTGTTTTGGCGCGGTGATAATACATTCTTAATGGAAAAGAACCTTTTGCAACTTTCATTCGAAATATTATTCGGGCTCTGGCTGGGATTAGTTTTATGTTTGCCCTTGAAGATGGTAAATATAACATGCGCACTGTTTCCGCACATGTCCTGCGAGATGACTTGGGATATTCCAACTTCGGGATACTTAATGTTTCGGGTTTGCCCTCTCTCAATGATCATGGCTGTGCATTCGACTGTGTCTTTGCTCTTCGGGTTATTCGCGTCGATATTGATTGAAATCCCCGCAACATTTGTGTCCTTATTTTCTAATTTCGGGCAGCTGTGGAAACCCGGCATTTCCAAGTAGCAGAATGACCTTGACCCGTTTCCCTTCTGAGTGAAATCAAGCACGCGCGGGGCTAGATTGTTCATCGTCTTTAGGCAACGTACAGGGTCCATTTCGTCGATTTCTATGTCCTCATTGTTGGTGTACGTGTACGCCGAGAGAGAAATGGACATGACCATCAAGTCGTTGAGGAACAGAGGAAGAGAATACGCGTCTGATCCCATTTTCCCTTCCTCGGAGTCTTTTGGCTGCTGGAAAATGAACGGGAAAAGTTTCACATCCGCATCCGGGGAGGATGCTTCCTTTATGTAGTAGAAGACCGTGGGGGCGGTGCTGCTTGCAACATTTATGTGGCCAATTTGAGGGTCTATGTATGTGCAAGAATGGGTTTTTCTGCAGATTTCTATTGCATGGATGTTTTTCTCCGGCTTTCCGTACATGCATGAAATATAGGATACTATTGTCTCGTGTTTTATCGTGAAATGATTTTTATACAGAGGAAGAAAAATGTTCATAGCAGTTTGCTCTTCATTGTCGACATAAATTATGTTGCACCAAGACCAATTCTCCAAAGAACCAGCCGTATCTATCTTGCTAGAATTGCTTTTCAAGTAAGAACCGCTGGTTGCAGATATAGTCTCTTTTGGCGCGGAGAAGTCTTTGGGAAAAACATGCTTGATGCTTCGCTCCGACCTAACTGCCTGCTTTCCTGCAACTCGAATGCCATTCGCCCAGTACGGGCAGTCAGCATAGAACTCCCGAATAGTCCTAAGAAGAAGCGCGTAGACATCACAGGCATGGTTGTAGGTTGGGCTGTCGGCGGGGCATTCCTTTTCGAGCACGACAGGATATATTTTGGGCTTCTCCAGCAAGGTAGCTGCACTTTTCAGCTCATCCAGGGCCCTAGAGTCGACATTATCCATGGTGGGCAGGCCGGGCAGGGCTTTGGCAATATTTGCGAGCTTCGATACGATCTCAGTCAGTTCAGTGCACCTATCATTGTATTTTGTTTCGTTCTCCGGGTCATCTTTTGTGCGTCTAGAGGCTTTTTTCTTGAATACCTCCGCAATAAAGTCGTATTCAAAGACCTTGAGGTCGGCGTATATCTGCGGGTTATTGAGCAAAATAATTATTCCAGTATAAATCATGCTTTTACTCTCCTCCGATTCTATGTGAATTTCCATGCATGCATTCTCACTTGGCAGATTGCAGTTCTGCAGGACCTCCATGATTTCAAGGGCATCTCCGACCGTGACTGGTTTTGATATGGACATATTCTTATTGGGGGTTAGGCTGTTTGGGCCTGCGGTGGGCGCAACCTTTTCGATGAACTTAATAGCCTGAACAACTATTTCCTCGCTCCACCCGGGGATCGAATTCAGGAAAGAGTACTCTTCGAAAGATTTCTGTATACTCTGAAGGCGCTGCAACTTGACGCTTAGCACAGGGCCCAGCTCCAAAAGCAAGTTTAAAAAGGTCTTATCCTGCAGTCCGTCAAAAATGCGCTTAATATCCACCCAGTCGTCATAGCTTTTTGAAGGGTCATGCACGAAAGTTTTTTCAGCGTCTGTTAGCTCTTCACTCAGGGATTTTTCTTTCTCTGAATATTCTGAGCCCACCTCTTCATGGGGACCATCTTGTGTAAACTCAGTGTTATTTACGTCTTCAATGGGACTATCCAAGCTATTATCCGCGCCATTATCCGGACTATTCAATGGGCTTAAAACTTCGCTCGTTCTATCGCTGTCAACCCAAGAAGTCTGGTCATTTGGACTGTCCTGGCCATCCAAAAGACTCAAGCCATTCGCATTATGCACGCCCTTCTCCTCGCTCACATCGTTCAGCTCCTTACTCCCTGCGGGCACATCCGTACAAGGGCCACAACCCATAATCTCCGCCTGGAAACTTGCACTGTCCTCTTTCAAAGCCCCCTCCAAGGACGCCCCCAGCATCTTATTCTTGTTTTTGAACTCTATGCAGCAAAAGGAGCATGCCATTAGAAAGAAAACTCCCGTTACTCCCGACACAAAGTACAGCCGGCTCATCTTATATGAATCTACCTGCAGTCTCTCTCGCATATTAAATTTGCAAATATTTGTCTTTTATATACCCGAATGCATAAATCATTCTAAAGCCAATGCGCACCCATCATTTTGATACTTTTTATAAATTGGCCTGTCAAACTATGCCCGTCTAATTTTCTTTTTTCTTTTTTCTTTTTTCTTTTTGCAAATTTTTCAAAGAGCCCCCAAAACGCCATTGCATCTGGAAACAGGTACGTAGGAAATTATTCAATAAATTCAAATAGTTAAAAACCACGCAGCATCCCTGCATTTACGCCCGACTCTGGGAGAAGCAGAAAAATACACGCCCTCCTGCGCAAGTGCTCAGCTGCAGGGAGTCCGTCTGTAAGCGCGCGAACAAACAGCATCTTTATTTCCACGAGCCCCGTCTCCTGCTTACTCCTCCTTCGTGCTCACGGAAATCAGCTCGAAGACTTGCTCCTTCGTGATTTTAACGCTCTCGCGGGGATATGCGTACTTCATGCTGCGGGCTGCCTTCTTCCCAACCTCCCGATAATTTCTCCTGTAGTCCGTTTCAAAGACTGTCTCCTGCCCTCGGCGAATCACGCATATGTCAATGTTTGACCCGGAGTACAGGTCGTTCATGATTCCCGCTGTTATAGCCTCGCATGCGAGCTCAACTGCCTCTTCCTCGCGCATTCCCTTCCTCCAGCCGGTCTCCAGAAGGCCTATCGCAGCGTAGGACCCAGATCCCTGCGCCGTATACGGAACTGCATCCACGCTCCCGTGCGGGTGTATTCCGAAAAGGCTTGCCCCGTGCTCGTCAACACCCCCCAGGATCAAACTAGCGGAAACATTCCCGCGGTACGAAAAAAGGTGTCTCTTCAGGATATTCACGCAGTACGAGACAGGCGGCATTTTCCCGTATTTCAAGGAAAATCTGCGAATAGAGGAAGCAGCCATTTTGTTCGTGTAGTACGTATCCGCAGCAGTCCCTGCCCCACAGCACCTGATATTCTCGGAGATATAGTGTATCTTGCTGCAGTTTTTATTCGCAACTACAGGCCCACTCGTAGACCTCGTATCTGCTGCAAGAACAACGTAGTCCTCGCCCTTCACCCCGACAATCGTCGTGCCTGTTTTCACAGGAGCATACTCTGGCCCCATAGAACTCCTGATCTCTTCAAAAGACAGAGTTTCTCCTCCAAAAGTTCCTGCACTTTTTTCCCTCGAAAGTGCGTCTGCGCTCCCGTGCGCACTAGTACAGTAGGATTTCTGCATGCCTCAAATTTTAAACAAAAATGTTAATATAAATTGGCAGCATAAAATGAAAAATGAAATTTCTGAAGAAATTCTTATAGCAAATGTCTGGAGAAAAAAGAAGAGAACGGTATCGCCGTAGAAAAGGCCGCAGGCCATATGAAAGAAGGCCGTACGGACATTCGCAGGAAGAGCGATATTTTGTGCCGTACGAAAGCAACAGAAGAACTCCGTGGGAAAATACCCCGCAGAGACGCCCCCGCGAGAGAGACGCACTCGCGAGCGAGCACATCCAGAGAAGAGATGCAGCCCGGAATGGGGCGCAGATGGAGAAATGCTCGCGGGAGAAGGAAGGACCCGAGATCGCAGTCCACGCAGAAGCACCTCTTCAGCCCGCTCCAAAGAGCGAGTCCCTGGAAGAGGCCGACGTCGAGGAGTACGTGAGCATAGAGGAGATAAACGACCTGTCCGTGGACTACAGCCGAGCAAGCCTGCAAAAAGAGGAGAGGGAAAGTCCGGGGGAGAGGGAAAGAGAAAGTTCGGGGGAGGAGGAGAAATTCCCCAGCGGAGCCATCGAGAAAGAAGTTGGCCTGAGCGCGCCCCGAGAAGAAGCCGCCCCAAGCGTATATACGTACTTGATGGCGAAGTACAGGGTGGAGCAGGAGGAGACAAAAAGACTCGCGGATGAGAGGGCGGGGAGAGACTGCGCGTACACGGAGGCTCCGCTGAAGGAGGAGATAAACCGGTGGGCGAACAACAAAAAAATGAAGCTTTTGGGAAACGACAGAGAAATAATAGCAGAGTCCATCACGACAGCGCACGACAGAAGCAAAATCAACGAGGCAGCAGTTCCGGAGATGGAGAAGAGCAGGCCCGTGTGCTACGTATATAATGACGCCCTGAGAAACGTGGAGGAGAGGCACAGGAGGGGATTGGGCGTGTACCTGTACGCAGGAGACGCGGAGATGCTGAGAAAGGCATTTATGCAGACGGGGAAAAACTTCCGCATAATTCGAGAGAAGTACCTCCCGTGGCACTCGCACAAGGAAATAGTGCGGATATACTACAGGCTCAAGTACGAGCTCAGGCTGAAGGGGTGCATAGCAGTAGCTGCTGACCCCAGAAGGATGCCGGATAAGGAGGTCCTGGAGGTGGTCGCGAGAGACTGGACAGAGCAGGACAGAGAGATCTTCTGCAACCTGCACAGTGAACTCGGGAAGAAGTGGAAGGAGTATCTGAAGTACTTGAAGGGGAAGACGGAGAATGACCTCAAGATATTCTACAGGTACTACAAGAAGTACGTGGCCAGGAAGAAGGAGGAGAAGAAGGAGAAGGAGGAGAAGAAGGACGAGGGAATTGGCCAGTGGAAGGTCCATGAGAGGCAGACATTTGCGCTCCTCTTCCCGCATATAGGGAAGAATTGGGGCGTACTCGCGAACTATATTGTGACGAAGACAGCGAATGAGATAAGGAGCTACCACAGAGTGTACTACAAGAACCTGCGCGCAGGGGAGCGAGTGCTGGAGATATACTTGAAGGACATCGGAGACAGAAAGATACGCACAGATCCGCTCCCCCTGCAGGAGCTCGCAGGGCACAAGCAGAAGCACTGCAGATATGCCGGAGTGCTCTTTTCGGGGAGATGCAACGGCGCATTGTAGGCGCAGCAGAAGCAGCAGCATGCAAGCATAGAAAGTAAATAAAAAGACAGAAAATAGAATAGTACAAAGTCGGCCTGTAGTGCAGTTGGGTGCACGCATCGTTTCATTGTCGTGGGAATGCGGTCACAGAGTATGCTAATAGAGAGTAGATATAGATAGAGAATAAAGTGTGTTGATAGTTAGAGAATGAATGTTGATAGAGAATAGTTAGAGAATGTTGATAGAGAATAGATAGAGAATAAAGTATGCTAATAGAGAATAAATATAGATAGTTGATAGTTAGAGAATAAAGTATGAATATAGATAGAGTATGTTGATAGAGAATAAAGTATGCTAATAGATAATGTATGAATATAGTTAGAGAATAAAGTGTGAAGATAGCTGATAGTTAGAGATAGAGTATGTTGATAGAGAATAAAGTATGCTAATAGAGAATGTATGAAGATAGATAGAGAATGAATATAGTTAGAGAATAAAGTATGCTGATAGAGAATAATGTATGTTGATAGATAATGTATGAATATAGATGATAGTTAGAGAATGAATGAAGTATGTAAAATAGTCTGTGCTAGTACTCACTGAGTGATATATTGATATATTTTATGCAAAAATGAAATATGTTTAGAGGCAACCAGTTAGAGAGTCGAGTGAAATATGCAAAATATCCGGAGACAAATATATCCAGGAATAAAGTATGCTGCTGCCCAGAGAAAAAACAGCCTGCACCAAATGAAGTGTAATAGCCAGATATGAGAGCGAGACAAACTGTGGAAGTGCCCTGTGAGTGCCGAGAGAGTGAACTATATTGGCAGAGAGTACTCTGTACTATGCCGCCTGCAGTCTTGAGGCAGTGCTGGTGCGTGCCCTTTGCGGGATAGAAAGAAAAAAGTTACGGAAAAATTTTACATGGCAAGTAGAGTACACGCGGAGGAAATGCACGAGGCACTCCCGTCTGAAGTGGCAGAGGCGGAATACTCTGAGGCAGAAAACATGGATCCAGAAGAGGAGCAGACCTCGAAACTTTCAGCCACGGAGGCAACGTACAACGACTATCTCCTGCAGAAAATAACCGAAATGTTCAACAAAGAGGAGAAAGAGGCCTTCATGATTGCCTCCGACCAGAAAAGACCCACAACGATCCGAGTAAACACACTATTCGACAAAAGACAGGCTGTGATGCAGAAGCTTATGAATAGGGGCGTAAACATAGAAGGCCTTGAGTGGAACGACTGCACAGCAGTGGTTTACAACAGCGAAGTGCCCATTGGAGCTACGCCCGAGTACCTGGCAGGCCTGTACATTCTCCAGTCGCCGTCTTCGGCACTTCCTGTGATGGCCCTGGACCCGCAGGAAAACGAGACGATCGTGGACATGTGCGCTGCCCCCGGGGGAAAGACTACGCATATTGCAGCCCTCATGAAAAACACGGGAGTGATATATGCAAATGACTCGTGCCAGGAAAGAGCTCTTTCTCTGTGCGCAAACCTCCAGAGAATGGGCGTAACGAACACTATCGTAAGCACAATGGGGGGAAGAGGATTGCCCTTCCAAAACGTCAGCAGAGTGCTTCTTGACGCTCCCTGCTCGGGAACAGGAGTGCTCTCGAAGGACCCTGCTGCAAAGAGAAACAAGGACGAGAGAGTCATCAAACAGCTGCAGTACAAGCAGATGAACTTGATCCTGAAGGCTTTTGACATGCTCAATCCGAAGGCCCCGGAGACCTCCATTCTTGTGTACTCTACGTGCTCCATCCTCGTTGAAGAGAATGAGTGGGTGGTAAACAACCTCCTCAAAAACAGGAAAAATGCACGGGTAGTTGACGCAGGGCTTCCCATAGGAAAGGAGGGCTTTTCCTCGTACAGGGGAATGGTTTTCCACCCGTCTTTGAAAAACACGCGGAGACTCTACCCGCACATCCACAACACGGACGGATTTTTTGTCGCTAAAATCCGGAAAATAGGGTACAGCCCAGAGGAAATAGAGAGAAACCGGAAGGAAAAGGGCGAGAAAAAGGCCGAGGAGAAGAAAAACCCAAGAAAGGACAGCAGCAAGACCAAGAAGCCCCTGGGGAAGAGGCAGAAGGCCAGAAAGCCCCAGAAGAGAGAGTAGGCCCGCACTCCAGGAGAGACGTAATAGCATCGAGTGCCCCGAATTCGCCCGAGCTCCCAGCTTCTAGGAAATAAATTCGCAATAGTTGACGCATGCAAGAAAAAATGCAAAGTGTAAATGCAATGTGTAAATGCAAAGTGTAAATGGAATTGGAAAAAACTTAATGTAATTCGTATTTATTAGATCAAACAAAGAATACGTAGTAAACAGAAGCACAGATGCTTGTTATCGCCACAATGATTGAGAGCACACTTACAACAGTCTTTGTTCCTGATCCGATAGATCCGCTTTCCTTCTTTGGGGCTGCTGCTTTGGTGGTTCTTACAGCGGACCTCTTTGCTACAGGCTTCTTGGCTGCTGGCTTCTTCAGAGATTTGCAGCCCTTCGCAATCACGTCGCAGTCTCCGCTGTGCTCATCCACAATCTTGCAGAGGCACTCGCATCCGAGCAGGCACAGAATGTTCGGGCTGCCTGCATCTGGGGTTTTCATCCACAGCGAGCAGATGCTCGTCTTTTCGTCTATACATGTAGTCAGGAATACGTTCATAGAACAGCTGCACCCTAGAATCACCCGCCTGAAGGGAATCGAGAGGGAGGAAGCCCGCACAATGGACCTCTCCACCTGCTTCAGAGTTTCATGCATCAGGAAGGGAGATGTTTCCGATATGTTGTACAGGTACCCCAGAACAGTGTCGTAGTCTATGGACAGATTCTTCTTCTCGTGCAGAACTTTTATAATGTAGTAGTACAGAGAAGTCGAGAGAATCCTGTGGTCCTCCTCGTTTTGAATTGCATACAAAATACCCGGAATAATGACCTGTGACAGGTGCATGTGCGTGGTTTCTACCTCTTCGGTCCTCTTCTGGCACTCCAGAGACATGCATATGACCTGCGTGATCGAAAGAAGAGAGTGCAGGGCGCTTGCGTTCGAGAAGCTGTCCAAGAAGTCGCCATCGTTGCTGGCTTCCGTTATAATCACTCCGTTGTTTGCTGAGATTATCTTCAGGCCCTGGATCGTGCTAATTTTCTTCTCTCGGCTGAGCAGGAAGTTCTTCGGGATCAGGCCGAACTCTCCGAGGTTGAACCGCCCTTCAAATACGTTCTTGGAGGACAGGAACACATTTGGCGAGCGAATCGTGAAAAATCGCGCATTTCTGTCCTTCTTTGAGGCGTTTGTTATCTTGGAGTTTTTCGGGTTGCTCCTGAATCCTGCGTAGATCAGCTTGCTGATGCTCTCGCTGTTTCCGAGAACGCCGAGAAGACTTTGCCAAATTTCGGGGTCTCTTTTTTTGTACTTGCTTAGAAGAGTCGCGCCTATGCTGACGGTTTTAGCGCACGCAGAAAAACCGCACGAAGCAAAAGTCAGAACATTCACGCAAGAGGTGTCTTCCACGTGAATGGGAGCATCTACAATCCACTTGCTCAAGAGCGGGCTTGTTGGCGCCCTTATAGCGTAGTCAACGCGCACGGGAATTTTGTAGAGGACAGATTCTGCCTCCGGGTTTAGGAAAAGGTTCTGGTCCTTCTCTGGCACCTCCAGAGCAACATAGTCTTTCTTGATGAAAATGTGTATCTTCAGGTTCTCTGCGTCTATAGCGTCATCTGCATCTTCAAGGTCAAACACACCGCCATACAGAAGCTTCTTGGCGATTCCAGCGTAGTGTCTCTGTATGTCGTTCCACTTGATGAAGACAGTTGCTGTGCTTGCTTGGCGGCAGAACGTAATCTCCGAGATAGAAACACTGTTGGAGTCTGTCACGGGGATAAACACGGGCTGTATGTCTTTGCTGTGCACTACGCCACTGACAGGGAATGTGATAGCGAATTTCTCGTTCGTATGTGCAGAGAATGCTATAGTCTCTATGTGCTTGAAGTTTTCAACGCCCATTTCCATGGTGATGTGGTTTTTGGTCTCCTCTGTTACTTCTATGCTCATGGGGTGGAGCAGGTGGCTTGTCAGGAGGGGAACATTCTTCACGGGCTCTGTGATCTTTGAGGCGCTCTTTACAGGCGAAGAATTCGCAGCTCCTACGCCTACGCCCCCGTGCAATCCTTGAAACTTCCAGTATCGGTGCTTCTTGAGGGACTGACACATGCTTTCTGATGCAAAAAGGGCGCATGCCAGCATAAATGTACTTCCTAGTGTAAGAGAAAGACTTTTCATACGAACACAAATGGATTCAGAGTATATATACAAAATAACTGATAAAGACATATCAAAAGTAAACAAACGAGGCATTGACAGTAAACAAAAACCGACACTATATTAAAAACAAACAAATTACAAACACTCTCTGCATGATGGTAAATTGCGCCAAAACAATGCGTAATCCGCATAAACATGCCGTATTATGCACTATTACTCCACCCATCTAGTATCTGCCTGCACCAACATAGAAAACTGTTCTGGGAGTAGGAGTCCAGTAGCACCCAGTTCAGCCTTTTAAAGGGCACTATCCAGCAAATATTTCGGCAATTTAGCACTATCCAACAAATATTTCAGCAATTTAGCAGTATCCAACAAATATTTCAGCAATTTGGAGACTATTTTAGAAATATTCAGAAAATTAATTCAGTAATTCAATAACATTCAGTAATTCAATAACATTCAGTAACCCAGTAAATGATTCAGTAATCCAGTAAATAATTCAGTAACATTCAGTAACATTCAGTAATGATTCAGTGATTCAATAACATCTAGTAATATGCAGTAATATTCAGTAACCCAGTAAATAATTCAGTACTTCAGCAACTAACCCAGTAAATGATTCAGTATTTCAGTAATTCAATAATATTCAATAATTGATTCGGAAACTAGCCCAGTAAATAATTCAGTAATCCAGTAATATTCAGTAATCCAGTAACACCCAGTAACTATTTCAGTAACACCCAGTAACAATTCATTACTTCAATAATATTCATTACTTCAGTAACACCCAGTACTTCATCACTCCTGCATGCCTTCTTCTACTCCCCCAGAAATGCATCTATGTCCTCGCTGGTGCGTATGAACACGCTTTTATACTCTGGGACAATCTTATGCGAGTGCTTGGAGTTGCACCCCTTGCATACGATAATAACCTCCTCCATTCGCGTCATTCGGACAGTGCAGTTCACCACGGGAATGTTCACTCTCTTGCACTTCCGGCAAAGCATGCCGCTGTCCATTGGCGACACTTTCTCGCCTGCTCTTCTCTCGGCAGCCTCCAGGCGCGCACAAAACAGCCCCATAAGCCCATTCCTGTGGTGCCATAGCAGGAGAGAGCATAAATACGGGAGCAACATGAAAATATTTTATGTACTTGGAAAGTCTTGAAGTCGAAGGGTTTAAGAGCTACGGAGACAGAACGGTGATTGGGCCACTGGACAAGTCATTCACAGCAATAACAGGCCTCAACGGAACAGGAAAAAGCAACATCCTCGATGCAATATGTTTTGTCCTGGGCGTGGACACTCCCCGTCTCCTGAGAAGTGGCTCAATGCGGGACCTCATATTCAAGCAGAAGAAGGGAACGAGCGGAAGCGCCAAAGTGTCTTTGCTCTTCTGCAACAAGGAGAAGGACAAAGGCCCTGCAGGATATGAGGAGATCGACACGATAAAAATCACCCGAATAATCACCGAAGAAGGCCGGACAAAGTACCTCCTCAACGATCACAGTGCAAGCACGAAGACTGTCACGCGCCTTCTGCAGTGCGTAGGCCTTTCCTCCAGCAAGGGATACGCAGGGGAAAGCTCCCGTGTGGAGAAGCAGGTTCCCTACTACATCGTCATGCAGGGAAGAGTGAGCAAGATCCTTTCCATGCGCAGTTCGCAGTTCCTGAGTGTTTTGGAGGAGTGCTCTGGGACAAGCACGTACAAAACGGAAAAGTGCAAGGCCCACAGCGTCCTCGAGAAGAAGGAGAGAAAACTCCTGGAGACGAAGGAGACGCTGGGAAGAACCATATTCCCGTTTATGGAGAGACTGCGCCAGGAAAGAGACGAGTACTACCTCTTCAAGGAGACGGAGGCAAGGCGAGCATCTGCCGAGAAAGAGGCTCTGGAGTGCGCAGTCGAGATCGAGCACCGGGAGGAGGAGGCGCACGAAGAGATGAAAAAGCAGCTGCTCAGAAGAAATGCCGAAATAGAGCAGGAGATTTCCGAGATGGTCCAGAAAATGGAGGGAACTGCCCTCCTGGACGTAGACATTGCGGGGATACAGGAGGTGATCGACGCGAAGAAAAGAGAAATCTCCGGGCTCATGATAGAGGTCCAGGAGGAAGAAATCCGGCACATAGGAGAGGCCATTTCCGGCGTGGAGAGAGACGTAAAGCACGTTTTGGCCGAATACACGGACGTGGAAAGGCGCTTGCAGGTCCCCGAGGAAAAAGCGTCAGCGCAAGCATCAGCAAAAGCCTTTGTAAAAAACGGGGAGAATTTGGGCAGAGAAAAAAGTCTCCAGGAAGTTTCTGAGGAGGAGAGTTTGATTCGCGCCCGGATGGAGGAAGTGCTCGTTCTGATGGAGGCCAGGGAAAAGGCCCTTTTGGACGCAGGCAGGCATAAGAGCATTCTGGACGTGGAGCGCAGGAAGGAGGCTCTTTCTGTGCAGATTGAGGGCCTCCAGAGAAGCCTCTCCCGCACGGAAAATGCCTTGGAGGAGGCGAGGAGAAGGGGAATTTCCGAGGAGGAGGCGGCACGAAATGTGAAAATGCACGCGGACTGCAGGGGAGACACAGCAAGTGACCTCCGCAGGGAGATTGAGCGGGCAAAGCGGGAGGTGGGATATCCCGTGCAGAGTGGAGTCTTTGGGAAGGTGAAGGAGCTCGTCCGGATAAAAGCCCCGGAGGATGAAGTTCCCGTGGGGACTGTGATAGGAGCGCGCAGGGAGTACATAATCGTGCAGGATGAGAACGTTGCAAAAAAAGTCATCGAAGAACTTTCGAGGGAGGGCCGGAGAGTCGACGTAATTCCCCTCAGTAAAATTGTCTCTCGGAGAATAGACCCCAGGAAGGAGGAGGCCGCAAGAAAGCACAGAAGCATTCCCCTGATGGAGGCAGTTCAGTATCCGGCCGAAATAAAGAAGGCTGTCGAGTACCTCCTGGGAGGATTTATTCTGAGCCCAGACAGGAAGACTTCAGTGAAGCTGCGGGACGGAGAGGGAATCACAACAGTCACCCGAGAGGGAGAAATATTTGACAAAAGAGGAACAGTCACGGGGGGAAGCCCAGAGGGGGGAATAAAGTACTCCGGAGGATCGTGCGAAGCGAGAACCAGATTGTGCGACCTGCAGAGACGGGATGAAGCCCTGCGCCTGGCCCTGCGAGAGTGCCCGATTTCTCGCCTGCAGGAAAGCGAGAGGTGCGTGAAGGCGTTTGCCGAGAGGGAGGCGCTGAAGAAAGAGCTTGCAGAAGCGCAGGCAGAGCTGGCAGTCCTGGAAGAGAGCGGGACCCCGCAGGAGAGGAGAGACCTGCAGGCACTCGAGGAGATCGGGGGAATAAAGGCAAGATTCGACTCCCTCGCGAACAGCAGGAAATCCCTGCAGGAGAGGAGAGTGCAGGCGGAGAGAGCCCTGAAAGTTGCAAGGGAAAGGGAGGAGACACTTTCCGAGGAGATCAGCCGGGAGGAGACGCATAAGTTGGAGGGCATCCGGAGTAATGAAGTAAATACTGCGAGAAGGTCGATACAGATGAAGGAGAGGCGGAGCCTGCAGAGGGCGATAGATGAAATCTCCCAGGAGATGCGGAATAACGAGGTGAAGATAAAGAAGGAGAGAAAACCCGTGAAGTACGCGCAGAGGAGGAGTGCTCGCTCGGAAATTCGCAGGGCCTCGCTCGAGGAGCTGCAGGAGAGAGCCCGCGCCCTGAAGAAGGAGCTTGCAGAGATGCAGGCAATTCCCCGGAGAGACGTAAATCACGTCCACATGGAAACCCTCCAGAGAAATGACGCCGTAGAGGAGGCACTCCGTGAGAGAATACAGAAGGTGCAGAGCAATAAGGAGAGCATAGAGAAGTCCCTGGGACAGCTGAACTCAATGGAGAAGGAGACAGTCGAGGGAATATTCCGGCAGGTAAACAGCAGAATAGGAAAGTACATGCGGTACTTCATACCAGAAAGCGACGCCAGACTCGAGGCGGTTGACGGGTCCGTCATGAAGGGCGTGGAAATGCACGTGAAAATTGGCACGTGGAAAAAGGGCCTTACAGAACTCAGCGGAGGACAGCGCTCTATTTGCGCTCTCAGCCTGATTTTTGCACTTCTGCGAACAAGACCGTCTCCCCTCTACATTTTAGACGAGATAGACGCAGCTTTGGATGCTTCGCATACGGAGGCCATGGGGAGAATGGTCCAGAAGGAGTTTGGAGGGTCGCAGTTTATAGTTGTCTCGCTGAAGGACGGAATGTACCATAATGCAAACGTCTTGTTCCAGACCTTCATACGAGAGGGCACGTCCGGAGTGCGGAGGATGTAGGCTGAGCGTGCTTTTTCTGCACTCTTCCCTGCATCTTCTCGAGAATAAATTAAAAGTCTCCTGTTTTCTCATAAAAATCAGCTTTGATACGGGTTGTTTATTTCTGAAGCAGCTGCCAGAAGCAAAAGCAGGCAAACAGCAGAACGTGCTAAGACGCACTTTGTGACTGCAGGAAGAAGTGCGTCTTAGCTCCTTCTCGTGCCGTGCTATTTCTATTATACATGCGCGCGATACGGCTGCTTTCTCCTGCACCTGAATTCTCGCTTTTAGTACGGAAGCTCATACTCGTCGTACGCGCGCAGAAGCACTTCTATGTGCTCTCGGGCCTCTTCTGTGGCGGCTTCTTCCCGCAGGCAGACGCACTTTCGGAGGGTGTTGAGTATTTTCCCGTGCACAAAAGGCATTCTCTTCCATATTTCCCGGAAGCTTTCTTTTGCGCTTTCTCTGCCGTTGGGCGGTGCCTTCCGGGACTTCTCTCTCTCCCACGGGCGCATGTACGACCCGGCAGTGCGCAGTTCCTGCAGGGTTTCTGCGCTTGCCTGCGGGCCCAGGGCATTGCACATTTCGTCCGTTATCTCCACGCCCTTTTTCCGGAGAAGAGCTCCCACGTACACGATCAGATCGTACATCCCCAGGAAGGAAAACACGCTGAAAAGCCCTATCAGCAAGGCATCTGCTGCTGCATACGCCCTATTCATGTACTCTGTGATGTAGGCCTCCACTATAAACGCAATTTCCGAGAAATTCGGTGCTGCTTTGACCCCCTCCAGGGAGACGTACGCGAGCACCCACACGATCGTAACGAGCTCTTTTGTCTCAATCCCGTCCTCCTTCACCTCTCGCGTGTACTCGTTTTGGACTCCGTCGTTGTAAAGAGCTGTCCCCAGGAAGTCCGAGTAGAAATCCTTGTTTCGGGGCAGGTACCGCAGCATGTCCTTCGCGTGGTCTGTGTGCCCGTTGATGAAGTGCCGCAGTCTCTCGGAGTTCCTCTCAAAAACAAGCTGCCGAATCACCTTCTCGCGCGCAGTTGCAGCCTCCGTGCTGATCACCTCCATTAATATGTTCATCTGCTCCTTCATGGAGGGCCAGGAAAAATCCATTCTCTTCACTATTCCCTGGTAGAAGGGGAGAGACCGGCGGTTCTGCACATTCCGGTACATTTTGTTGAGAACCCCCCGCTTTTCCTTTGAGCACGTGTGTATGACTATTCTCTCCTCCTCCAAATACGCAATAACCGTCTTTTCAGGTACGTTTTTGTTGATGCTTTTAACATCCGGTCTATTCGCAACAATCCCTATAATGTACGGGATAGTCGTCTCCACGAGCTTATTGTAGGGCGCATCTGGCTCCTCCGGGGTGCTTGCCACGAGCACTCCCCTCCACTTGTACGGCAGAATGCACGCTAAAAGACTCTGCATCACATTCACTATGCAGGCATGACTCTGCGATATCATGATGATTCTGTGCTCCAGAAGAACGTGGTAGACCAGATCGTAGTAGAAAGACGGAGAATTTATCCCGGGATTTCCTACCTGCATTTCCTGCAGGAGGTAGTTACTCTCCCTGGGCGTGTGCTTTTGCTTGTCCACAACCTCCCGAAGCCCCGTTGTAACGTACGTATTGTACTTGCTGATCAAACGCACTGTCATGTCGCTCGTAATTACGTCGCTCATTGAAACAACAGACGCACTTCTCTCGATGCCATTGCATATTCTCACTCCATGCACGGCCTGTATATACCGAATCTCCCCGTTGCTGCTGATGATTTTAGTGTGAATTTCCGTTACTCTTCTCGTGTGCTCTGCTGTGATGATGCTGAGCATGTCTGGATTGTGTCCCTCCGGGTATACGCTTGTTCTTGCCTCCTGGGGACTGTCTGCGGGCGGGGCTTCGCTCCGGAAGTGAATCTGCGCCTCGCTGAAGCACGCCCTGCTGTACGACGCAGAAACAGGCCTGTATTTCAGGACGTATATACTCCCGCATATGTTTAGACCGTCTCCACGCGGTCTCGCCTCTTTCTCCAAAAAGTACTCTCTTCCTGGCCGGTACCGGTCTCTCTCTATAAGTATGACTCCTTTTTTGCTCCCTTGACTGTTTCTGTTTATTAGGTTGAATATTGGTATTCTTCCCTCTTTGTCAACGAGCAGCTCTGAGTAGAGGACTTCGTTTCCCATCTCCACTATCCTCATTCTGGTGATCGGGTGCAGGGTGCTGTACGCGCCCCCAGTTCTCTCCACAATGTAGAACTCGCTGTGCATTAAAAGAAAAATATCCGGATATTAATACCCGCACGGGAACAGGCAAAACAGCAGAAATCGGGCGAGTTATTGTGTCTCCCGGGGCAGGAACTTGCCAGGGCCTTTTCTCGCGTCTTTCTGGCCTGTGGGTTGGGCTAAATCCCGTGCGGAGGGAGAAAGCGTGGTTTTCATCGGATTTCTGTGTTTATTTCTTGTTTACTCGCGCTAGAGCAGACGCCCTGCAACTCCCCAGGAGAGAGCGCAGATGCAGACGCTCGGCTGAGGGATAGCCGTATTTCTGGATTTCTATCCTCTCGCAATGTGGGCTACTCTTTCTTGCTTTTGCTTGGTATCGCCCAAACGGGATTTCGCCTGTACATTGGCCAGGCAGGGACTACGAGGGCTATCGTTACAGCGCAAACTCCTGCGTATATGTACCCCAGCAAAAATATGTCTTTGTATATGTATCCTGCAAGAAGGGAAGATAGAACACCGAGCAAGAGAAGGGTGTGCATTACTCTGTTTGCAGTGTATTGCCCTATATAGTCGGTTGGTGGGTCTAGTTTCTCGAGTATATTCATTCCCGAGCAAATATAAAATATATTTATGCGAATAGAGGAAACCATACAGGAGGCAAACAAGATAATAGAGAGCGGACTTTCGCCGGAGCTTCTAAAACAGTGCAGTAGGCTCCTGGCGGATAGTACTGTCTCCTGCGAGGGCGTTATTTTGCTGCTTAAAGAGCTGAGGAAGGAGGTAGACGCCATAGAGCAGGCGGAGCCCCCTACAAGAATAGAGTAGAGAGGACGGGATTGGAGGAATTTGGAGGAATTTTCGCGTGCATTGCACGGGAGAGAGCACAGAAGAAGGCATTTTCTAGAAAAGCAAGATTTTGTCGCAGGGGGCTAGAACTCTTTCCCTCCTCAAACAAAAAGCATTCCTTGTACTGGGGCCTTACGCCTTTTTTGGCCCATCGAGTCTTTCTCTTTTCCTGCGCTGTTTTTGATGCGGGAGGAAAAGACAGAGAAAGTCTGCAAGTTCAGAAAATCAGAAAAATAAATGTACGTGTTTGCTTTTTTCCGAGGCTGCTGCTGCACCCGGGGAAGGGGCGGAGAAAAAATACGGCTGAAAACTTGCAGGGGACCGTGCAATGCTGATCCCTGCACGTCCCCCGCGCGATTTGTCTTGCGTCCTCTTCTTTGGCGTCTTTTATCACTTTCTTCGCTTTGATTTTCATGCCCAGATCTTTCTGGGATGCAGACAGGACGAAACACGCTGAGGATTCTCTGCTCGCAGGATATAGCATATCCCGAGTAATTCACTTTTGCCGCATTTCCGCAGGAATGGGCATTTTCAGCTGCAAAAGAGAGGCAAAAACGAGGCAGATATCCTCCACATAGAAAACACACACAGCCCTTTATTATTCACTTCAGCCCGTGTGCGACAGACTTCGCAGCATAAATTGTGCAAAGACCCAAAAAGTGCACTTACAGCATGCTGTCCTCTATGTGTTAATGTACGAGGAGAGTATGATGTATTTGCTCTCTGGGGCCTTGCTTCTCCGGGGACGGCCGCCCTTGTTCAGCTCTCTTTGTCCGTAGCTAAAGGGCCCGCAGAACATGCCTGCACTATTCGAAACTTCTGCAATTATCTCCTCCCGGGGCCTTCTCGCAGGACATGCAGCACTCTCTAGACCCAGAATTTTGCACATTCCTGTTTGCTTAAGAGGGGGTTTCAGCTCAACGTATCCCCTGGCTCTGGTTTCCTCCTTCTTTGTAATGTGCCAGACTGCGTATCGTACTCGGGGGTCTTTGCTGAAGACCTCCAGCATAGAGACCCCAGATGCTTTCATGGTAAAGCACCACCTTCTTCCTGTTTTGTTCTGCTTCGGCATTTTCAGAAATCTATCACGAGATTTCTGTGTGCGGACTGATTCTAAATAGCAGATTTCAGCTTTTTCTATTCTGATATTTATTTCTTGTTTTTATGGAGTACTTCTCTAGCACAGAAGAGAGCGAGCCCGAAATGGCTCCAATGGAGAGAAAAATAAGGGGGCGAGACCTTCCTGCAGTTGCTGTCCTGGCTCTGTGCATTCGAAAAACACTCTCCCCCCTGCGGGAGACCGAATTCCAGCAGAGCTCCGACGCCTCCCCGTACAATACTTACGTCCGAGAGAGGGAGAAGTATGCGAGAAAAGGGGAGAGCCCTGGAAGTAGCACAGCGTACTTTGCAGAAGGGGAGAGACTAGCCCTGTTTCTGCGCCTCCGTACGATGGGCCTGCACGTTAGAATCGCCTACAAGATATCCCTGAAAAAGACGCCTTCGGTTGAGGAGTCGCTTGAGGTTGTAACAGGACTTTCCGTCTTCTCAGATAGCACCTTTTCCCGCAAGGAGTGCATTCACGTCTCAATTGACTCTTTTGGGAAAATTCTGAACCATACAATATACTCTCCAAAGAAAGTCTCCGAGGCAGTTTCCGAGACAATCAGCAGAAACACAGACCCAGCCTGCCCCTTCTACGCATACGACCAGAAACATCTGGAACAGCTTCCAGTTACGCTCCGAGAAGGTCTTTCTCATCCGCTGTATAGAGTGAATCCAAGCCATCCCAGGTACATTATATACCCTAGAAGCATAGGATCCGTTGGGCACATAAAGGACCGAACAAAGAGGCATGCAAGCAAGTCAAAGGCCCAAAAAGAAGCTTCCCTTCGGATATACCCGATCTCGCACCTGCACAAACTCCTTACACTCGGGGAAGTCCTCCGAATGAACAGAAATATCCGCCCAGAGACGGAGCCGTATCGGATAGTGCGAGGCAGCACTCCGGAGAAGCCAGAGATAAAGCTATACGCTCCCTGGCAGATAGAGGAAGTTCCTGCAAGCGAAAGCCTCCTTGCAACTCCGCAGGACGTACCTGATGGGATGGTGTACCTGATGGAGACTGGAGTGGTGCAGTACAACCTCCAAAAAGGAACTATTCCCGTGATAGGAAGTGTATACGACTATATCACAGGGAGGCGAGAAAGAGTCTCTTCTGGGGTTCTTCTAACGGAAAATGACCTAAGAAAGGAAATGCCGGAAATCGTCAAAAACACCCATAGAGCACTTATAAAGGCGATTACAGAGCAAAACAAGGCACTTATACTGAACATGCAGGTTTTCACAAAACTTGCTCTCCGTTATATAGGGATACTGGAGAGTCTATAGGCACGCGTCCCTGCAAAAACCAGCTGCACAGACGCTTTCTCTCGATACCTTCAGGAATTTCTGCGATATTCCGCCTGCAGAAACCCCCAAATAACCCGAGTCCACGCAGTTTTAAATAGGGCAGAATGCACTGCACGCACTCCCCGGAAAATACCTGCAAACTTACACCCGCACACGGGCATTTCAGGTCTTCCCCAGAAACGGACATTTTTCAAAGGCAGAGCTTATGCCGTATTAGGCCATCCCACGCGCAAAAAACACGCAGGCACCAAGCAGGCACAGACCCTGAGCATTTGCGCGCATTTTAAGGCACTTTCTAAACTCGCGCATTCCCTGGGTTTACAGCCTGCCAGGAGAATCCTGAATTCCTATTTATATTTTATTTTTCTGCCCTAGCCCAATATGGACAGGATATCAACTGCAAACGGAAATGCGCCTACTACAACCGCGTACACGGCTATCGACATGAACAACAACGACGAAGAGCGCACAATCACGACACAGGAAACTGATCAAATCAAAGCATTCAGCGGACTAAGCAAGACTACAGGCGAGGATGCTGGAAAAGGCATCTCCTGGCGCATGTTTGTTATATGGTTGATAGTCGTAGCCTTTATCGTCTATGTAGCTATAGAGAGAGAATCCAGGTACACCTGGCTTTAAGAAGCATCAAGCAGTCCAACGGAGAAAGTCATATAAGCACTTCCTGCAGCTATTGGATTTAGCCTGCTTAAACAGAAGCATACGCCCAGAATGCAGTACTACGCACTATTAAGAAGAATCCTGATATTTCCGCCTTCTTTCAGTGGAAACTCTCTTCTATTTCTATTCAGGCCATGCTGTTCAGATGCAAGACAAGAGAATCCAGCAGCGGACTGAAAGTGCACGAATAAATAAAGGAATTTGCACGCGTCACATTACAAACAGCAGTTTATTACACTCGACTCTTCTGAAAGCCCAAAGCTCACTGCTTCCTGAGTATTTCCTCCACTGTCACGTCTCTGGTCACGTAGTGCGAGTGCCCGTCCTTGTACACGTACCGAGGCACTCCTGCAGGCCTTTCCGCAGGAGATATATCTATCCCCCGAAGAGCGCAAGCATCTTCACTGCTCAGGAAGTCCACATTTTCCAACGACCCCATCATCCTCCGGATGGCTTCTTTTGTATACGCATCCACATTCCAGGGCGTAGAAACCTTCCGGACTTTCCGGGCAAGAACCCCCATTAGGCCCCGTATATGCGCTGCCTCTCTCCGCGTAGTGCGCAAAGTATTCCACGTTAAAGGGGCTTCTTCTGATTCGACCTTTTCTGGGTCGCCCCCTTTGAAGCTTATATACTCGTTGCTATAGAGAATCTTATGGCAAATAAATGCAAAAATGGAGGTGCGATCAGGCCCTCCACTTTCGTACTTCGAGCCCATTTCGGACAAATATGCTGCTGTTCCAACGGAATCACACTTCGTCAGAAAGTGCTTGAAAAGGGCGTAGTGAACTCCCGGAGTCTGTGTACACATTTTTTCTATTTCCAAGAATTTTCTGAATCCGCCCCCTCTCCGGTGCAGGATTTTATCGAGGACTTCCGGGATCGTCTGGATGCGCCTGGAAAAGTCCCCGGAAGGAAGGCCTACTTCGGAAAGGGCTTTTCTGACGGGGGATCCTGCATGTATTTTTGCGCGCATTTCCGGGGTTATTTCAAGGCCTGCCTCCTTGCACGCACTCTCAACGCACGCTTCTACTCGCTCGGTGTTCGCATAGCATCTAATTACGGAGACGCCTTCTCCCATGAAAAGGCTGTTCATCTCGTCGGAAATGATCAGAACTTTTCCAGCGCGTGCCCTAACGGCTTTTCTCATCAGAAATGGGTCAATGTCCCGAAAAATAAATATTCTAGGTGCACCCTTAACAGTTGATTTTCCCATTTGGTGCATTCTTTCGACTGCTTCTGCAGCCTCCTCCTTTGTGCTGAGGGCGTCCGTGTACGTTTCCCTGTAGTTGTGTATCTTATTCACCATTCTGGCCATTGTCTCTTTCCCAATCCCTGCACGCCCAACCACCGCAGCAACTCTCTGCTCAGATACAAGCCAGGTGCGGTACTGCTTCCACGCATTTGCATTTATAGCGAGCTCACTCGGTAAAAGGGGTCTCCGCATAAAGAAACCCTCTTTTTGGGGCCTTTGCTTCATGCAGAAATAAATTTCTGGAATTTTATAGGGAGTCTGCAGAGGCTGGGAGGAAAGATGCTGGAAGGCCTAAAAAATTCACGCGAAGTGCGCCCACCCATCGATCTGTGCGCGAGATTTCACCCACATAGTGTTTTTCTGGCTCTTGCAGGGACATTTTTCGGGGGTTATGCGCGTTCAGGAGCTGCCAACGGTGATTTTTCCAGAGAAGGCTCTTCAAAGCCAAGACTTTCAGAGGATAAGAGTCTGAGCACTCGCATGCTCCTGCACTCAACGATAATTCAGGCTTTCCCAGAAACTCCAGAAAAACAGCGCACCCGCATACACGCACTCTTTCGCACTTTTGCCCTAACTCCCACTTTCTACCCCATAAACCGGCAGGGAAGAGATAAAGAGTGCACTGCAGGAAGAACCTTCAGCATAAATCTCTTCCCTCTCCCGTGCGGAAGAAGTGCTTTGGAAGAATCCTGCATAATAAACACACAAATATTTTCTGTGTATAAACATGCCAGAAGATGAGAAAGAAGAGTTGCACAACAACTCCTCCGTAGAGAGCTCCTCCGTGGAAAGCGGGTGCGAGGAAAGGGAGAGAGAAGACGAGAAAAGCAAAGTCTACAGAATAAGTGGGTGGGAGAGAATTCTGAGCACTTTCCGGAGGATTCCTCCCATTTACTTTTTTGGGCTTTTTACAGTGCTTGCCCTCTTTGCAGCCAAAATTGTCCTCATGCACAGCAGCGTAAATCCGCAGTACTTTCTCTACAGAAACACGGCTCGGCAGGTGTACAGCCTAAGCGACATATTATCCATGCTTGCAACGGCAGTTCTTGTAATAACTCTTTTGGACGGGTTTTTGTACTACTCCAGCGGATACATTATGGAAAAAGTCCACTTTCTCACCCTCACCATGTTTTACGTTAACAGCGTCTCAGGCCTTCTCACTGGTATGATTCTGACTCTTTTCTGGGCAATATATCTGAAGATGCTGGACGTAGACTACAAGTTCAGGCCGCACCACAGCATGGGACTGGAGCAGACGCTTACAACCTGCTTTTTGTCTGTTCTTGTGATTGCTGCGAAGGACATTTTCGTTAAGAAGGTCCGAATGGGCTTTAACCACACGAACTATCTCACCCGCATACAGAAGTGTCTTATTGAAAACCAGTTTGTGAAGACCCTGGAGGAAGTCCGCCGAAAGATAAAGGGGAAAAGCAGCAGGATGCGGTGGATGTTCACGCAAAAAACAGATGAAAATGGCGGAGATGCTGTTTTTAAGCCCAGGGCATTCAGTGGAATAGACGGGGCTTCGGATACGCGCCAGAAAATGCTCATTTTCAAGGAATTCGAGAAGATCCTGGGCGCGAAGATATACCACGAGCGAGGGGTAGGGGGACTCTCCGATATAAAGCAGGAGTCCCTGCGAAAGGCGGAGAAGATAGCCGCTGGCCTCTCTGCAAGCAAGAAAAAGTTCCAGGTCAGGCATCTGAAGAGGTACGTAGACCCGGAGTACATAGACAAAGTCTCGGAAATGCTGTCTCTAACGGAAACGCAGCACCTCTCGGAGAAGGAGATAGCAGGCATTATAGAGCGAACAAAACGAGAGAAGTATGCTATAAAGAAGAGTCTTGTGCAAATGGACAAGGCTTTGCTCCGAGTGAGCCACTTCATCACCGCAGCAATATTCATATTTGCTACAATTGCAATTCTCTCCCCGACAATTTCAGCGAATGACGTTGTGAAGGGAGTGTTTGGGACGTTCTTTGGGCTTGGGTTTATCTTCCAGACGAGCGTAAAGAATGCGATTGACAGCGTGATATTTCTCTTTATAGTGCACCCGTACGACATTGGGGACAGAATTCAGGTGGAAATAGACAAGGATACGCTGAATATGGTTGTTTCCGAGCTAAACGTCTTTTCAACGGTATTCTACGAGTGGAATGGGTCCAAAATATACATACCCAACCACGTCCTCCTGCAGAAGGCCATTGTAAACGTCCGAAGAAGTGGGCTCATGGCAGAGAATATCATATTTCAGGTGGCATTTGACACAGTTCCTGAGAAGATACAGCACCTGAAAGCAGAGGTTGGGAAGTTCATAAAGAAGCACCCGAAGGACTTTTCGACGTACTTTATGTTCAACTACCACGCGATTGAAGACTCGAATAAGTTGCACCTGAAGATATACCTGCAGTACGCCACGAACTGGCAGAACTACGAGGCATACCTGCAGAGAAAGGCAAAGTTCATTATGTTCCTGAAGCAGGCAATTAACGAGCAAAAGATAGAGTACTACTTGCCCGTTCAGAGGCTGGAAATACTTGCAAGCAGGGCCCCCGCAGAAAGCACTGCATAGATGCGAGGAAATCCACGGAATAAAACAAGTAGATGGTATATTCGGGTTATTATCTGGAAGAAAAAGGCGGAAGCCTTCAAGTCTTTCACTTTACATTTTGAATTTGCAGTTTGCACACGCATCCACACAGTCACTCTTTCAATACATTCTTTCAATACATTCTTTCAATACATTCTTTCACGTACTTTATTGGAATCGCTAAACACGTTGGATCCACTCTCTCACTTTGTTGAGCCCATTCTTTCAATGCTTTCACTCAATACACTCACTCAATAGATTCACTCAATACATTCATTCACTTACTTACTTGCTTGCTTTCATTCAATACATTCTTTCAATACACTCACTCAATACACTTACACATTCACTCACTTGCTTTCATTCAATACACTTACTCAATACACTTACTCAATTCATTTACATATTCACTCAATTCATTTACACATTCCCTCACTTACTCACTCCCTCAGTACATTCACATATTCCCTCACTTACTCCCTTACTTTCTTTCTTTCATTTTACAACCGTTCAAATATTCGCACAATTTACCGGTTTAAATTCTCTAAATTTATTGTTCGCCAACTGAGGCCTGAGATACTGAAAAATCCTCTATTTCTCCCTGGACATCACTTGAGAGAACAGCGAAAGTTTCAGGCAGACCTACGACTATTCCCTGGGAAAATTCAGCTTCTTAGCCACGCGAGAGACCTTCTTAAGCCCGCATAAACCCGCATGGAAAGCAATATTCGCATACCCCGCGCGAACTCCCGCGTAGAAGAGTAGCAGGAAGCTCAGAGCATACATAATGTAAAGACTCACGCCCAAAAGCTTCCTCCGCCTCTCCCTCTGGTACTTTCTCCCCTTTTGGGTATAGGAGGAAACAGCGCCCACTTTCCTGCGAATCATCTGCTCGGGCACTTTCTGTATCCTCTTCCATACACTCCTGGGACTTTCATCAAATGAAACGTGGTAATTCGCATAATTCTCCCCCAGAAGGAAAAGTACGTAATTTTTCAGAAGATTCACATGGGAAATAACAATATCATATACCCATATCCGGCAATCTCTTATATCCATAGTATTAGGCTGTATTCTTTCAAAGAGGAAATGACACGGCATATTCAAACCGTCCAGATAAATCTCGTTTCTCAAAAGCTCATTCCAATGCTTGTTCACCACAGAGTAGAATACGTCGAGAGTATGTGCATCATTCTTCGACATTCTCTTATAATTTATCTCTTTCACCCGGGACATCAGTCTCTCCATGTACTCAAAGAGGTACATCTGCCCCATATCCGCATATACAGTATCTATTGTCAAGAAATTGTGGGCAATTCTGTGCTTCATCAGAGCTCGATCTACTACGACCTTCAAAGCCTCCAGCTTCATCTCCACCTCCGGAGCAGAAACGTACATCTCCCGCCGGGCCTGCATCGCCTCTTCAAGAGCCTCATTAAAAGTATCCTCTCCTGTCTCCACGTAAATCAACTTCAGAGCCTCAAATGCCTTGTACACGTCCATGTACTTGTTTATTCTCTGCTCCAGAAGGGAGACAAAAACATTCGCAAAATTTGCGTGAAAACCCTCCCGGAAAAATGAGCTCAGCACTTCATTGTGCGATATACTGTGCGCAATCGTCCGGATGTGCTCGGAAATCCAAAGCGCAAGTTTCAAGTCCCCGTATGAGATCACTCTTTTCCGCAAAATTTCAGCGCACGGAATAGCCCGCAGAACATCCTCCACAAAGGCATACCTCAACTTCTTTGCAGCAGAGAAACTCTCCCCCAAAAGAATGTGTCTTTTCAAAGCGTGGCACGAACTAGAGTTTCCCACTATCTCTTCGATATACCGATCTCTATCACTCTCCTCTATAATAAAATCTATATTGATTGGCATAAACGGAAAAAAAAAACTGCATTTATTTTTCAATCAATTTACACCAAAAAAATACTTCCAGCGGAACCTCTCCAAAAAATAGCGTGAACAGGGCACAGTGGCAGAATGGTTATTGCGATAGCTTGCTAAGCTATGACCCTTTGGGTTCGTGGGTTCGATTCCCATCTGTGTCGTTTTTTCCCAAATACTCGAACTTTCCTTTTTTTATGCACAAGAAGAACGCCTGGATACAGAGCCGCCTCCTCCACATCTCACACGCCCTCGAGGAAGACGCTAGAAATGGCCTGGAAAAGAGCAATATCTACCTCTACAGCCCCACGAGGCATCCCCTCATAAAAAAGCAGACGCCCTCCGAGGAGTACTCCATCGGAAAACTCGTCAAGAACATCCTCACAGCAAAGCAGAGAAGAGCCTACGAGAAGCAGAAAAACAGTCCCTGCACCCACAGAATGTGCTCCCAGAAGTGGAAGGATGTCCATCTGGCAGTGGGAACAGAGGGAATTCACGCCCTCTTCAGAGACTACACCGTCTTGGAGCGAGTGGATGGCGCATACATAAAGTACTTCTCCGACGAGATCCAGATCATAGAGAGGGAGAAGCACAGGAGAGCCAGAAAAATCGCAAAACAGGACAGAGACTTCGAGATGAAAGAAGTCACGCAGGAGAGAATATACGCAGGAAAGCATGCGGAGTACGCAGATGAAATTGCGCTGCTTCTTAGAAATATCCGGAAAGTCGGGACCCGCGGGATAGTCGCATCCTTCGAGAGGGAGAAGGCGAAAAAAGCCCGAAAAGAGGAAAAAACAGGAATTTCTGCGTGCGAAGTCTCCGTGGAGACGGCAGTTCGACTCGTTTATGCCGTTGTGAAAAAGGTCTTTTCTCCCGTTATTCCCCCTGCAGGAATGCCCCGCATAAAGAAGAAGATCCGCTGGTTTCTCGCCTGCAAAAATGCAGTCATTCGGTACGCGGATATACACGCTGGGATCCGCACTAACTTCCCGCAGAGGGTCCGGAATGGGCGTCCGCTTGAGTATAAGGAGTACATCCTTTGTACCGTTAACTTTATCTTTACGCGGTATATTCCGTACCTTTTGGGGGCGCACCTGAAAGATAACGGAAAAACGGGAAGTGAAGTAAGGTACTTTTTCGCTGGAGAGTATGCCCGCATGAAGAAGGAGTTCATACAAAAGTACATTGAGAAGTACTTTGTCTCCGTCCAGAAGGCAGAGGTCAATACGAACGATATATCCCACATAAACGCAATTGCAAAGAAAAACGCATTTCGCGTCGTCTTTAAAAAGGCCTACGAGAACGACGTATTCTCCCTCGCGAAGAACAAAGACACTTTCCACGAGAAGAGAATATGCAGTATTCTAACGAGAGAGGCCAACGAAAGAGCAGAGTGGGAGAGAAGCAGGGAGGGAAGACCCCCTAGGACACGGGTGAATAACTCCGTCTTCAAGCTGTCCGACGGAATGAAGAGAATAGAGCAGTTCAGGACCGAATTCAGAGAATTCTTTGAGAGTAGGAGGGAACTCTTCGTCCTGACCCTGGACTTGGAGAACTTCTTCGATAATGTCTCCCTGGAGGCCGTCAAGAGAATGTCTCTCGTCAGAAAACTCATGGGAAAAAGGGAGTACGAAGTATTCATATGGGAAGATACGTCTTTTGAGGGCCATAAAGTCCACAGGAGAGCTGTCTTGTACCCGAACGAGCAGACGAACAAGGGAGATACGATTCTCACAGGGCTCCCAAAGAGGGTGTTTCGGAAGTTTATGTCGCAGAACATCATCACAAACACGGAAATAGAGGAGCTTCTCAACAGGAGAATCCACAACTCAGTCATCCGATACGGGAGTGCCTACTACAGAAGAGTCACGGGAATAAATCAGGGCTGCAGATTTGCCTCCCACATTTGCTCGTACTACCTCGCGCATATAGACGAGGAAATATACGGGGACATGAAATACACGCGCGCTGTCCGGTACGTAGACGACTCCCTGGTCCTTTCCTGGAGCAAGGAGGAGCTCGCCCTCGTGCTGGAGAGACTCTGTGCGATGCAGGGAAGAAATGGGCTCGCCCTAAACGCGAAAAAGTGCCAACTTCTGACCCTGAAAAAAGAAACGGATTTTTCCCTTTTGGGAAAGATAGACCTGAAAAGGGCAAAAACCTTCAAATGGTGCGGAATCAGCTTCGACATGGAGAGCCTCTACCCGGCCATGCAGTGGAGTGAGGCAAAAACAGCAGATCTCGTGCAGAGTAAGTCCGCCATCCTCCGGAGGATGCACTACAGCCTCAACCTCGGCAGAGAGTCCGGGCTTTTCCACCCTGAGAACCTGAGCAGGCACACGAACTTGCGCCTTTTCGTCAGGTGCCACGTGGAAAAGCTCCTTCACGCGTGCAGCAAAACCCCAAACCAGCACATGGAGAAAACCCTCCTGCGCATTCTCCGGAGGAAGATATGCACTGCCCTCGCAAGTACCGGCCTCCCAGAGACAGACATAAAAAAGGCCTTCAATGCAGCCGTATACATATGCAAGAAAAAG